TTCATTGGGTATTTACGCGTGCTGTTTTTATACATTTGAGTTTTTCATTTAATGCATGCGTTTCTGTAGGCAAGTTAATTGAACCTATTGAGTTTGAATATATTCGAGGGGGGGGGGGGGGGTATTTTACGCAAATAAGCGGGTTATCTGAAGCTCGAGCCTGTCCACCCGATCCGTTTCAATCCACTCTACTCCACGGCTTGAGATGACACAATAGCACGGTGGTATGATTGATACGGGAATATGCTACATGAGACATTATAATGTATTGAGTGATGAAATACTGTCTTAATCTGAAATACTGTCTTCCTTAATAACACTAGACACATGAGACAAATCAACAATAAAGTACACAATTAACAAAACGTTTGTCTTTTCTTGTGAAGTAATCAATTTCTCTCGTGTCTGCTCAGCTCATGAAAATATCAGGTCACGTAAAGAGATAACCGTTATTGGACAAGGAACCACAAACGTCATCTACAAACCACACACCCATCGACCCAGTGCTGTTGTTGCTGTCGGTGCGGGGAGGGGTGGTGTTGTAGTGTCCGTTCCTCCTCCCAGCCTCATAGCCCCGTGTGATGCGGCGCCCGGCGACCATCCTCACTTCAGCCACGACGCCGGTGCCAGGGAGCGGGGACAGATACACTGCAGAAGAAGACAGGGAACACGATCAGGACCTACTGTTTGATCAACATTTACCTTGAACACCAACAGCAGCATACAATTTGTCTGTAACAGTTGATATCGTCGCCGAACTGTCCAAGATAAATTGACGCCGGCTTGTGCTGGAGGAGCGATTGTGACGTCATATATCTATGGCGTCAGGAATGTATCACATATATCTAAATGTACTTAGCCATAAGAAATGAGTCTTATTATGTTTACGAATAACATCAGTATTGCTAATCCCAAAATAGATTTCATTCGTAAATGCGAATACCGCGAGTATGTCAACAGATCAGACAACAAAGAGTGACGTCATTTCTATGACGTCATCACAATCAGACGAACCTCCATGCCCGGGCTGCACGCGCGTGTAATGGTATCATGTAGAGATGTCAACCGGGATTTCACAAGGCACGAAAAGTAAGATTGGATGCAAATATTTATCATTGTTAAAATGATAAAAACAGTTCGTTTTTTATATGGCCGAAAAGCGAATACCTTGAGCCTTTTTCGCTTGAAAAAGTCTCCATATATTTCCTAAGACTCAAAGATTACATATGTCTCCATTTCATTAAGTGAGCTATGAAAAAGCGAGCGCTTGTTGGGAATTATAAAGCAAAACTACCATGTGTCATCCTTTGCCCTACTGTCCATATCTAACAATATCACCATGTTTGTTGGTTTGTTGTTTCAAGATGCAGAAACATGAACGACTCCATTGAAACCTTGAACAATCTAAATCTCTGAATACACGTTTACCTTTCACACCTGTAGGTAGAAAATACAACGTGGTGAGTGTGATATTGGGGAGGTTTTTGTTTGTTTGTTTTTTAACGCCGCACTCAACAATATTCCAGCTATATGACGGGGGTTTGTAAATAATCGAGCCTGGACCAGACAATAAAGTGATTGACATCATGAGCATCGATCCACGCAATTGGGATCGATGACATGGATCAACCGAGTCAGCGAGCCTGACCACCCGATTCCCTTAGTCGTCAGTTGCTGAATGTGTTATATTCTTCCCATTGTCTCGCAGTCGGGTAGCCTGGTGGTTAAAGCGTTCGCTCGTCACGCTGAAAACCCAGGTTCGATTCCCGACATGGGTACAATGTGTGAAGCCCATTTCTGGTGTCCCCCGCCGTGATGTTGCTGGAATATTGCTGAAAGCGGTGTGAAACAGTGCAGTTACAGCAGTCGTGGTGAATACATAACACTGCTCATTACGTTCAGATGATTGCGATAACAAGTGCATCAACACTTGGAACCTGTAAATCTTCGTTGTCGACCTGACCTATCTTATCTGAATAGGCCTTACATGGAATTTCCTGCTTTTGATGTCATTAAAGTTAGATCACATGTCAAGCAGTTGTAGTTAGGTTTGTGTTGATATTATTCAATTGAAATGCTATCACCCAATAATAAGTCATGGAATTCTAAGCCTATTGTCTTCGGGTTATCATTTGCTGATAAGTTTTTTCAAGATTAAAGGTAATGCTACCCGCATTAATTTCATGACACAAAGGCCTTAATTAGGAGATGGATTAATTTCACGATTTACGGTATACATAAATGGACTTTCCTGATAAGAAATTAGGATATGCATTATGTTCATGATTTCTAGTATAAAAATGGACATTCTTGTTAAATAAACTCGCTATACTTATGTATCGCTTCAAAAAAAGCTCGTTAATGAATTGGCTCTCACACATCTTAAAAACAACAAGTTTTTATTTCACGAAACAAACACAGTGTCCCTTTTGCTTGATAAAGTCCTCGACACTATCCTACCACACTCCCATGTCAAGGCGATAGTCTCACGCCAGGCATGGCGTTAGTAACCGGCTGCCAATATCCCGCCCTTATCGGTCGCTAAGACCACCCTCCCTTACTCCCCCTTCTAAACTAGCGAGCGTTCGCACTGGGATAATCTCGATAATCCAACTAATGATCGCGTGTTAAGAGGATCAGAGTCACGTGACGTAACAAGCGCGTGTGTTGCTATGTGACGCCGGTGTAGGAGCCGAGCTGCTACAATGGAGTAGTCAAATCCGAGGGACGAGATAGAACAGGCGGAACAAGCACTGAGAGCCCCCGAAACAAACACAGCTATGTCAGGTAGGATCATATTACTGTATTTTATTACGAAGACAAATTCGGTTGTATATGATCCGTGTAATGGCTTGCTAGAATTTCAGCTTCATGGATATTAGGTTTTTATATGAAACCCGATACCACTGAAGGGTAGTTTTGATAGAGTGATTAATTGACGGACCAAGTCGACGAATGCTCTGCAAAAGTCCTTATCAGATACGAGTCAATAAAACTAAACTGGTATGAGTCGATAAAAATAAGTCACTGGACCATTTAAAATATGCTGATGTAGCCATCAATATTTATTTTAAAGTAAGCACATTAATGAAATTTAGAAGACCAGTTCATTTTTGGCAATATTTGATACACTGTATTGAATAATTCTATGTAAGTAGCATGTTAAACAAACGCAAAAGTGATAATTAACGTCATGGTCATTTTCAATCTGAAGTTTCTATAAACTGAATGTGTGAAAGTATCAAGGAAAACACTTCATGTTTAAATTATTGATTCATATTCCAAATAGTATTAAATATACAGACATATACTCTGATCAAATATTGTTTTTGCTATGTTCAGATGACCCTCCCAACAATGTACGACTCAGGCGATCAATAGTACTGATTAATTGAACAGGCGCACTGACAAAACTGTCAGCTAATATCGACTGATTGAAAAGCAATCCTACCATCTACATTAATGTTTTATAAGTCCACCTTATCTCAGCTTATGTTAGTCGCCATGAGGTCACAAGGCTGTTCCTGTAGTATAATATCACCACTGAAGGAAGCCAAACATACACTAACATTGGCTGGTATCGCAACAGCTAATGGCTTAAATATTAATTGCCCTCCCACACACATACATCATCCTAAATATAAATGTATATTTGAAACTACAAAGTTGCATATTCCAGTCCCCTGTCAGATAATACATAAACTTTACGTTATAGATTTGATCTCTCTCTCTCTCTCTCTCTCTCTCTCTCTCTCTCTCTCTCTCTCTCTCTCTCTCTCTCTCTCTCTCTCTCTCTCTCTCTCTCTCTCTCTCTCTCTCTCTCTCTCTCTCTCTCTCTCTCTCTCTCTCTCTCTGTAAACATGCCCATAGACAGAAACTATATCAACAGTACACAGTACAGTATACTTCCAGGCATTTCAAGTTACATGTGTTATCTGCAAGGGCGGATCAAGCAATTCTATAATAGAGGGGTTCAGAATAAGAAATTCCATTCAGATAATCTTACTGCCTACAGCATACTACATTTGGTTTTCAAAAAGGGTGGTGGTGGGTGGTGTCAGGACCCCCCCCCCCCCCCCCCCCCCCCCCCCCCCCCACACACACACACTCCCCTAAACCTCCGACTAAGATCTGTGATCTGTGAGAAAACTGTTTGCAAGACACTCGCATTACAAGACATGTATAGAGAGATGGTGGATGGGAGATAGGTGAAGACATGTATAGAGAGATGGTGGATGGGAGATAGGTGCGACTGAGAACTGATAAGAGTCGGCCTCTAGTTAGGAAGAGACGGGTTGGGAAGTGAAATGAAGTGACAAGGGGCCGCGGATCTTAAAAGATGAACTGTTTTGGCAAACACGACAGGCTCCTCATGTTGGGTATGCCTGGGTAATTCTATCACAAGTGTAACTTCTCGTCAATACACATACATGATAACGCTATCCCCCCTACCATCCATGCTACATTCAACAATGTAAACAGACAATGAAACAATCCTTCAAACGTAGACTCATCAATGACCCCAGCACGACCCGCCCCTGGCCGTCAACTGCATGGTCACATGACTCCCCGTTGGCACTACCTTACCAAAGATAACAGAAACATGGGTGCACGTTGCTGGCGGGCGGAGGGGTTTCTGTCGAGGGGTGCAGCTAATCCATGTTACACCCAAGTTTTCCGACACTGATTTCCACTGTCAGTCCTGTCATACCCACACTTACGGTTACTGAAGCTTGCTGCCATGTCTTTGCTTTACAGGAAGAACGAAGCCATTGCTGATCGAGGTAGATTGTTCTCCTATTCTTGTTTATTAACATTATTCAGGTGTTTTCTTTCCAGCACTCTCGGCCATGTGTACATTACAAGTTCATTATGCATATTTCATGACACTAACGTCATTCTTTCTCCATAGAAGTAGACGAGACGTACTCGCGTGGAGAAGGCTTCCCCGACAAAGGTAGTCTCGATGCACCTGTAACCTTTAACCCACAATGTCGTGCATTTACACGTGTTTCGTTTGTTGAATAATCCGTTTTTGTTGTTTGACGTAGACCAATCCTAAAACCTCACCCAGACATTTCAGTGACAACTAATGTTTCTGATGCATGACCCTTAAATGATATGTCGGGAGTGTTAAAACAGCATTTAAGAATATATGAATTTCTTTAACCTCAACCTTCCTTTTTGCACTTGTTTTCCCTGGTTCCTTCTCCAGACCACATCTTCCCAAGGCAAGGGAGTTAACTGACTGTAAATGTCCATTTCCAACCCTTGCCGAACTAGGCTGGAATTATGGAGTTATATCTAACGAGTCTATGCACAGTCAAATCAAAATCGCGTCACGAAATCGACATCCGATTCGTCAACTGCCGTGCAGATTTCGGTCGATTGCAGGATTTGTAAAGCATGTGTACAGCCAAATCTGCGTCAACAGATATTTTCCAAATATTTCCAGGTTTTTAATCAAGGTGCTCACGTGATTTGAAGTAAGACCCGTTGTTTTACAATATACATTTTGATTATCGATCAGATCGTCTTGACTGGTGGCCGCCATTTTGTTGGAAGCAAATGCAAGTGATATGAGAAGTGGAATCTTATTGGTCAATACGATGGCCATAGAAGGGACATAACACGTAATAGCCACTGGTGGCGCTACGATCGAGCCCAGAAATTGCAGCCTAGCTCGGCAAGGGTGTAAAATGAACTATTTCAGTCAGTTAACTCCATTGCCTTTGTAATCTCATCGATGCACTAATGAGAAAACAGATGCCAACAAGAGTTTTTGTGAATGCTCAGGGCTATTTTGTAATATGGTCGCATCACGTATCATTTCGGCTGATCCCAGCCGTGCCAAAATGACAGTGTGCCATTGGCGTTGTAACAGTGGAGGTCTCCCTCTTAAAAGAGTTTGGAAATGTCTGAATCCGCCCTTAACGCATGTCCAGACCTAAAGTGTCCTTGTCAATTCCTGGGAGATCTTGTATCAATGAAGCAGAGTGGCAATAGAATTACTCAGCCCCGTCTCTCGGACGTACCCCACGAATATCAGTCCCATTACCCCGGTATATACAGTCTGCATAACATATCCCTCAATCGTCAGTCTCATCACTCCGGTATATAAAGTCTACATGACGTACCCCACGAGCGTAAGTCCCACTGCCCCCAATATATACAGAGCCTACATGACGTACCCCGTGAGTGTAGTTCCCATCACCCTGGCATGTACAGAGTGTGCATGACGTACCCCAAAGGGAGTCAGCTCCATTACAAAAGTATATAGTCTGTATGACGTACCCCACGAGCGTCAGTCCCACTGCCCCAATATATAGAGTCTGCATGACGTACCCCACGAGTGACTGTCAATAACCAAAGTATATACAGAGCCTGCATGACGTACCCCACGAGTGACGGTCCTTTACCAAAGTATATACAGAGCCTGCATGACGTACCCCACGAGTGACGGTCCATTACCAAAGTCTATACAGAGCCTGCATGACGTACCCCGTGAGTGTAATTCCCATCACCCTGGCATGTACAAAGTCTGCATGACGTACCCCACGAGTGACGGTCCATTACCAAAGTATATACAGAGCCTGCATGACTGAGTGAGTGAGTGAGTGAGTATGGTTTTACGCCGATTTTTGCAATATTCCAGCAATATCACGGCGGGGGGCACCAGAATTGGGCTTCACACATTGTACCCATGTCCGGAATTGAACCTGGGTCTTTGGCGTGACGAGCGAACGCTTTAACCACTAGGCTACCCGACCGCCCTTTGCATGACTGAATGTTAGCAGTACTGTTAACGTCGTCCCTTTCTGAGTTAACGTGGAACGTAGGTTATAGAGAAAACGTTTCGACATGCTGATTTCAGCAGCTTATTGACAGATTTACCATATCTGGCCAGAGACGAGGTTTAGCCAATGCACCAATCCGACGTTACATTAACATTATCGTCATATGGTCTGGTAGCTAGTTCAACAATGTAAATGTTATATAACAACTTGAGGGTGTCCAGAACGCCACACATGTGTAATATCACATATCCTCACTTTCCTATAGGATATCAGAATAACGCCCCCTAAAAGTGAGATCACATTAAAATGTAACCCCGTTAATACGTAAGGCACCGTGTCAGTGAAATTGTCCGCATTAACAAATGTCTGGATTAACGAGTTTTTGTTACAGCGTAATAACGTGACAGTTGACACGTCCTGTGACAATTTGTAACCCCCAGTTTTGCTAAGATAATCTTACACATCTATCACTGTCATTATTAATAAACGTCAATAAACGTTACGGTTACCGGTGTTTAGCTATACGTCAACCTATAGCAATCGAGCGGGTGCATTTCTTGCCTGATCCCGGCCTTGATCACGCCGTGAGAGATAATCAATACACACTGTCAATAATACGTACAGTAACATACGTGACCGCAGTTCACACTTCTACAAGTTGCACACATAGACACGCAACTTCGGGACCTGATACTTGAGATCGTGGTTATATGCCTTCTTATTTCAAGGATTGGGGTGCAAAACAATCGATGTTTATAGTTGCTAATTTCAAGTATAAATCAGCAAACCGCAGACACAACAAAGGAGAAATATATAACAATCCTTAAACACCCTGAATCAGTATCGTGAAACGTCATCATTATTCTCCTTAATTCATGCTAATAATAACAAGCTTAAACCGCAAACCCTGACGACGGATCAACCAGACAACAGCAACACAAGTGTCGTGAAGCTCGGGGACTTTCGGTGAGATACGTCATGGCCAATCTTACAGTTACGATAGCCGTGGGTCGCGTAAACACTTAGGCTTGTCCTACGCTCGAAGCGTTTTGTGACTCCCTCATTGAGTCCTCCTTCCTGAGACAACGTATCGCCACAACTGTTATAACTGTCACGAATTGCTAAAGTCAAAATTCAATGCTACAACACATTTACTCAAAGGGTCGTGAAAGTAGGCCCGGACAATTACTCCACCACTGAGTTACGTCAGACGCGCATGTCACTAGGGCCAAATTACAAACTCTTGTTACTGGAAGTCACGGTGTGATACGGGTTTCATGCACTGCAATAACACGTAAGAGACTGACCATTTGATATTCGGGGGGTTGGGGGGTTGGGGGCTGTGATTTTGTCTGGAGATTAGATATGTGTTTTAAATAAAACTATGCGCCTGAATATCTTTTTAAGATAACCACCTTACAACAATGTAGTTTATGCGGCAATTTTTTCAACAGTGTGAAACATAAAAAAAATATTAAAGAGTTTACTGGATCATTTCCCCCCACCCCACTGGATCATATCCCCATTTCATTGATTTAAATAACGTCATCGCGTGCACTGCTGGGTTAACATGGATGCTAACTTACCCACCTCACTCCCTGAACAAATTGTTTGATTCTTTGTTGTTTAACGCCGCACTCAGCACTATTCCAGACATATGACGGCCTGAACGAATTAAGCCACTCTGTCAAATTTCCCGTACGCTACAACATGAACGACATCAATACAGGATATTAACGCCGACAACCCCCCAGGCCATACCTGTGAAATATTGTACACCTAATCCCCTCCCACCCCACTCAGTCACACAGCCCCGCGTGTGTGTAGCCAGGACACTTTGAAGTAGATACACATGGAGACTTATGTATGGAGCTGTACGAGAGTACAGCTCAGTATTGTCCACAATATTTCTGTGACCTGCATAACCTGAAACCTCGTTAATACGGAAACCCTACCCAATACCACATGTAACCCGATCTTATACGGCACGCAACCCTACCATATACGGGTGACGATGGCCACCTCCTCAAACGACCCGTGAAGACCAGGGTTGGAATAGGTCTTCAGCAACCGATGCTTGCCGTAAAAGGCGACTATGCTTGACGTAAGACCCGATTAACGGGATCGGGTGGTCAGGCTCGCTGACGTGGTTGATGCATGTCATCGATCGTGTGGATCGATGCTCATGATATTAATCACTTGTTTGTCTGGTCCAGACTCGATTATTTACAGACCGCCGTCATATAGCTTGAATATTGCTGAGTGCGGCGTTAAACAACAAACAAACAAAAACCTCCCCAATATCACACTAACCACGTTGTATTTTCTACCTACAGGTGTGAAAGGTAAACGTGTATTCAGAGATTTAAATTGTTCAAGGTTTCAATGGATTCGTTCATGTTTCTGCATCTTTAACATCCATAACTTCGTAAAGCCTCAATTTTGTAGACTGGCACTCCAGCGGAATCATATTGATAAAGTACGCATTGTTCCCACTTTAAACCCGAACTGTGCTTTTCTTTCCAGCGGAATTCGAACGAATTCGGGAACGAGGAAGGTAAGACATTTACATAATGTTCCATCAGATAAACCAATCACAAACTCCCACTGAACCCCCGATGTGTTTATGCAACATTATCTGAAAGGCAGACAAACACTTAGTCATTGAAAAAATGTCTTTAATTTTTTTAATTTTTTTTAAAGAACCTTTCCTCTTCTGCTGATGTGAAATCAAGCAAACTAGACTTGGTTAGTTTGATCTAGACTTGCCTGTGCTTTTAGTAAAAACAATACCTAAAAGATATAAATTCCACGGTCATGGTGCAGGACTATCTGAAGCCTCTGGCTGGGATTATTCTGAACAATTCTAGATGAGGGGAACTGCCAAACTAACTGAGATCGATCTTAGCCGCCCCAAAGTAAGTGACAGAAAAACGAGTTATCTCGAACTCTATTAACACGATATACACCCTGGCCCAATAAATTTAATATCGATCTAATATTGATATATTTCTGGTGGCCACTCGATATCAGACACTAGGTTTTACTGTTGCCAAGCTTTTCCCCCAAAGTCCAAATCATGATATTCGTAAAAAACTGCCGTCGGGTATTATTTCTTAAGTAGGATACTATGTACATATACATCGCCATGTCAGCGCTAACGACGTCATTGTCTTTCAGGGACCGCCTCCTTCAGCTGTCCAAGCCGAAGGAACCTAAGGTAGAATGGTGGACCAGCGTTGGGTAAGTTATGTCACAGAACAATCAATGAACACATGATCCCATATGACCATATTGGCAAAAGCACAAATATATTCCGGGCAGAGAAATCGTACAATGTGTTTACAAGAAGTGGTCTTTAAGTGCTCAGGCCACACATGTTTCGTTTCACGGGGCCGCCGCCCATACTGAAAAGTAGCCGGTCTAAGAAATAAATTAAACATGAAAATATAAGATTAAAAAACTGTGGCTTCATAAAGACAGCGTACACCTTCCCTTTTCTCCCTGTCTGGAAGGTACGGTAGAGATATGTGGTCGGCAAGTAATCTGATCATTCTAAGCAAAAACAACCCATGTATTCCCACTTAACAGCTTAAAATTAAAATTACACAATTCCTGTATCAACGTGTAAATAAGAGAACAGTACGTTTCCAAATATTTATTGAGTAGATACAAGACGAATATGTACATAACGAAGGTCTGTGAACTCGTTTGTCACGTATGTCCATCAGTAGATCACTCTGTACTTCCCAGTGTCAGTCCACTTCATGCCTAACTACGTCCAACCGTGTTGCCATGTACAGCCGATGTCGATGTGCAGCTTAACGCAAGGAGGGCTTGTTTACTTTCAGGCCGAATGTGAAGTGGGGCACCCAGGACATGCTTTGGCCAATCCCCAAGTCTGCCATGACAACGCTGGCTTCAAACAGGGTGTCCGAGCTAGCGACACCAAAAAGGAACTTCCAGAAAGAAACCAACATAGACAATCAGTTAGTTCCCTTTATGTCTCTAATGCATCTTCATATTTTTATCTTGTCGCGTTAATGTAAATCATTCATCCAAGTAGCAAACTAGTGTTGGGAGTGCACCTGTGGCCAGTCGTCTAAGGCGTGGGAGTTGCCTCCTTGTAATTGACCGGATCCGCTGGGTGTAGATTCGAATCCTAACTTCGCCCTGATCATGATCACTAGTCTCTTATACCATGGCTCCCTAACGGCTTACTGTGCAGTGAGTATCATTTTAGGCCGCTTTTAGCAATATTCAAACACTACCACGGCAGGGGACATCATCAATGGACATGTTCAGCGTGACTAACCATCTATAGGTACCGCTACATAGAACTAACGGACCATCTTGGTCTTGAACAAGGCCCATCACCAATTTCTCTTAACGCGTTTCTTGCACGAATTGTCCTTCCTTCCGGCGTCATGGAACCAAATAAATAACACACGTGTATGCAGTAAGGTTTGTTGTTTAACGCCGCATTCAGCAATAATACAGCTATAAGACGGCGGTCTGTAAATAATCTGGACCAGACAAGCCTGTGATTGACAACATGAGCATCGATCCACGCAATTGGGATTCGATGACATGCATCAACCAAGTCAGCTAGCCTGACCATACGATCCCGTTCGTCGGCTCTTACGACAATGTGCATGAAGGTAGAGGTCAGGCTTGGGTTTTCACTACTCACCAAACTATTGGTCAACAGCAGCTTTAGACCTTGGCCCCGTTCCACAAAGCTATCGTAGCACTATGTCCGTCGCAACTCCCATACTCCAACATAGACTTACGACAGTTGTAGCGCTGCCATCGCTTTGTGGAACGGGCCCCTGGTCTGTTGCTGATTCATCGTCAATACTTCAAGGGTTTCAATACTCTACTTTCTTTAGTCTAGGAACGTAGTGAATTTACAAACCTATGAAGAATTGACGATGTTTCTTAACATACAACGAAGCTTACAGGGACATGCAAGGCGCGAAACATCCTTTTCAATAATACGATCTGGTGTCATCTAGCCTATAGATATCAAATCTAACTTTTGACTTATCAAATTAAATCTGTAGAACTTAATCAGGATAGTTCAGCAAGCGTTTGGATTGGGTACATGAACGCTCTAGTGCATTCGGTTTTCTCATAATCTCCACTCACAAATTGATTCCGTGCCTAGAATGAATCCTACGTAATCCGGGCTACCGTATGAAATGTCCTTAAGTGCAACAGGCATCGGATACGTGACCATAGATCGTGTCTTCCACGCTTCAGTAGTCTGTGAACCAAATGCCCGTAAGTCCTTATCAGAAACAGACACAGTGTCATCGACAGTCCCCTTAAGAACACTCTTGTAATGTGTGAAAGGAAGCAATGGGCTGTGCAAGGTAAGCTTCTTAATACACGACTCGTGTTACAACAACTGTTACTAATACACCTCGATGATAGCCGTGTATCAATCCGTCATTATGTCTACCCACCTGCAACAAAAGTCCTTCACGGACTTACGGCTATCATGGATCTGAGCCAAGCGTCTTCAATAGGTAATCAGTGTTACGTGTATGCATCTGTAACAACACCGACGGGAGATCGGGGTGTCGTGGTGGGGTCGATGCCATAGTTGATCGGGTTGATCTGAGCCTAGAATTATCGTCTCCCACCCCAACAAAATCAGGCTTCAGTTAACGGACTTAGCAAGGTCTCGTCTAATCACACCGGTGGTGGGACGTTTAGGGAGTCAGTGTAGCGTTTGTTTCACTTGGCAACAAGGTAGCGGCCAGGTTAGTCCGATTCTGTGGGCTGGGAGGAGAACACAGCGGATAGCTACGGGCAGTAAGTGTTGAAGATGTTACTGATAACGTATCAAGAGGACGTCTTTGATTATTCAGAAACAGAAAGATATTTTTTGACGGTTTTTTGATTGATGTCATCTTGAACTATTTGAGACGCTGGCGAACACAGGCTTTTACTTATATACCAATTCACTGAATTAACAACTTTTCATGATATTTTGTTAAGGTGCAATGTAACGCTTTGGGCGTAAAGGGAAACGCACCCTGGTGCCTCTACGTGTAAAAAGAATAATGTTTTCAAATGACAATCCTTTTGCAAAGACGTTTTATCGATGAAGACACTCGTTTGGCTTCCAAGTTAGTGATGTTTTCTTCGTTTTCATTTCATAAATCCCAGTCATCATTTGAACTTTAGTTGGGTGAAGGCGAGATGGAAATGGCAGACGCTATATCAACTAGACCACGGAAGCGTTCTTTTAAAAAATAAGAATAATACCTGTACTTGAGCATATAAACAGTTGAAAATGCACAGTAACCTCTTTCTCTTCCAGCCCCCTGTTTTACTATAGCTGTGGGCGATCGTCGGTGCTATGGAACGTAAGCCCTAAAGCCATGGCGTCGGCGGCATCGCAGAGAGTCATGGAACTGGCCAAACCCAAAAGGTCACATCAGGAATATATGGAACACAGGTAGTCATGGCAACCTGCACTGTTTTTTCTATGTCTTTGACTCAGACCAATGTCTTTCTTAATAATTGTGAACTATTAATAAAGCAATAGTTCATTTTCTATAGAGTCACACTTGTCTATGTTAACAAATCTATTTCTTGAAACCTCTGGTGATAGTTATTGTAGTGACTGGGTTAACTTAACAAACGAACAGGCAGTACACCATTTTAAGGCTATCACCTCAAAACAATATTTCCTCAGTTAACCCTTGTCTTCCAAAACCTAGCTATATCATACCTATTTAAGGGCCGGCCATTTGATATTCTAGGGGGTGGGGGTATCTAAAACAATAAATTCTCCCCGAAAATTCTTGAATAGAATAACTATGCTTCAGACTGTTAAAAAAAATATTACCTGCCAAAAAAATTATTTTGTTGCATTGCGCTATTCTTTTTATAAAAATAAGTCTCATAGGTTTAAATTAAAAAAATGGTTTTGTATTTGTAGCAGTAGCTGAAAGAAATCTAATCTCGATACAAAATCCCCCAGAATATCAAATAGTCTGTCCCTTAGTACATATTTATCCTAGTAATTTCAAAACCATTAATGTGTACTTAATCTCAAACCCAATCATTATGTATCTAGTAATGTCGGTTACCTCAAAATCAGCAATCATGCATCTTGTTATCTAAGTAGCCTCAAAATCAGCAATCATACATCTAGCAATCCTAGGAACCTCAAACCCAGCTATCATACATCTAGCAATCCCAGTAACCTTGAACCCAGCTGTCATATATCTAGCAATCCCAGTAGCCTCAAACCCAGCTATCATACATCTAGCAATCCCAGTAGCCTCAAACCCAGCTATCATACATCTAGCAATCCCAGTAGCCTTGAACCCAGCTGTCATATATCTAGCAATCCCAGTAGCCTCAAACCCAGCTATCATACATCTAGCAATCCCAGTAGCCTCAAACCCAGCTATCATACATCTAGCAATCCCAGTAGCCTCAAACCAAGCTATCATACATCTAGCAATCCCAGTAGCCTCAAACCCAGTTATCATACATCTAGCAATCCCAGTAACCTCAAATCCAGCTATCATACATCTAGCAATCCCAGTAACCTCAAATCCAGCTATCATACATCTAGCAATCCCAGTAACCTCAAATCCAGCTATCATACATCTAGCAATCCCAGTAACCTCAAATCCAGCTATCATACATCTAGCAATCCCAGTAGCCTCAAACCCAGCTATCATACATCTAGCAATCCCAGTAACCTCAAATCCAGCTATCATACATCTAGCAATCCCAGTAACCTCAAATCCAGCTATCATACATCTAGCAATCCCAGTAGCCTCAAACCCAGCTATCATACATCTAGCAATCCCAGTAGCCTCAAACCCAGCTATTATACATCTAGTAATCGCAGTAAACTCAAGACCCTTAAATATCCAGGATGGAATAGGTCTTCAGTAACGTATGCTTGTTGTAATAGGCGACTCATGGGATCTGGTGGTCAAGCTCCCTGTCGTAGTTGATGCAGCTCATTGTATCCCAACTGTGTGGATTGATGCTCATATTACTGAAATATTGCTGAGTGGTGTTAAACTACAAAAAACAAAGAGTAGCCTCAAACCCAGTTATCATGCATCTAGTAATACAACTTATCTCAACATAAGTTATAAGTTCCTTGTGACATGAAAAAAAACCTAAAACCTGGTTATCTCACACCCATTGATCTCGATTATCTCACACCCACTTATCTCGGTTATCTCACACCCACTTATCTCGGTTATCTCACACACATTTCTCTTGGTTATCTCACACCCATTTATCTCGGTTATCTCACACCCATTAATGTTGGTTATCTCACACCCATTAATGTTGGTTATCTCACACTCATTTATCTTGGTTATCTCACACCCATTTATCTCAGGTTATCTCACACCCATTTATCTTGGTTATCTCACACCCATTTATCTCGGTCATCTCACATCCATTTATCTCGGTTATCTCACACCCATTTATGTTGGTTATCTCACACCCATTTTTCTCAAACCCATTTATCTCGGTTATCTCACACCCATTTATGTTGGTTATGTAACACCCATTTATCTTGGTCATCTCACACCCATTTATCTCAGGTTATCTCACACCCATTTATCTTGGTTATCTCACACCCATTTATCTCGGTCATCTCACACCCATTTATCTCGGTTATCTCACACCCATTTATCTCGGTTATCTCACACCCATTTATCTCATTTAAGTCACACCCATTTATCTCAGTTATCTCACACCCAAATACCTCGTTTATGTCACATCCATTTATGTCAACCATTTTTTTGGTTATCTCACACCCATTTATCTCGGTTATCTCACACCCATTTATCTCAGGTTATCTCACACCCATTTATCTTGGTTATCTCACACCCATTTATCTCGGTCATCTCACATCCATTTATCTCGGTCATCTCACACCCATTTATCTCAGGTTATCTCACACCCATTTATCTTGGTTATCTCACACCCATTTATCTCGGTCATCTCACACTCATTTATCTCACACCCATTTATCTCGGTTATCTCACACCCATTTATCTCACACCCATTTATCTTGGTTATCTCACACCCATTTATCTCATTTAAGTCACACCCATTTATCTCAGTTATCTCACACCCAAATACCTCGTTTATGTCACATCCATTTATGTCAACCATTTTTTTGGTTATCTCACACCCATTTATCTCAGTTATCTCACACCCATTTATCTCAGTTATCTCACACCTATTTCTATTTGCCAGGCCACAGTTCTTCTACAGCTGCGGCAGGTCGAGTCCAATCTGGGACGTGGATGAAGGCGCTGCTGGGTGTGGAGACCGAGCCCGCACAGTTCAACTGGCACAACACAAACCCTACCATAAAGACTTCCAGTCCAGCAGACAGGTGCAGACTGTCATCCCTTCTCCTGCACTCAAAGCTCGGACATCCGAGAGGATCGAATCTCTCGCCACACCCAAGGACAGGAACCCGGGGCCCTTCAGAGAACCACAATGGACTGTATGTATAACTATATGTCTGACCCATCTTTGTTTGTTATTTAACACTGCACCCAGCAATATTCCATCTATATGACAGCATACTAATAGACGTTAATAGGTTGTACTTGTTGTTACCCTGTCTGGCTCTCGGCATTAAGGGGTCCTGTGTCTGAGTGGGGTATTCATGTTAAACTGCAGCATAGTATCTCAGTGAGCTAGCACTATAAATCGGCATCAGTCGGGACTATTACAAACAGCCACACACACACACGTGCATGCACCTTGGACGCGATGTTAAACCCAATTTCACCTCACCTCACCTCCTACCCTAAGGTTTTATTCACAACACTTTTTTATCGGAACATCCAATCATGTTCAGCAAACAATTTATTTCTGGGGACAACAGGACAAATTATCAAAATAATAATTCTGTAACAATTTATATACCGTATTCGACGTAATAAGCGCCCCGCTCTAATAAGCGCCCACGGCGATATTTGCTAACATATTGGCTAGTGAACAATCCCAATTAGCACCCCTTCCGATTGATCAATGTACGCAAGACTTATTTATTCGCGTATAATACGCACTCGTGTCTTACATGCACCCTTAATTATGGGCAATTAAATTCTGGAAAAATATATCTGTCGTATATAAACATTTCAGGCTGTCAGCATAAACCACGAAATTTATCCTTTAACTCTGTTTTTTTCACCAAAATAATATTCTAATAAGAGCCCCCTATTTCTAATTTTGAGAGCGCCCTGGGCGCTTATTACGTCGAATACGGTATTATTTTTTTCGCACTGACCATCCGATCTGTTAGTCACCTCTTACGACAGACATAGTCACCATTTCCGGCAAGCATGGGTTGCTGAAGACCTATTCTAACCCGGATCTTCACGGTATCTGAAACTCTGAACATCTTGAATTTATTACAGGTGAGTGCTGCTGCCAAGAACTCCTCAGCCAGCACCAGGAGCATGGAGTTGGCCCGAGCCAAGGGCACCACCGAGGGCTTCCAGCCTGCCAAGGAGGTGGAATGGCCCGTCACACGAGCAGCGAAACGTGCAGTAGCTTCAAGCCGATTGGATGAACTCTCACAACCTATTGTGCGAGCATCAATGGACCATGTGCAATTCAATCCCGATGCATTTGTAGTGAGAGAATCGGCTCTGAAGGGCGTGGTGCCTCGGCGAATCGAGGACTTGGCACAACCCATCCAGAGGGGTTAAAATGGCTGGGGTACAGGGGGTTACAGGATATAGGGTTAACAGGAATTATTGAACGGAGGGCTAAATGGGACATAACTTTCTAAATAAGCAAAATGTGAATTTAAAGAACGTAACTTTAATTAGAAATGCCATCAACATTATACATGTGTTGGAGTGTTCAAACTTGATAATGTAGTTTTATCAGAGTCTCTTAATCTCTTTTGATGAACAATGTCAATTGATGCCTATGATTTCCACAAGAATGGTTCCTTGCTGTTTTCAGAATAACCACCTGAAGACAGACAACTCATTTCATAAGGCGTCAGCGCCAGGTGAAATACATTTGTCCATTATTTGTGCTTTCTTTGACTGGACAAATGATACGATTTTGAGTTCCTACTCCCAAGATTTCAGCTGTTCGTTTTCTATGTTTATCGTTAATGTGGCAATATCTAATGTTTACTTCTGTTTCCTTGGTTACCATCAAATTACATTTCTAGACTACCAATCGTAATTCAGTAGTCATTCTACAGAGATGCCAACCATTACAATTTTTGGCATATTTACTGATTTTGAGTTTAAACATTTGTTGATACTTTGTCCCCCTGCAAATCATGATTCGCAAATTGTTTACATGCATAATTATGGACAGCAAATTGTTAATACAACCGTAACATTCTACAGCAAGACTATGCTGACCAATGAGAGCCATGCTTTCAATTCACAGTGTTAAAATATCAATTACTCAGCGGTATGAGGTCTTGGACAGAGAGTTGTGTTAAAACACACTCAAAACATTTTATCAGTCAATCTTTGCGGTGCAGACAGGGAATGAATGGTATTGTTAATGTTACTCCTTTTTCCGCACTTAATACTCCAAAGCTTCAATCAGGGTTGGCATTGCTGGTTATGGCATCATGTGATTCTTTTGTTCCAAGAAATCTCATCACTGATTTTGCAGGACAAGTTTATCATTGAGCCTAAGAGAGAGTATTACGTAAACCATTCAGTATTACAGTTTTTTTTCATTGTACAGGAGTTGATTGTATTTATTTTGTGTATATTGATGTAATATTATTGCTGCCTTTTCGATGCAGCCATGATAATACCAGCCTGAAACTTTTGTACATTAAATATGGTATATGCGTAATATTTTTATATTTATTTTCTAAATAATCATAATCACTGTGGAACAACATGCACAGCGCTAGCCATTGACAGACCAGTCTCCAGGCAATGTGAATCACTTAAGAAATGACTGTAATATGTAACATTGTAATAACTGGCTGAATGTAATACAAGAACAGCTGCCATGCAGTTGGAACTGTTGTGGTTCATTCCTACAACATTTTCCTTTCAAAACAACTTTAGTCTGAAATCTGATGACATCCCCAGTTGTCACTTGTATTGTGTCAACATAAAATAACTGACCATAATTTCATCAATCTGAAACAAGCGTGAATATGGGTGTTAATAGTTCCTGTGCCTAATGGTCACAGAGGGGCGTGTCAGTGTTTTTCCATGACAAATTTATTTATTTGCAATAACCTTGATAACCTTCAACATATCTCAGTCTATGTGCTTGTAAATAAATTGTTTTTGTTTTGAACATTTGAATGGGTCTGTGATTCATTGTTTAATATTTGGTGAGTGAATGAGTGAGTGAGTTTGATTTTACGCCGCTTTTAGAAATATTCCAGCAATATCACGGCAGGGGACACCAGAAATGGACTTAACACATTGTACCCAACGCTTTAACCACCAGGCTAACTGACTTCCCCGTTTAATATCTGCTAAAAAAAATAATAGTCTTTGTTCTCAGGTACATGTTGAATGTTTTGTTCTTATCTCCATTTAAAAAAATTCAAAATCTTTAAATTTTTGCATTTCATACACAAAACCCCGGCAGTGAAATGTGACAATAATTAAGTTCAACATGATTTCCCGGAAATTATTGTTCACAAAATTTGGTTACATACTAGCTTGAACAAGAACCACACCCACAACCCCCTCTCCAAAACACCGCCCACCCGCACAATATTTTTATAAGCCATTGCCCGAGAACCTATTGTTTTATTTTTTTAAGCTTTATGCTTGAGTGGTGGATGTTTTTATGTAGTTTTTCTCAAAATACCACATGAACAAGCAGCTTTCACACACCAGACTCATGTGTTCGGTCTCACAAGTCAACGCCTTGATCCCGAGGCTGCTGGAGCTGTAGATAAGCATCCTCAATGTCAACACTCTTTGTGTCACACACACAAGACAAGCACACAACTGGCCTCCAACAACAACTCACTATTCATCCCACCTGAAATTTGTTGTTTGTTTGTTGTTTAACGCCGCACTCAGCAATATTCCAGCTATATGACAGCGGTCTGTAAAATAATCGAGTCTGGAGCAGACAATCCAGTGATTGACATCATGAGCATCGATCCACGCAATTGGGATCGATGACATGTATCAACCAAGTCAGCGAGACTGACCACCCGATCCCGTTAGTCGCCTCTTACGACAAGCATGGGTTGCTGAAAACCTATTTTCCCTGGAACTTTACAAGTCCTGAAATTTGTAAGGTGGAATCTTCCCAGTGGGGACATAGAGGCCATGTCTTAAAAGGAGGGCCTGCCTTAGAAAGAGGGCCTGCCTGGATGTTGGGGGCCAGTTGGTTAACTTGTCTATCATGTTTATACTTTCAGAGAATGTATCGCAAAACACACAATGAGCTTTCTATACAAGCTTCTGGGAGCCATTGGTTCTGGTGAATTGGAACAAATCAAGACTTTGTCTAAATGTCCACTGTGACAGTTGATGAGAAAACTTTGTATAACTGTGAGGTTTGAAAACGATGTTCATATAACATTAACACACAATGAGGTGCAATCACAACAAACATCACATTTGAACTTCAACAGGATTTATTGCCTTCAAAAACAATTTTTGTCAGAATAATTTTTTCGATGACAAGGAATGAGGGGCCCTTTTAAGTGGATGTGCACATTTCATCTAGTAGACACAAAAGTCATGATTAAACCATAACAAAGACTATTATCAAAGTATTTTTACCAATCCTGACAATTAGCCAAAGTTTCTTTTCACAATGGACATTTAGCAATCTCACAGTGGAGTTATTCCCCTTTATAAAGTTGACTTGACACTGACCCTTACATCATGGCAGTCATGCCCTGAAACACAGGCTGCAGATGTCCGCTACTGGGATTAAAGCCACAATTACCAACATGACACTGATAGACAAATCATAATCGGTGACAATCCAGGATTGAAAACTAGCATCCTTTCACAGCTAAGGGAAGTAACTATGTGAAGGAGACGATAGGTTAATTCCATCTTTCCCACGATACTGTTTGATTATCAGAAAACATAGAGCATCCATCAACTGTACCGCATATCTATACAATGTGTACACAATGAATGTTAATGAAAGCAGGCTGCATATATACATCATGTTCAAGACCACATTGTCTGGTGAACTGTTTCATGTTTATCTTAACTGTGTGACGAATAACAAATCTTCATTAAATACCAAACCGACCTGCATTATCAAGCTTGAGTGAGTGAGTATGGTTTTATGCCGCTTTTAGCAATATTCCAGCAATATCATGGCGGGGGACACCAGAAATGGGCTTCACACATTTTACCCATGGCGGGAATCGAACCCAGGCCTTCGGCATAACGAGCAAACGCTTTAACCACTAGGCTACCCGACCGCCCCTTATCAAGCTTGAGGTGATAGATACAAACTATAGACAATGTGTTGTTAGGAGAACCAAACTTAGAAGACAGTCCTTGCTCCAGCAGAGAAGAGCTACTATATAATACTCAGGGATGAGAATGGATATTTTCCTTTTCAGCTGAACCATCTTTGCAATGTCCATAATTTGGGGGTATTTATGGGGGTATTTATGGGGGAAGCCATAAGATTTCAACAAATTTGTGGTCACTAAAATTCGCGAATCTGCAGAAGATTCTCATCCCTGAATACTACTGGTACAGTTGGCCCAGGTGGCACCACCAGCATGTGAGTCAATTTAACCCTGAACGACGTCAGTTTCCCAGATTCAACAAGCACCTGTTTCTAGAGATGGAGACACAAGTCTCCCAATGTACGTTCTGTGTCATGTTGTTTCCATGGCTGATCCACTCTCACCTTTTGAGCGAAGGTAGGCCTCATACTGCTCAGGAATGTTCTTAAATCGGTTGATTTTCTTTTTTATCTGTTTAGGTGTGTCCTGGTAATAGTTCTTTGGGTCCCGTGCCATTGCCTGCACAAAAGCGAAGAAAATGTTTCAGCATTATCATACCATGAATACATATTAACATTGCTTAATAAGACTGTATGTATGTTCCACTATCACCTTGATTGGAAAAGGATGTCATTAAGTTGGTTATATTTATTATTAATTGGTTAATTTTGGTATCTGATCTGATCTTCATCATGTAGTAATTCCTACTGATTATTAATTACGCCCTTATTTTTTAAAACATTTTCATCTACGGGTATCTCACAGTGCATCTTCTCAAGCCAGGGGAGCTAACTGACTATAAAAGTCCAGTTTCTACCCTTGCCGAACTAGACTGGAATTTCTGGGGTCAATTATAGTGCTATGCTTCCAGACTTGATTATTTACTAACCGCCGTCCATATAGCTGGAATATTGCTGAATGCGGCATTAAACAACAAATAAACAAACAAATCGATCATAGCACCACAAGTAGCTTTTATGAGTTGTGTTCCTCTATGTTCCTCCACTTGACCAATCAGATTCCACCTCCCATATCACTAGCATTTGTTTCAAACAAGATGATCAGATCGATAATCAAGATCTATATTGTCAAAGAGCCTTGTCGTACTTTTCGCAAAGTGCATCAAATCATGCAAGCACCTTGATTAGAAACATGAAAGGATTTGGAAAATATCTGTTGATGAGATGACGGTACACATGCTTTACAAATTCTGCAATCGACAGAAATCTGCAAGGCAGTTGATGAACCTGACATTGATTTCGTTACACGATTTTCATTTGACAATGCATAGACTCATTAGTCCAGGCAAGTCATGATTCCATAATTCCTGCCTAGTTCGGCAAGGGTGGAAACTGGACTTTTATAGTCAGTTACCTCCCCTCCCTCAGGTAGACGCTTACAGTGGTACATCCCCACATGTATACCTTATAGTCCTCGCCGTGTTTCTCCATCATGTGTGCACAGTATCTGACCTCCAAGTCTGACAGTCTTAGTCTCGCCTCCTGGGGAATATTGGCCTGCTTCTCAAGGGCTGAAACAAACAACAGCGTGTACTAAGACCAGCCTAATAATATATGGAAACAGAACCTTGAGCAAGGATGGCGCTGTTCTATAGAATGAGCTTCCAGTGGATGTCAGGAGATGGGAAGATGTCAGGAGAGGGAAGATGTCAGGAGAGGGAAGATGTCAGGAGATGGGAAGATGTCAGGAGATGGGAAGATGTCAAGAGATGAGAAGATGTCAGGAGATGGGAAGATGTCAAGAGATGGGAAGATGTCAGGAGATGGGAAGATGTCAAGAAGATATGAAGATGTCAGGAGATGGGAGGATGTCAAGAGAGGGAAGATGTCAAGAGATGGGAAGATGTCAGGAGATGGGAAGATGTCAAGAGATGGGAAGATGTCAAGAGATGGGAAGATGTCAAGGGAGGGAAGATGTCAAGAGAGCGAAGATGTCAGGGGATGGTAAGATGTCAGGAGATGGGAAGATGTCAGGAGATGGGAAGATGTCAGGAGATGGGAAGATGTCAGGAGATGGTAAGATGTCAAGAGATGGTAAGATGTCAAGAGATGGGAAGATGTCAGGAGATGGGAAGATGTCAAGAGAGGGAAGATGTCAGGAGATGGGAAGATGTCAGGGGATGGGAAGATGTCAAGAGATGGGAAGGTGTCAGGAGATGGGAAGATGTCAGGAGATGGGAAGATGTCAAGAGATGGGAAGATGTCAGGAGATGGTAAGATGTCAGGAGATGGGAAGATGTCAGGAGATGGGAAGATGTCAAGAGATGGGAAGATGTCAGGAGATGGGAAGATGTCAAGAGATGGTAAGATGTCAAGAGATGGGAAGATGTCAGGAGATGGGAAGATGTCAAGAGATGGGAAGATGTCAAGGAGAGGGAAGATGTCAAGAGAGAGAAGATGTCAAGAGAGAGAAGATGTCAAGAGAGGGAAGATGTCAGGGGATGGGAAGATGTCAGGAGATGGGAAGATGTCAAGGAAGGGAAGATGTCAAGAGATGCTAAGATGTCAGGAGATGGGAAGATGTCAAGAGATGGGAAGATGTCAGGAGATGGGAAGATGTCAGGAGAGGGAAGATGTCAGGAGAGGGGAAGATGTCAAGAGAGGGAAGATGTCAGGAGAGGGAAGATGTCAGGAGATGGGAAGATGTCAGGAGATGGAAGATGTCAGGAGAGGGGAAGATGTCAGGAGAGGGAAGATGTCAGGAGAGGGGAAGATGTCAAGAGAGGGAAGATGTCAGGAGAGGGAAGATGTCAGGAGATGGGAAGATGTCAAGAGAGGGAAGATGTCAGGAGAGGGGAAGATGTCAGGAGATAGGAAGATGTCAAGAGATGGGAAGATGTCAGGAGAGGGAAGATGTCAGGAGATGGGAAGATGTCAGGAGATGGGAAGATGTCAAGAGATGGGAAGATGTCAGGAGATGGGAAGATGTCAGGAGAGGGGAAGATGTCAGGAGATGGGAAGATGTCAAGAGATGGGAAGATGTCAAGAGATGGGAAGATGTCAAGAGATGGGAAGATGTCAAGAGAGGGAAGATGTCAAGAGAGGGAAGATGTCAGGGGATGGGAAGATGTCAGGAGATGGGAAGATGTCAGGAGATGGGAAGATGTCAGGAGATAGGAAGATGTCAAGAGATGGTAAGATGTCAAGAGATGGGAAGATGTCAGGAGATGGAAAGATGTCAGGGGATGGGAAGATGTCAAGAGATGGTAAGATGTCAAGAGAGGGAAGATGTCAGGAGATGGAAGATGTCAGGGGATGGGAAGATGTCAGGAGATGGGAAGGTGTCAGGAGATGGGAAGATGTCAGGAGATGGGAAGATGTCAAGAGATGGGAAGATGTCAGGAGATGGTAAGATGTCAAGAGATGGGAAGATGTCAGGAGATGGGAAGATGTCAAGAGATGGGAAGATGTCAGGAGATGGGAAGATGTCAGGAGATGGGAAGATGTCAAGAGATGGGAAGATGTCAGGAGATGGTAAGATGTCAAGAGATGGGAAGATGTCAGGAGATGGGAAGATGTCAAGAGATGGGAAGATGTCAGGAGATGGGAAGATGTCAAGAGATGGGAAGATGTCAGGAGAGGGAAGATGTCAAGAGAGGGAAGATGTCAAGAGAGGGAAGATGTCAGGGGATGGGAAGATGTCAAGAGATGGGAAGGTGTCAGGAGATGGGAAGATGTCAGGAGATGGGAAGATGTCAAGAGATGGGAAGATGTCAGGAGATGGGAAGATGTCAAGAAGATATGAAGATGTCAGGAGATGGGAAGATGTCAAGAGAGGGAAGATGTCAAGAGATGGGAAGATGTCAGGAGATGGGAAGATGTCAAGAGATGGGAAGATGTCAAGGGAGGGAAGATGTCAAGAGAGCGAAGATGTCAGGGGATGGTAAGATGTCAGGAGATGGGAAGATGTTACGAGATGGGAAGATGTCAGGAGATGGTAAGATGTCAAGAGATGGTAAGATGTCAAGAGATGGGAAGATGTCAAGAGAGGGAAGATGTCAGGAGATGGGAAGATGTCAGGGGATGGGAAGATGTCAAGAGATGGGAAGATGTCAGGAGATGGGAAGATGTCAAGAGATGGTAAGATGTCAAGAGATGGGAAGATGTCAGGAGATGGGAAGATGTCAAGAGATGGAAACATGTCAGGAGAGGGAAGATGTCAAGAGAGAGAAGATGTCAAGAGAGAGAAGATGTCAAGAGATGGTAAGATGTCAGGGGATGGGAAGATGTCAGGAGATGGGAAGATGTCAGGGGATGGGAAGATGTCAGGAGATGGGAAGATGTCAAGGAAGGGAAGATGTCAGGAGATGGGAGGATGTCAGGAGATGGGAAGATGTCAGGAGATGGGAAGATGTCAAGAGATGGGAAGATGTCAGGAGATGGGAAGATGTCAGGAGAGGGAAGATGTCAGGAGAGGGGAAGATGTCAAGAGAGGGAAGATGTCAGGAGAGGGAAGATGTCAGGAGATGGGAAGATGTCAGGAGAGGGAAGATGTCAGGAGAGGGGAAGATGTCAAGAGATAGGAAGATGTCAAGAGATGGGAAGATGTCAGGAGAGGGAAGATGTCAGGAGATGGGAAGATGTCAGGAGATGGGAAGATGTCAAGAGATGGGAAGATGTCAGGAGAGGGGAAGATGTCAGGAGATGGGAAGATGTCAGGAGAGGGGAAGATGTCAGGAGATGGGAAGATGTCAAGAGATGGGAAGATGTCAGGAGAGGGAAGATGTCAGGAGATGGGAAGATGTCAGGAGATGGGAAGATGTCAAGAGATGGTAAGATGTCAAGAGATGGGAAGATGTCAGGAGATGGAAAGATGTCAGGGGATGGGAAGATGTCAAGAGATGGTAAGATGTCAAGAGAGGGAAGATGTCAGGAGATGGAAGATGTCAGGGGATGGGAAGATGTCAGGAGATGGAAGATGTCAGGGGATGGGAAGATGTCAGGAGATGGGAAGATGTCAAGAGATGGGAAGATGTCAGGAGATGGTAAGATGTAAAGAGATGGGAAGATGTCAGGAGATGGGAAGATGTCAAGAGATGGGAAGATGTCAGGAGATGGGAAGATGTCAAGAGATGGGAAGATGTCAGGAGAGGGAAGATGTCAAGAGAGGGAAGATGTCAAGAGAGGGAATATGTCAGGGGATGGGAAGATGTCAGGAGATGGGAGGATGTCAGGAGATGGGAAGATGTCAGGAGAGGGGAAGATGTCAGGAGATGGGAAGATGTCAAGAGATGGGGTGATGTCAGGAGAGGGAAGATGTCAGGAGATGGGAAGATGTCAGGAGATGGGAAGATATCAGGAGATGGGAAGATGTCAGGAGAGGGAAGATGTCAGGAGAGGGAAGATGTCAGGAGAGGGAAGATGTCAGGAGAGGGAAGATGTCAGGAGATGGGAAGATGTCAGGAGAGGGAAGATGTTAGTAGATGGTTTGATATCAGCAGCTTGCGATCAACATCTTCTTCAAAAGAGCAATTCTGACTGAGTTCTTTAAAACAGGGAGTATCTGGATAAGATGTGATATATACATCTATAATATATTTATTAATACACATCAATCAAAACAGAACAGTTAATTCAATACATAAAATTTAGCAGGGAGTATCTGGATAAGATGCACAAATCTATAATTTATTTATTAATATACATCTATCAGAACACAACAGTCTATTCAATATTTTAAATTTATTAAACCCATCACCATTCTTGAACTAGTGTATGTTATTATGCCACAGTCTGCAACAGTCCAGTTATTCCACAGTGGCCTATTAATAACCACCACAGGGCTAGCCAGACAAGTGGTTCACAGCAGAAGCAATGATCCACACTTTTTGACACACAGATAACATAATCATCGTTTCACAAAGCGATCTTATCGCTAAGATGATCGTAACACCCAATGAGTCCCAATGAGTCAAAATACAAATTTTACTGAAACCAATGCATCAAGTTTACAAATTTCTGACATGTGAAAACCATTCTGTTTTACTTGACAACATCATGGCAAAGTACTTATCCATCTCCGCACAGCAGACAAATATCGCAACACAAAAAGGTGTGAGTGAAAACGATGATGAAAGTAACTTAGGAACTATTTATAGTGATGGTTGACATGATTCCGAGGAGTTGGAAGCAAATATAGACATGGAAAAACTGTCATTGTCGGTGACACTCGAAAGTAAATAAAAAAGTAAATCAAACAAAAAAATCAAACAAAGAATGGCTAACGAAGAATGAATGGCTAATATACTATTCAAGATTAATGCTGTGTACATATCATAATAGGAATTTGATTAAATTACTTCTAAAAGTTAATTTTAAACATTTTGGGCTACCTACAATATTGGCCTGACTTGTTGATTTTACTAGTGGCTACCTGTAAAAAAATATAGCAACAAAACAGGTTCTGGGTAAAAAAAAATATACTTTGGGGCATGAAACATCACTTGATCTGCTAGCATTGTTTTATATGCAGAGATAAAAGTTACTGTGACTTTTTCAAGAACTTAGCCAGAAATAGCAATCAGCTATACACATATTTTCCTCCAGATCTACCTGTGATTCAGACAAAAAATACCAATAATATAACATAAAAGAATTTTGATCCAATGATTGGAAGAAATTGTATCTGAAACTATTTTTTTACCAGGAAAAGTATATTTCAATAATTTGATATTTCAAGTGCAGATTTTACTCACTCTCATTAAAATCAAATCCTAGTGTTCACTACCACTACACAAAGATCATAGGACATCCCATGACAGGTCACGTCAGAACAACCTTTCAGGAACTTTGACCGACCAATGACATAACTAACAAGAAGTCAACATAAGCCAATCAAATAGCAGCTTCCATTCCAGACTATGCTTTGAAAAATATCAATTCAAATTTGTAAAACTCAACAACAAAATTGGGGAATGTCTAATAGATGGACGAGATTAACAAGAAAACACATTCAGACTGTCACTTTCCACGATCTAGTAAGCGACGCTCTGATTGGTCAGATGAAAAGACGTTCTAATGTGATGTCCTCAGATCTTTGTTTAGTGTTAGCAAGAACTAAGATCTGACTCTGATGTATGTACGGAACAGTTTGACAAGTCAACCTTAGAAGCTTCCAACAGTTAAGATATTTGAACATGAAAACATAATGTTGATATATAATAGTGAAACTATAATATATATAATTTTTGAAGAGTCAAAGTAGGGCATTTATGATACTGTAAATCTTGAAATTAACGCTGCATAATTTGGATAGTGGAAATACCAACTTGAATATAAACACACAGTTTATTGAGCAGCAGTTGCAACAAGTATATAACAATGTCATTCAAACAAGAAATTACACAACGGGCATTCGTTGAGTTATCACCGTTGGTGTCAAGAGTTCTTCCCACTCGTTGACACCTTCTCCACGTACCAATCAGTGAACTGTTGTTGGTTCAATTATTTTATTGCCTTTGATCTTCCTTTATACCAGTCAGCAGAGTAAACATGGTAAACATATAAACTGTGTGATGTTTTTTAGGAAAACACTGTTTATTGTTTATTGGAAGTGCAGGGTTAGAAACTAACAGTTTTTGTCCACTAGTCCTTATAATGATAACATATAGCAAAACCCTTAAAATGGGCCAGTTTCTACTAGTCCTTAGCATACCTTTACTATTGGGCAGTTTGGTAAGGACTACAGGACTAGTGCCAATTTCTAATGCTGGAAGTGCACTACACACTTTGTGCTATTTGCTGTTTGATTGGATAAAGGTAAGGATATGTATCATTCCACTGAGGATGGGATGGGGTTGGGGTTGCATTGATATTGAGTCGCATTTTTAGCTTGGGGTCAGCAGTCGTATTAATTTAGGGACTCATTAATTTCCAGATTTACAACATATGTATCTATTTTCTGTTAACTATGGTTCGTTTCAAGGTGTCAGTTATTGTAATCTGATCATGGTTCTGTAAATAACAGTGAGTTGGTGGGATCTGCCGATAAGTACACACCAGATTTCGCCAAACTAATGTAAACAATGTTGAATTTTGGAAAAAATAAATGAAATAGATCACAAACATATGTCTGAATATACATGTACAATGAACAGATTTTATAACCAGATAGGTGATAACAGGAATAAATTGCCTACTTCTGGAGGGATTTGTTGACATGGTATTTCCTGTGTTACTTGCTCATGGTAATGTCTGCATTGGGGAAAAACATTAAAATTTGTTGAATGCGTGTATTATGTGCATCACCCCTCTACACAGATGTATTTTGGGGAGAAAAAGTGTACACTATACGCATAATGTAAACAGTTACATTTCTAAGGGGTCATTCACATGTCTTGTTGCATACTTTACTCTCATTTCCACCATAGCAGAGTCACTGATGAGTATATTTACCATCAACAACATGATGCTTGACAGCTTTCTTCTTTTTGGATTTGATTGCCATGACAACTTCAGCAGACTTTGTCAGAAATTCCTGAAATACCAAACACAATGACAACATCAGACAGTGGAACACACATGGTACAATCACAATACAAATTTGGCTTTGGCCATTGTTCCGCTTTAGCTCGATGACGTTTTGCTGAGGTGCAGTTTTAGCTTTAACCATTACGACATGACATAATATTTGTATGTATTAGCCATCATGACCACCCAATACCCTTATACAGCAGATCTAGGTATACATGTGTATTGGGGACACAGATGTCATCCTTTGACAAAACATGGTATACAACACATGTTCAAAACTCACATAGCAACAAAATAGCACACCTTAGTTTTGGGGATCCTTATGGTTTGGTTGGAGTCCGCTGACAGCCCCATGTCCTGCATGTTCTGTGCTACAGACTTCTTCTCATCCCAAGCTTCACTTACAGTCTCACTGAAAAATGATTGAACATTATACACAATAAACTGACATCCCAGCCCAAAAAAAGTCAAAGCCAAAACACACTGATTTCTTGTCAACCCATTTCAGGTATTTGACCAGAAAAACTAATCGTTTGTTTGTTGTTTAACACCACACTCAGCAATATTCCAGCTATATGATGGCGGTCTGAAAATAATCGAGTGTGTACCAGACAATTTAATCCAGTGATTGACATTATGAGCATTGATCTACGCAATTGGGACACGATGACATACATCAATCAAAGTCAGCAAGCCTGACCAACGAATCCTGTTAGTCGCCTCTTATGACAACGATAGTCGCCTTTCACAGCAAGCATGGGTTGCTGATGACCTAATCCAAATCGGATCTTCACGGGATGACACGCCTATCGAGGTAAATAATCTTTAAGTTTTCATCGTTTTGGTTTTTTTGTAATATTTCAGCATTTGTACAAACTCCTGTATATCCCCTCATCCATTCATCTTTGGGAAGTGCTACTCCTAGGGTTTAGGGACGTGGCTCTAACTGAAATTGTGCACTACTCGTCTTTCAGTTAGCGTGAACGACGTCTATATGTACCTACTTCAGCACGTTAAATAAAGTTCTCCTGCGATGAGGCCCTGACTTATAGTAAATTATACTGTATAAACATTTCTAACAGCCTTACCATGTTATTTTTTGTAGTTTGTTTTTGTTTTTCCAACTTCTTTTCCGGTCTTTGGTATAGTTGTATGTCTTATTTCTGCTCTGTTTTCGTATTTTCGTCATGGTTCTGTCACAGAGTATTTCTTCAAGCAAAACATCAACACGTGCTCAAGGACGCGACTATGGGTATGACAAAATATGGAATGACTTCCGAAACAGATAAACACACTAAGTGTTTTATTGAGGCTAAACAAATTACGACTGTTACATCATACTGCTTACATTTTAACAAGGATAGCGCTATCTAACTGTAACATACTTTTATTCTCAAAAGAAATATATCCATAACAATCAAATACCGCTATGATCCCTTTTACTATTTTCCAACCGGATGTTTCCGATGATCTTACAATATCAAAATGTGAGATCAGTACAGCGGTGGAAACAAATGTAATACTTGATGGTATAAACATTGGTGTATGTTTATTACACTTTGAATCAATTTTTGTCCAAAAATACCATAAAGCAATGTCACAATGCTATCGCAAGCCGATAGATGCCGGTTTTGTGAAATCATAACTGGATAACTTTCGGATCCTTATTCCTGTGCAGCTTCTTTGTATTCTAAAATGGCGACCTCTACAGAGTCTGAGATAGAACAGAAGCCTCCACCTCAAGAATATGCATATTTACCACCACCAAGAGAAGAACTTGGCTATTACCAAGAGGGTTTGAAAGAGAAGTTTATCAGGAAAACGAAGGACAATCCATTTGTTCCTATAGGTACATTGCATTAGTGGGCACTACCATTCAAAGCGTACAGTTGCTGTGTCCACTTCACTCTACACGGTGTCGTGTATCATTTCGTATCCCGTTTGATTCGTATCTCGGCACTTCCCTCGCCTCTAGTTCCTTTTGTATCCCTTCAGTTTCATATCCGCATTATACAGGACACCTATCCGCTATTTGTCTTGATGCTACTAATAAAGCCGCACGCGACAGCATCACTATTTGATATATTTAGAGCTATAAAGCTCAAAATAAGCATAATAAAATGACCCAACTTGCATTTGTATGGTATAATTGAATATCACATCAATGTCCAAACGTTAAAAATTGGACATCAACATTGAAAAAGTAATCGAGAATAGAAGTTCCATAATTACGTGCGACAATCTCATCAGTGACATCCATCCGGTTGAGCCACATTTCAGCGAACACATATTTTGTATCTACTTTGGTAATTCAACATTACATTTACACCGAAACAGTTAAATTAAAGCCATTTTGTCGGGGGCAGGTCCCCCCCAAATCCCCAGTTATTCTAGCGAGGCGACAAAAATGGCATCTGAAAAACGTAGAAAACGTGACTAAGGAATAAGCTTATGCACATCCCTTACCAAAATGACAGAAGGTGTCCGGTATACTGCATTCTTGCCTCAAATCCCTTCATCAGTGTTGTACCCTGTTATATGTTTGAGTAATTGTTATACAAACACAAATTCACTTGTCAATTAAACCATCATTCACTTTGTGACACCAATGATTAAGGAAGACATGCTGATAGTTGACAAAGTTCAGTATGTAAGATAAAGTTTAATATGTAAATGCCTGCAGTGTTTTGCTTCAGTAAGTCTTTTTACAATATGTGCTGGTGATATTTCCTCCTCTGAGCCTTTGTTGGATTGCCCCCTCCTGTGACATCCAATCCATGTGAAACGAGGGTCATCGCCTCTACCATGGCCCTGCACAGCAATTGTACTCTGTTCACCATTATGGAGGGTGTTTTTTTTAAGTCTGATACTGTCTTTGCTTCCCACTTTCTACATGGGTTGTAGCGAAAACGGCACTGGGCGAAAATGGCACCGGGCGAAAACGGCACCTCGACTCGAGCGAAAACGGCACCTTATTTATTTTTACCTTGGTCAAATAAATGATTTTAAACTTACATTGTAACTTGCAAAGGCCAATAATTGTGAGATGTTAAAACAAGTTTACATTAGAAATTAGCCTCTGCTCCAACTATAATCCAACTTAGCTTAACTTATTGTGAAAACACTATACGCTTTGAAGTTTTAAGTACCTTTACTCAATTTAAGCTGAAACTGTATTTAAGAGGCCTAACATGGTGCTGTCAGATCACAATTATTCACAATGGCCTTTCAATGTGTTGCATGCGAGAAGAATGTCAGAAAAAATCAACATGCTGTATCCTGTGATAACTGTGACCAGTGGACCCATTGTGTATGTGGAACCGGACTTTCTGTGGCCCGTTAAAGAGAAATTGTGCTGTGTGAAATGCGTTGCTCCCGTCATTGAAGAGGTGATCGGTAACTTTGATGTCAGTTTCCAGTCAGAATATGCTGAAGAAATGAGAGTACCAAACCTATCAGAAATTCACATTACGGCTTCAGATGTACTCTATACATCAAATACCATGTAAATAAACCATAAATATTACCACAAAAATCGTTGTTATCGTTATTAAAAATAGAGGTGCCATTTTTGCCCGACACAGAGTAGCCGTTTTCTCCAAATGCGGTGCCGTTTTCGCCTGCACCCTTCTACATGATGTCTCAAAAACCGATGTTCAGGATCTACACAAGTTCAATCCCTTGGTCCTGGCATCACGGTTGACGGCAGATAGACGATACCTGCAGCCCAGTACTCTGTATTCTGTACATATAGAATAGTCATTTGAATGTCCTTCCTTTGTTTATTGTCATTATTCGGGTTCCCAGACTCAGTACCCAGTAAAGGGTGAAGTAACTCATCTGTAGACATGGTAGAGACTCCGGTCTTCAACATCAAAGTCATCTAAAGGCACAGATGTTTTGATGGTATCTAGACCCTTTTACCTGCACACCACTGCTTTGGGCATGTGCTGCCTGGTATAAGCTTGAAGATCCTCTTGTGGATATTGTCAGTCATTCCTCTTCTCGTCTTAGCCTGATTCAAGCCAACAGGCATGACTGACAGCTTTGATGAAGTGTTAAAAGAGATGCCAAGCTGGCTCACCCTATTGTCTGTGGGAGATAGTGATTTGTTTTTAGAAGCTGGAAACCTTGTTCAAGCATGTTTTCCAAATAGGATGAAAGATGAAGGAAGAAATGCATAGTGTGAGATAGGATAAATATATAAATATACAATTCAATGTCCCAGAAAACAATTGATTTCTCACAAGTCTTTTTAGGGAGATCTATCTTTCAATAGTTATCAAAATCCCCCATAATCATTGCTGATTATGTTAGATATTTTTTATGAATTTGTCATTTTTTGAACAGACATTGTTCATGTTCTTCTAAATCTTTCCATGGTACCAATACTGAGAAAAGCATCTTACATACATCTTGCCAGTTTCTATCTGGAGACATCCCAGCTACGATAATGCCGAGGACACAAAGGCACACATGTTTTAAAGGCCTTGTGACACTCTCATGTCTAAAGTTATATTCATATCAAAAGAATTATATTCATTATATGTATGGAATCAAAATTCATGATTGATATAGGTCCCAATTATCACTTAGGAATGATAGTGCTACCATTGGAGCACAGTTGGCGTTAGCGCTTTTAAAATTCGCTTGGGTTGTCACAAATAAAGACCTCAAAATATGTACTTTTAATTGAGCGCAAGAGTGCAAAGTTTATGTTTTCACAAAATAAATCCTCGACCATCGTATTGTACATCATACTGGCTACATAATGGTGTTAAAAAAGTATTACCATTTTTTATGATACTTGGACATTAACAACACTTGTAGATATTTAATGAAGGCAAATGTTTTCAGGTGTTGCCATGACAACCCTTGCCCTAACATATGGTCTGTGGCAAATGAGGACCGGGAACACACGTCGATCACAGACCATGATGCGAATGAGGATTGGTGCCCAAGGGTTCACTTTGTGTGCCGTGTTGGGCGGGGTTTTCTACAGCGCCATGAAGGCCAAGAAGAAGCCTGCGAACTGATGTACATGATATTCAAGACTGTTCACAGTGTGTAGATGTGCGGTTGTAATCATTGCACCTCTCAAACACATGGAATATTGGCATTGAAGAGGGGCTTGTAATTGTAATTTATAGACTTGGTATTATAACAAGCCATAACTTTGAGAATATATATTACAAAAAGAAAGTGTGTGTTCATGCAGAGAGTGGTGTGTAAGCATGTAAGTAAGGATTAGAAATTATGGATGAACAACTTCCTTATTACAATTAAGAGCGACGTTTCAGTGTAGGTTCTAACACCATTATCAAGCAAGTGATGAAAAACTTCTTTATTACAATTAAGAGCGACATTTCGGTGTAGATTCTAACACTGTTATCAAGCAAGTGATCACTTGCTTGATAACGGTGTTAGAATCTACACCGTTATCAACACCGTGATCACTTGCTTGATAACGGTGTTAGAATCTACACCATTACGTCGCTCTTAATTGTAATAAAGAAGTTGTTCATCCATAAATAATTATCCTTACTTAGTACTCCGGCTTCTAAATGCCTATCAAAGAAGTGTAACTGTGTAAGCATGTAACATTGTGTGAAGGGATCTGACAGCTCTAAACATTATGCTGGATCAGATTAGTTTTGCACTTCTATCATGTTGTCCAGCTCAGAAATAAGAACATTAATTTTTAAACTGTACAACACAATATCTTTTCCAATAATACTGGTACCTATCAAATACTTCACATTGAAGTATGAATCAAATAAAACGAAATATTTTTATGCATTTAACTGTCTTAAATCAGGAAGTCCTGTGATGTGGATTTATTAGGGCTTACACCAGTACTGAACAAATACTTCAAATATTGAAATGTGTTGAATATTGAAATAGTATATTGAGACTTTTGACGGTCCTAAATCAAGAAATGGTGTCATGTTGATTTATTAAAGATACCTCATCATGCTCATGTCTTATGTTTGTGATACCTTTGTTCAGATAACCTTAACAAACACTGTTCCTGTTTTAATACTGTTAATATAGCCTTGTAGTGGTAACATGCTATTACCATGGTTACAGTGGCCTGTCAATATCTCAAAGATTGATTTACCGTAAAGGTCTACGTTTTTGTGTGCCCTGGATATAAGTTCACATTTTGAAATAATGTATATAATTTGGTAGTCCAATCTTTGTAAATAAATTACTGAGTACAAATCTTCAGAAGAGGTACCACATGCTGTTTCATCCTCCACTGATAAACTGTTTCTGCCTCTAGTCCGTGTCAGTAAAATGATAAGGGTAATACATGTATTGATTGTCTTACACAAGTTCAACATGGTATCTACAAGGCACTTTACGGACTAATAGATGAGGGAACAATTTACTGCGTAAGTCAAACCATTGCAACCATGTAGTGTTTTTCAAATGTGTGCTGTGATAGTCAAACATGTATATACATTGTTAAAAAGGGATGTTTTGTTAAACATCATTATGAGAATCATTGTACCAACTGCTCCACGTTGACCTGAATGAAATGTCAGGGCACTGTTGTCTCGAGATGAGAAACTTACCAATCACACCAATATGAAAAGGAAATAGGTCATGGATTACTGTCCTTCTCAGTAAATCATCTATAACAAGTATAACAGTGTGATTGTTTCTGAGTGTGAAGTAATGGTATTTATAACCCAGATAAAGGTTAAATAACTTCGTAACCTGCTGTATTATGTTTACAAAATGTCAATAAACTGTTCAATATCATCTTGTGTTTCCTTGTGACATATACCAATGAATTATTTATTAGTGATTGATAGGGAGAACATAGATAACCTGAGACAAACTGCCCTTGGTTGATTCTGGAGCAGCAAGCCATCTTATCTGGGATAGGCTACCACTGGATGGTAGTGGGAGTGTGTGAGTAGCTTTTTGAGCTTGATTTTATGCCGCTTTGAACAGTATTCCATTTATATCACGGCGTGTCAGCTTTACCTTTACCACTTTGGCGAATCTCAGGTTTTGTGCCGACAAACTTGGAAGTCAGGGTGAACCATGATTCAAGCCCACAATCTTTGGTCTTTGTGAACCCAAGGGACACAACTCTGCACAGCAAATTGCGGGACCTTAGAAATCTAGACCACCCTTGCCCCAGGTGGTTGTGGGATGTGATCCTGGACAGCCTACCGGGGGTGATAGCTGGAGCATCATGCTACGGGCTAAGTGGATGGTTGTGAGAGGCAATCAGTGGTAGACAAGCTGTATAAGGTGTTACAGATCTCTGTGCCATGTGTTGTATCATTCATGCCTGCCACAAATCTATGACCTTGGGTTTGAATCCCAGATTTGCCCTGATTATGTTCCCTGGTTTGTCAGCGACATATTTGTGCTTGTTTGTTTCCCTAAAGTGGTACACATCAAAGTCCTGCATCACTTCTGGCTTTGCTCCCACATCACGCTGACACACCGTGATGTAACTGGAATACTGTTCAAACATCTCAAAGCCACATTAAACCAAACTCACAAACCCCAGACTGTTGGCAAATCTAAGACCAACTTGACCTGCAGTCCTAATATTCCTGTTTGAAAAATATAAATAAACGTAGTAAACTTTCAACAAATATCTTTATTTTCAGCTTATCATCATGCCAGTGATGACGTGTAGACTGCATTAATTGATGCATTTGAGCTTTTCAAATGTTTCTACATAATGGCAATTGGCATATACATTTTCTTAAAACAAATGTTCAAACAATATGTTCCAGATGGGTAAAAGGTTTACTTACAGACAAGGAAACAAACATACACTTATAACAGCAGAACAACGCCGTGATATGACTGGAATACTGGCGTTAGACACAACTCACGAACAGCAGAACAATACTGCAGTAAATCAAAATCATCAAGGTTTTGATAAATATAAAGAAAGTGGTGAACTTACTGACCTTTAACAATGATACCCAAACAAATGCCTATTCATACATGTTGAAATACTATTACATTATATGCTACAAGTCCTAGTGGAGCGACGTCCACCTTTGGACAGAATCACAGTGTAACAAACTGGTGACATTCACAACTGACGCTGATGCAATAACAGTGTATAAACAGGATACATGCTGCTCGTCTAACAAACTGGCATAAACTAGTAACAATGAGGTGGGAAATGGGGTTTAGCGACTCATTCAAGATTATCGCATTTACGGTATAAAGCAACAGCCATACACTTATGTGTATGTGAACCATATTTTAACATCTTTCGGAATGACGAGGCTGGTGATTGAACCACCAACCTACCAGGTACAAGCTTTACCCACAAGGCCATGGATGCGGTAACAACACCATAGGATGATTGTCTGATCATTGATTTTCACAGGACAATGCTTCTGTTGTGTATACAGAATAATTATGTAAGACATAAGGGAACGACAAGCATGTGTTTGACAGAGTGCAAACCTGATACAAATAAGGGTGCGAGGTATTACCGATATATCGGAATATTGAGGTTCACTTTTTCCAAGATACATATCACAATAATATGTTTTAATGCTCGGTATATAGGGTTATTTCACATAGGTCTTATATTGTGAAACACTTCAAACCTCTAATACCCATCTCTCGATACTAATGTTTCACTGTGACTGATATTCACATTACTAACAACTGTAAATCTTTTTCAGTTCTGATGTTCCCTTCTTTCTTTTCTCCTGATAAAGTCAGGAAACACTGTAATACAGTTTGTTAAGTACACAAGCTGACTATGATATGGTTCATATAAAACTGACAAATGTACCTCAACAATGTATTGCCCGGTACTATGGGGAGCGGTTTTGGTATATTTATCGTGGCATAAGGTTTGATCATTTACCACACTCTTGCATACACTTCACAAACACCCAGATCCATCTGCTTCACTTATACTTACACAAACACCACACACAGCAAGATCTGGACCATGTAGATCCCTTGTCCCATTACAAATGGGGGGTGTCTGGACCATGTAGATCCCCTCTATCACTAGATATAGGGAGGGACCTGGACCATGTAGATCCTATCTTTTACTAGATATTGGGAGGGATCTGGACAACATAGGTCCCCTCTTTCACTACATATAGGGAGGATCTGGACCATGTAGATCACCTCTTTCACTAGATATAGGGAGGGATCTGGACCATGTAGATCCCCTCTATCACTAGATATAGGGAGGGACCTGGACCATGTAGATCCCCTCTTTTACTAGATATTGGGAGGGATCTGGACAACATAGGTCCCCTCTTTCACTACATATAGGGAGGATCTGGACCATGTAGATCACCTCTTTCACTAGATATAGGGAGGGATCTGGACCATGTAGATCACCTCTATCACTAGATATAGGGAGGGACCTGGACCATGTAGATCCCCTCTTTCACTAGATATAGGGAGGTACCTGGACCATGTAGATCCCCTCTTTCACTAGATATAGGGAGGGACCTGGACCATGTAGATCCCCTCTTTCACTAGATATAGGGAGGGATCTGGACCATGAAGATCCCCTCTTTCACTAGATATAGGGAGGGATCTGGACCATGTAGATCCCCTCTTTGACTAGATATAGGGAGGGACCTGGACCATGTAGATCACCTCTTTCACTACATATAGGGAGGGATCTGGACAACATAGGTCCCCTCTTTCACTACATATAGGGAGGGACCTGGACCATGTAGATCCCCTCTTTCACTGCATATAGGGAGGGACCTGGACCATGTAGATCCCCTCTTTCACTAGATATAGGGAGGGATCTGGACAACATAGGTCCCCTCTTTCACTGCATATAGGGAGGGACCTGGACCATGTAGATCCCCTCTTTCACTAGATATAGGGAGGGATCTGGACAACATAGGTCCCCTCTTTCACTAGATATAGGGAGGGACCTGGACCATGTAGATCCCCCTTTTCACTAGATATAGGGAGGGACCTGGACCATGTAGATCCCCCTTTTCACTACATATAGGGAGGGACTTGAACCATTTAGATCCCCTCTTCCACTAGATATAGGGAGGGACCTGGACCATGTAGATCACCTCTTTCACTAGATATAGGGAGGGACCTGGACCATGAAGATCCCCTCTTTCAGTAGATATAGGGAAGGATCTGGACCATGTAGATCCCCTCTTTCACTAGATATAGGGAGGGACCTGGACCATGTAGATCACCTCTTTCACTAGATATAGGGAGGGACCTGGACCATGTAGATCACCTCTATCACTAGATATAGGGAGGTACCTGGACCATGTAGATCACCTCTATCACTAGATATAGGGAAGGATCTGGACCATGTAGATCCCCTCTTTCACTAGATATAGGGAGGGACCTGGACCATGTAGATCCCCTCTTTCACTAGATATAGGGAGGGACCTGGACCATGTAGATCCCCTCTTTCACTAGATATAGGGAGGGACCTGGACCATGTAGATCCCCTCTTTCACTACACATGAGGAGGGACCCGGTTTAAGTGCAAATTGTGATTGAACAATTCATGTTCATTTATAATCATGTAATTTTGTTGAAATTATTTCACGAATGAGTTTGTGATAGCATTGTTACATGTTTACATTTTGTACAACCGATCTTTCATAAAATTCCTGAATGTACAAATGTTTAAGTATGCATCACAAGTTGGCGTGAGCACCCCTGAACTTTCTCTCTGGATCTGCAAGAGGTTTTTTCCAACAAAAGGGAATAAAAGGCAAGAAACATAACAAAACATAAAAATAATAAAACACAGCACATGAAATATGTGTAAACAATGTTGTACAACAAATACTGTTTGTAGACTACAGCACTGAGTTTCTGTATGACTGGATAGCAAATATTGACCAGGCTGTATGTGTAAACACACGTTTCAGATGTATGTGTAAACATGTCAAAAGCTCCATGTTATATCACAACCAATATGTAGATTAAAAACATCTTTGAAAATATGATATGTATTCCAATAAATAATTGCTAAATACATTGACGTGACTTGCAGCGGTGCAAAACCATAAATATTGCAAATTATCCACATAAAAGGATTCGTAAATATTTTTGTAAATATTATCTAAAATGTAAAATGTTAATACTATCATAAAGACTGTGTCTTATAAAGATAAACAGGATATAAATTTAAATGTATACTAAACATACTAAATAAAAGCACCATGCTTACAAGACAACAGGAGATAAACTGTTCATGGTGTCAAAGAGCTATGAGATAAACTGTATATGCTTGTTTTTGTCAAAGCGATACGATCAATCTGACTTATGTCTCCGCCTCTTCTGAAGACTCTCAAAGATGCGATATGTTTCCATGAATCCCTTGCGCTGGCCACGGTCTGGTGCTTGGACTGAGACAAGATGGATTGGACGGGTCTTGGCAAAGTTGTCAACTTGCATGTAGCTGTACACCAAGTCGGGCGTGATTGATAGTGGCTTGTCCTGCAACGAGAACAGACTATTGTGAGTCTATGGATGGGGCTTGACACTGAGTGAGTGAGTGAGTGAGTGAGTGAGTGAGTGAGTGAGTGGGATGACACTGAGGTCAACATGAACACAGGTGTGCACCAAGTCTGGCTTGATTGATAGTGGCTTGTCCTGAAAGGAGAACAGACTGTGAGTGAGTGAGTGAGTGAGTGAGTGAGTGAGTGAGTGAGTGAGTGAGTGAGTGAGTGAGTGAGTGAGGCTTCACACTGTAGTCAACATGAACACAGTGAGTGAGTGAGTGGGGCTTCACACCGTAGTCAACATGAACACAGAGTGAGTGAGTGGGGCTTCACATTGTAGTCAACATGAACACAAAGTGAGTGAGATGGGCTTCACACTGTAGTCAACATGAACAGAGTGAGTGAGTGAGTGAGTGAGTGAGTGAGTGGGGCTTCACACTGTAGTCAACATGAACACAGAGTGAGTGAGTGGGGCTTCATACTGTAGTCAACATGAACACAGTGAGTGAGTGGGTGGGGCTTCACACTGTAGTCAACATGAACACAGTGAGTGAGTGAGTGGGGCTTCACACTGTAGTTAACATGAACACAGAGTGAGTGAGTGGGGCTTCACACTGTAGTCAACATGAACACAGTGAGTGAGTGAGTGAGTGGGGCTTCACACTGTAGTCAACATGAACACAGAGTGAGTGGGTGGGGCTTCACACTGTAGTCAACATGAACACAGAGTGAGTGAGTGGGGCTTCATACTGTAGTCAACATGAACACAGAGTGAGTGGGTGGGGCCTCACACTGTAGTCAACATGAACACAGTGAGTGAGTGAGTGAGTGGGGCTTCACACTGTAGTCAACATGAACACAGAGTGAGTTGGTGGGGCTTCACACTGTAGTCAACATGAACACAGCTTTACTGTGTCTTTTCATGTCTGGCCTGACTGACAGTGGCTTGTCCTCACAATCGAAAATACATGTAGCAAGGGAAGTAACCAAGGACCAATTTTGGAACACAGTATCTCATAGATAAGCATGCAAACTTTCATTCATGTAGCGTCAGTGCTTTCTGACAAAACTTGTCCCCATTGCAGACACAAGGCACAAAGTTGAAAAGCATGAAGCAAGGGCCATAACTCTGTAAAAAATAATTACAGGCACCAATTTTCAAACTCAGTCTAAGTATCTCTTAGATAAGCATGGAAAGTATCATTCATGTAACTTCAGAAGTTTCTGAGAAAACTTGTCCCAATTGCAGACACTACACACTTAGTTGAAAAGCATGGAGCAAGGGCTATAACTCTGTAAAAAATTGAACTCATTTAAGATCATGACCAGTAATATCAGTGTGTAAACTTCAATTCTCTAATTTAAATAGTTTTTGAGAAAACTTGTCCCCTTGGACAAGCAGACTGAAGGAAGGATGGATGGACAGAAGGATGTACAGACTAACGGAAGCGTGGACGAACTCCGCAGCTAGAGCTGAAAGGGGATGAGTATAGGCTGCTAGAGCTGAAAAGGGGATGAGTATAGGCTGCTACAGCTGAAAGGGGATGAGTACAGGCTGCTAGAGCTGAAAAGGGGATGAGTAAGGCTGCTAGAGCTGAGAAGGGGATGAGTATAGGCTGCTAGAGCTGAAAGGGGATGAGTATAGGCTGCTAGAGCTGAAAAGGGGATGAGTATAGGCTGCTAGAGCTGAGAAGGGGATGAGTATAGGCTGCTGGAGCTGTGAAGGGGATGAGTATAGGCTGCTAGAGCTGAAAAGGGGATGAGTATAGGCTGCTAGAGCTGAGAAGGGGATGAGTATAGGCTGCTAGAGCTGTGAAGGGGATGAGTATAGGCTGCTGGAGCTGTGAAGGGGATGAGTATAGGCTGCTAGAGCTGAGAAGGGGATGAGTATAGGCTGCTAGAGCTGAGAAGGGGATGAGTATAGGCTGCTAGAGCTGAGAAGGGGATGAGTATAGGCTGCTAGAGCTGAAAAGGGGATGACCATAGGCAGTTGGAGCTGAGAAGGGGATGAATACAGACTGCTAGAACTGTGAAGGGATTAATATCAATCTCATTAAAATCAGATCTTAGTTCTTGCTATCTCTAAACAAAGATCTGAACGACCTTTTATCCGACCAATCAGAGCATCGCTTACCAGATCATGAAAGTGACAGTCGGAATGTGTTTTCTAAGCATGCAACCTCGAAAACGTCAACACTGGGTTTTCCGAACGACAGTTACAACCCGTATGACTGATTCCGTCAAAATTATCGTCTATCTCTGGCTTCAGTGGGATAAACATTTGAAAGGAGTTGAACAGTAAGTGGGAAGCACTGCTATACAATCTCAACCATATATTAGACATTCCAGAATGATCGTTTGTACAGTTTGCAAAATTTTAATCGAGAACTGTGTCAACATATTTTTCAAGCGTAGTCTGTAGGTTGAAACAAGAGCCGTAAAGCTTGAGAAAGCTGCTTTCTAATTGGCTGATGTCGACTTCTTGTTAGTCATTTCAGTGGTCGGTCAAAGTTTGTGAAAGGTCATTCTGACGTGACCCGTAATGGGATGTCCCCAGATCTTTGTTTAGCGGCAGCGAGAACTCAGATCTGATTTTAATGAGATTGGGATTAATATAGGCTGCCTGAACTGAGAAGGGATGAATATAGGCTGCTATGAAAAAGGGATGAGAGTGACATGGGGGTGAATGTTTTATCAAATAAATGGTCTGGGGTCTGTAAGAGAGACCAGGCAATGAACAGAAACACTAAAAGATGTTAAATGTAATCTTGGGTAACTGAAACATAATTTCATTAATTTTAATAAAATCTTATAACATGTGTACTGATGGAAAGAGTTCTTAATGGCCAATATAATCTTTGGTATGAAATTTTAGCAATGTATCAAATACTTCAGATCCCTACCATGATAATATATCAAACTAAGTCACAATTGTTACTTTGAAGCTTTTTTGTGGACACATCACTGAACAAAACTCTACAATAGTTCCATGTGTTCCCTTAAATCATTTCCATCAGTACCAGACTGCACCAGACACCAGCCAGGAGACAACAGAGGAACATGTTCCCTGCTGGTGTGGGAGGAGGACAAACTACCTGTTTGGTGGCCACAATGATGAGTGGGATGTTCTCTGTTCCCTTCTGGGTGAGGAAGCCGTGCAGCTCCCGTCTCGACTCAACTAGCCGGGATGCATCGGACGAGTCCACAACGTAACAGATTCCATCCAAGTCCAGCAGGAACTCCTTCCAGTAGGTCCGGCACATCTCGGAACCTCCCACTGCAACAGGAGAAACCTCAGCATGGCATGATGATTGCACAATAGGGGTGACTATTGGTCTGGAAATCACTATTGCGATAACTATTGATATTGCAATCAACTGTTGCGATAAATTCCGATAGTTTTCAGTGTATCATTTTAGGTGGATTTTCGGCATCCAACACGTTTCTTGTCAAGCTTGTTTTTTTCTTTAACATAGCCAAAAGATTTCCAAACACTTGATTTTCCACCCAAGTTTGCCACAAACTCCACTTGAGTTTCACCCTCCGCCATTTTACTTTAAGAAAGACCGGTTTCTAAGCATCAAGGGCAGTTAACTCTAATCCTCACTCGGCTCAGTCGCGAGCGTGTTTCGGTGACTCAATCGCATGATATGGTAAATACAATCGAAACTATTGATATTCCTAACTGAAATTGATAATATTGATCAGAAACTGATTAAACAATCGATTTATTGACTTTAAGTGCTTACCAATAGCAATATATCAATATTTCGATTTATTGTGACATGCCTATTGCACAACTGTACACTCCATTCTGGATATACACTGTATATCAGTTGTTATGAAACAAAGGCTTATCCCTTAGCTGTATTTATCACTGTTATCATTCATTCAATTCAGGAGATAAAACAAATTGCATTTCCTGAAAGTTGGTGTTGGTTTTATCGATTACTCTCCTACCCAGAGTTCATATCTTACGCAGTCCATTCAAAATATTGAAAAGGTTTTTCATCTGTTTCATTTTTGACATGTCTACACATTCATATACAGATATGCCATGAAATTGAAAATTTTCTAATAATTTGTATATTTATACACTTATTGTATCTCACACAATGCATTTCTTCTTTCTTGTTCGATCCTATGTGGAAACGTGCTTCAACAGTTTCCATCCTCAAAAAAAGATATAGTCGAACACATCCCAGCATCATCATTGCCACCACCCAAACAAATGGGTCATGCACTGTAATCCTGAGTATAGTGACCTACACGATCTGATCACGTGATTACCCCTGCCACATCGTTCTCTTTCGTCAGAGCTAACAGGCTAGAGGAGCTGTGATGCTGGGATGGTGGGAGGGCACTTAACATGAGTTTGTTTGTTTGTTGTTTAACGCCACACTCAGCAATATTCCAGCTATATGACAGCTGTCTGTAAATAATGTCTGGACCAGACAATCTAGTGATTGATATCATGAGTATCGATCCACACATTAGGGATATGACGACATACATCTACCAAGTCAGTAGGCCTGACCACCTGATCCCGTTAGTCGCCTCTGAAGACAGTAACGTGTTGCAACGACAATAACTTGTGAGTGGGAAAACACACAAAAACTGGTGATACAATCCTGATACATTCGTCGGACGTAACCGCATGAAATCAGGAATAACATGAGGAACATGTTTTCACGTGTGACACGGTTACATGAACAACCACATCACTGTAAATGACAATTGATACAGCATACGACTTATAATCAATCCGGAAAGGGTCTCAAGTCAATCGATTTTACAAGACAGGACACAACATTAACTCCCATGGAAAATTAGAGTATGCCTGCCTGCTTGCCATCTCTTTTAATGCTTCATCAAAGCTATCAATCACGCCTGTGATTGAAACATGCCGATCAACAATATCCACAAGAGGCTCTTCAAGCCAGTGCCCGACAACAGATGCAGATGAGCGGAATAATGGGACGGGACACCATCGAGTGAGTGAGTGAGTGAGTGAGTGAGTGAGTATGGTTTTACGCCGCTTTTAGCAATATTCCAGCAATATCATGGCGGGGGACACCAGAAATGGGCTTCACACATTGTACCCATGTCGGGAATCGAACCCGGGTCTTCGGCGTGAAGAGCGAACGCTTTAACCACTAGGCTACCCGACCGCCCCGGGGACACCATCGAAACGGCCGCACCTTGCGGTGACTTCAACGTTGAAGACCTAAGTCTCTACAGAAGACGGAATCCACCCTCCAATTGGGAATTCAGTCTGTGAGTACCCAAGAAAGCTAAAGTTCCAAGATTTATTCTGTATATACATGATGCTTCATAAAGTAGCAGGACTGGGTACATGCATCGGTGTGCCAGAACCAAGGGACCGAACTGATGAAGGCCCTGGATGTTTGTAACACAGATGTCACAGGAAGTGAAGACCTATCTGACTTTCAAAGCACCCTTCCATAAAGGCCAACAGGGTGCAAATGCTGTGAGTGAGAGAGTGCAAATGCTGTGCAAGGCCGTGGAAGAGGCATTGGCTCAAGTCTCCTGAAGATTGGACATGATCGGGGCGCCAATCCAAACCTAGAGAATTTTTGTAATACATTTGTTGAGTGTATACCATTTGGTGGTTTCCCACTTAGTTCTTTTACGTACAGATTTCTGGGTTAACAATAACATATTATTTCAATTTAGGAATCAACACGAAACAGTGATAAAATTCCAGTGAAGGCCAAGAAAAACTTTCCAACTCCCTAACCATTCGATCAAAGGTTGGAGACGCCATCCATTGGTGATGGTCTGTCGAGTCAGAACAGGGAATCGGCTATCACGTTGGTGATCCAGGGAATGTGCCTCTTGTGCATTTGAATGTTGAGGGAGTAAATGAACCAGAAGAAGTTGATCGAGAGCAACAGGAGCAACAACACCGAGAGATTGTCTAACTGTAAGCTGAGGTGTGATGCATGAAGGAGCTCTGACCAATGGGACACCACCAGAATGACTGCCTTGAACTTGAGGTCGACCCCTTGAGTGCCAATCCTGAGAAGGTCGATCTTTAGAGCACTGATCCCGAGAGCAACCAGTCGAATTCAGTTTCGGAAACATCGACGGAGAGAACCTTGTGGACGTCCATAGAAACCGGCAGTGCCAATGTTCACATGGACCAGGGTTCTTTAACAACAGACTGTTGATGAGGCAAAGGAGCGATGTCTTCTGTCTGGAACCTGTCCGAAACACCATCATCAGTCACCAAGAGGGCATGCAGGGAAGATGCCGGAGGCCCTGCCACCTTAACAGTGGAGGGGACAGTCGGCTTGCTGGACTTCTTCAACATGTTGTTAGACGACAACCTGTGCTTGAAGGCGTCCATTAATTTCTTGTTGGAGTCCTCCACCTCACGTTGATGACACATTTGAAGATATACACTGAATGATTTGTCCATAACATGATTACATGAAGAGCACTTCTTGTCAGAACTACACTGGCCACGGCAATCGCAGCATAAACCATGAGATTCCAATATAGAAAAAGTGAGTGAGTGGGGGAGGTTTAACGCCGCTTTTAACATTATTCCAGTTATATCACGGCCTGTCAGCTTAATGTGGGAGGAAAGCCCGAAGTGATGCAGGTCTCAGACGTTTACCACTTCGGTGAAACCCACGAGCACGGGTATGGTGCTGACAAACCTAAAAACATAATCGGGGCGAACCGGGATTTGAACCCACAATCATAGGTTTCTGGCTTGCCCAAGGGACGCAACTCTGCACAGCGAATCGACTGGGCCTCCCGTGCCACAACGACTGGGCCTTCTGGCCCCCATATAGAAAAAGTAATGACTTTGTAAGGTGACATGTATTTCACTGATAACAGGACCAATGTAGAGAAAAATGCTTCGTACTTAGTTTATCATTATAGCATCAAATGCAATGCTAAAACTCAAAGTCAAAATATCTCTGAATATAGGAAAATAAGAAACTAAAAAAATCCCAGTTTTGAACAAATAATAATTTTTCCAAATTTGCCTGCCACAGGCACTGCCGGTAGTTTGCAATCCTCGACAATTCCCTGCATGTTCATTGTAGTGTATTACCCTTGTGAGTAGTGTTAGAGTAAGTAGTATCAGCTGGCTCGCTCTATGACTTAGTTAATGACGTCATCATTGACCATGACTAAGAATAAACGTGTGTAATAAGTCCCAATGTCTTCGTGGTTAAAGATCTATAAGGAGACAGCCCTCAATGTGAGATCACACAGAGAAACATTACATTCATCAAGGTCATAATGACAGTAGTCCAGAGAATCAACAATCGTAGACAAAAGGAAGGTCATAGATAAGCATAACTTTCATATCCAAAATCTGTGCTTTCATATTTGACCTTTCTGATTATGCTAAAAAAAAATAATAGTCTTGGTTCTCAGGCACCGCCCACATGATCATTAAGTTTGCCACATGTTTCGTTTTTATTTCTATTTTTAAAAAAAAAAAAAATATCCTTACATATTCCATGTCCAACGGTAGTCAAATACTGTATTCCAGTATTTTACTCATCAAGGAATACATTTATGTAGGGAGGCCCTCTCCCAGGCTGATTGTACACAATTGTTAATTGATCACACAACTGTTTAATGGTTACATACTAGTTCGAACAACAAACAAAAAAAAGACACCGCCCGCCCGACTTTATTTTAAAAAAACATTGCCTGAGAACCAATTCTTTTATTTTTTAAGCCTTTAATAGTGATAGGAATCCTTTTGTGAGGTCAGCATTGCAAGTTAAATGAAACAGTTGTCTTACCATCCCACATGTTGAGGTAGATTGATCCCAGCATCACAGAGTTGACATAGAAGCCAATCGTGGTCTCCTCTGTTGTGCTGAGGCGCCGCCGGCCCTTACAAAAACATCGAGCAAAGCGGGTTTTGCCTGCTCCATCAAGGCCGATGATCAATACTCGGCGCTCACTTTGGTCTTTCTGGATATAGAAACAGATCAGTCAAAACATGTCTTTGCATCATACTTTCTGTATCGTAGGGACACACTGTCACTGTCAGGAGCTATGGTGACTTAGTCAAGTGCATTTGTTATCACGATGTTCATTGGCCAGATCATATACACATCCAATCATAAACTGTATTGCATTGATTTATTGTTATGGTTCATCCTCCATTTTTGTTGATTTGACTTATTGACATTTGCGATTGACTTATCAAATTTGGGGGGTTTAAGTCATTGACATATATATACAACTTTTTGTATCAAAATCACTGTACACCTAAAGATAAGCTATTTTAAGTATATGATAAGATACACCTTCTAAAATAACTTAAATTTGTCACATATCATACAATTTTACAAAGCTATGATACTTATCATAACTATTAAATTATGTTGAAGACAACGTTGGGTGTTTCCAAATGACATCGCAGGGATTTCCTAGCCGCAGGCAAAAACATGGACAAGAAATCAAAATGCAGGATCTAACATGGAAATTAGTGATCGGCTTATGATTGTCAGCAGGTCAATGTTTAATACGCATCTATTTGACTGACTTTCCACACAATTCTATATAGATCACAATCCAGACCAACAGTAAATTTTAATCATGGCTTACAAAGACAGGGTTAGAAACTAACAGTTTTTGTCAACTAGTCCTTATAATGATAACATATAGCAAAACCCTTAAAATGGGCCAATTTCTAACGCTGCAAAGATCTTGATTCCGGTCAGGTCTGACTAAAAACATCCCTTTGGGTGACAAGTACTTGGATTTCTGGTGTGAATGGACATGAATGTTCAACCTGTCGCTGAAGTGAAGGATTAAAAGTTCAATCAAATGAACTAAAGCTTGGCAGTTCATTCGATAGAGTGAGAAGCAATCCAGTGTATCAAGACAAAGAACTGGTTTTCTTATGACTCAGCGTTAGAAATTGGCACTTGTCCCGTAGTCCTTTCTAACCTGCCCAATAGTTACGGTATCATAAGGACTAGTAGAAATTTGTCATTTTTAAGGGTTTTGCTATATATGTTTTCATAATTAGGACTAGTGGACTAAAAATATTTGTTTCTACTGCTGTGAATCCATCCTTATTAAATATATATGTGACAAAGTATGACACAATCTTGGGAAAAGATTACATAGAAATGTAAACCTATTACGACAGGTATGGATCCTTCTAAGATTTATGCATTTTTACAATATCTTAAGACTACAATAGTTTCAAAGATAGGGAGACTTCCTTAATATGATAGATTTACAATAATCTTAGCTCCAAGATCGTTTTAGAAATCTATAGTCAGATGTATGGATTGTCTCAGACTCTAATTTGTGGCCAAATGTCTGATTCATGAAAGAGATGATGTACAATCCAATTGTCAAATGACATCATACGCAAGATGACAATTAAGCTCGTTCTCATTCCTGCTATGAATTAATCTTAAACCAATAGGAGATGCAACTTCTTTATCGTGTTTCTAACATCCTAACTAAGCATCAGTACAATCTACGATAGAAAGGAAATACATGAAATACATGATGTATGCACAAATCGAGCCCCTTGTAAGCTGCATATTTACATAAAACGTGCAAAATATATCACCATCACTCATTTAATTTTGTGTTTCTTGCATACAAATACCCATGAAGGAACCTGATAGTGATACTCAATAGTATAACAACACTGTGCGTAATTATGCAATGTCGCCTTTCCAGCTCACAAACACGTCTTTACAAATTTAATTTAGACTGGATGCAGGCATCACATACATACATGAACTCTATTGGCGTGAAATAGGCCTAGATGTTCAACATCTCGCTTATCTCAGTATGTAGCCTATGATATTGCTTCTTGTAATGGTTGCTATGCAATTTGACAGTTCTGCAACCGTCAACATCATTTCGTGTCAAATGTACTCACACTCGTGTGTAATTTCTCAAAATATTCATCTTCTTCGCTCATATACAGACATAACTTATAAAGACCATATGCTGCAGCTAGCGTAGCTGTTCCACCAATAACATATGCAGCCGGTTTTGAAGTCAGCGCGCTTTTCAGTACTCCAGCGAACTCCATGTTGACAACTCTAATGTTATAATTAGAACACAAACGGGTCATGTGACTTCACTAACACAATATTCATAAACATTCATTAATACTTAATCCCATTGATTCATTCGATAGTTTATTTCGTTAAGTATCTACATCAATATTTAAGCAAAATATATTTGTTTTAAAATAAATAATGACGCAATATTATAAACTGGTTCAACTGTTTGCTCGCGCCGCAGGTGTAGTAAGCTCCCCACAGCGATACCAACAGTCAAAGCTCCCAACAGGGCTAAGCATAATGCATCTATGCATGGAGTTGAACTCGCAATCAAGCGATGACTGTCGTGAGGCCGAATGCTCTGGTTTGGGGTCGGGTATGAAATTTAAAGACACATGGAATGGCCGCTTGCACACTTGTGACAGCGATGATACCGAAAGTGTACAGCCTTGGTAGACAAGAGCCCAGTCATAATATTGGTTTGTGAAAAACAAACACTAACCTACTATACATTTATATATTATATTTGGGGATCAAACTTTCTAAGTACACTAGATATATACGTCTTCAGTACAGGAGAATAGAGACCATATGCCGATATATGGTCTCTGAGTACAAATTCTATTACTATTTTGGATGGAGTTTCGAACCAACGTTCTAGCTCTTAATCGCCAGCATTTAAATTCAACGACATAACCCACTCTGCTACCGAGGCTTCCACAACATGGAAGTCCGACAACTGGTTGTCAGTTTATTTCAAAACTCAAGTGAACCCGTGTTCCAATGTTAGCCCATGTGTTAACTGAATTACGTCATACTTCGGTTGACCTAAATAAGTTGCCCATACCTACTGAACCCCTAGGGCGCTGTCCTCTGGTGAACAGCTTCCAAGTGTCGTCATCGGTACAGAACTTTAGCTTCATTTATCAGGGATGTGAAATCTCCGCGGAAACGCGGAAAATCGCGTTTTTTAAAACAGTAGTCCTCGGAAAAAATCATCTTCCGCGTAAAATTTTACTAATTTTTTTTAAAAAAAAAACACTCCGAAAAATATGATCGAAAACCGGACAATTTGCGGGGATTGTCCTGTTTTCGATCAAGGCTTTCACCAGCATAGGTTTTCGGACATCATACGTTTTCTGTCAGGAATACTTGCACTATAACGTGGGGTGTGGCGTCACACAGAAATTGTAAATACTCAGAGTCAGCTGATGGCTTGTTTTTAAGATAAAGTTGTCTTTTAGTCTGTAAGTGAATGAGGTGTTTTACAGTTGTTCATGTGATAAGCGAGAAATTTATGAATGTTTCCTCAGCGTCCAAAACCCCATGTCATGGGGATATATGTTGTATTAATGACTTATGTTTGCAATGGAGTTTTGTTTTTTTCATCAAAAGGTAGGTACAAGGTAAGTTTTTTCAGTATGCTTCAACATGGGGAAAGGGTCAGACATTGCACGCTTGTGACAGTTGTCCTTGTGTCTGGGGGATGGGGGTTGAAGTTTATGGCAGTATTGCTCCCAGACCTGGCGGGTAGCCAGGTGCGCGAAAGCTATGCCCGATTTTTTAAAAGTACTGATTAAACTTCGAAATTTTACAGCATCTGCCAACTTGTTTATTTGACTTATTGACTTTTGCCATTGACTTATTACATTTCTTGGAGTGAATGTTGTCCAAACTGCACGAAATTGCTTAAAATGCAATCAAATGTTTTAAAAATTTCTGGGGGGGCGCTACACTCAGCAATATTCAAGCTATATGACGGCAATCTGTAAATAATCGAGTCTGGACCAGACTATCCAGTGATTGAAATCATGAGCATCGAACCACATCATTGGGATCGATGACATGCATCAACCAAGTCAGTGATCCTGACCACCCGATCCCGTTAGTCGCCTCTTACGACAAGCATAGCCGCCTTTTAGGGCAAGCATAGGTTGCTGAAGACCTTTTCTACCCCGGATCTTCACGGGCAGATTCAATCATGAATAAAAGTATTTCGATTGTTGACATAAATACTTTTTTAAATATTAATTTTATCTAAAATAGTGGAAACTGGGCCTTTACAGTCAGTTAACTCGCTTGCCTTGGGAAGATGATATTACTAATTACTAATGCAATTTTGATGATGATTTTGCATGTCGTTTGATGTTATAAGCGTTATTTTTTTTAAGTTACCTGTTTTTTATGCATTAAATAGAAATGGTACGATGGCAGTTTTGTCAAGCAATAAACAACTTGTTAACCTTTCATAGATGTGTGTTACAGCAAATGTTTGTTGTGTTTCTCCGTCTCCTGGTAGCCGTCATTATAGCTAAGATTGCAGTTTATGCTTTTTGTTTCAGATACTGACCAAACTAAGTTATCCTTGATCCTGGTTGCCAGAAATGGTGTAACATACACCATAAAAAAAATCATTTTATGGTGTCTGGTGCCAAATTGGTGATAACCTGGGTTGACTCGGGTCCCTCAAATTATAATCAATACTCGAACGCACGTTATATATATCACACATGCAGAGAACATTGTTCTTCAGCTGGGCCCCGTCTTGACTGGTTTCCGTTCGTTCCTGACCGGAACTTTGCTAGGAAGACAGTAAGCTGGGCCCCGTCTCTCATATCACAATATAGAGCTTGGCGAGAGCTGGGATTCAGCTTATATTACTGTTAGCTTAGACTGGTTCCTTAGACAGACTACTGTTAGTTGGGCCCCGTCACCGCTAGAGACGGAGTCCAGCTTGGTCAATACGCAAACGCTTTTATAGGAAGTCGCAGATGTTTTTCACACTTCAATCCAGTTTATTCCAAGACTGTTCTCATCTTTCTTACGACGGAAGATCCTTGTTCCGTCCAGTCAGCAACACCTTGTATCCGGCATCTTGACTTTTTTGTGTGGTGAGTGTTATGAGAGTTTTCTTGTAGAATCTACAGAGGTAGATCTATCTAGATCTATATATAACGGTATAACAAGAAATAAGGTTCCCGATACGACATGACATCTCAGCTGTTTCTGATATTGTCAGTAGCACTACAAAATTCCTCAGTGTGGCTGAGCAAGCTGTACCCAAATAGGCATATTTTTGTCATGTTTATTTAACCATGTATCCTTCGGCCTCAGGAAACACGAGTTAATAAAAAAATATGTGTATTTGTTTACAGCAGAGACCATATAATAGATCTATTATGTGGTCTCTGTTTACAGCTACTAATTCCTGTGGTCAGAGAAACAAGGAATGTTCCATATTGTCGCCATATTGACATGATGACATACTCTAGGAGCTTAATATATTTATTATAGATCTTAGCTAAATGCAGGAAAAGAAATGTGTTCTTTTTCATGTGTTCCACCAATAGATCTAGTCCCTCCCTCGAAGTTTAAAAAATATCATAACCCCAAGCTACAAGTATTAAAAAAATCCTACTGCATGGCTAGGATTTGTTGATTGTAGCGAAATGGCCTCATGTCAGAACGTCCTCAAAACTCAAAAGTCAAGACGGACACAAAGAAGTCAAAATGGCCACAAACCCATTGTCAAAACGGCCACAAGAAAGTCATAATGGCTACAGTTATGAAGTCGGAATGGCCACGATAAAAGAAATAATAATGTTGACTTTACTGCATTTTAGGGTGATATTATATCTGTACAAAGGCATCATTAAATCCAAACAACAGAAAAACAGTCACCAACATGTTTGGTGGTTTGTTATCTAAAAAAGTAGAGAGGGTTTTCAGCAACCCATGCTTGCCATTAAAGGCAACTATGCTTGTTGTAAGAGGTGTATCAGGTGGTCAGGCACGCTGACTTAGTTGATGCATGTCATAATTGTATCCCATTTGCATGGATTGATGCTCATGATGTCAATCACTGGATTTTCTGGTCCAGAATCGATTATTTACAGACCGCCGTCATTTAGCTGGAATATGGCTAAGTGCGGCGTTAAATAACAAGCTAAAACAAAACAAAAATAGAGCAGTTGCGGCAGTCCCCGGAGAGCGGTAGTAGCCGGACATCACCAGACATGTCTAATATGGGTGATTAGGTGAACTGCTCATACCCAAAATTCACAGTCAAACATAATCTTCCTTCCGCATAGGCCATTTAAAAATATGTCTGCCAGAGATAAGTCTCTAAACAAACTGTAACTCACATACTTTAACACAGACTTATGACAGTCGCAGCGCTACCATCACTGTGGAACTGGGCCCTGGAACCACCTCTCCAACATAACTGCCACGCCCCTACGTTGTCTTACATTATCGCTTAGCAATGTTGTTTCATGTTTTAAGCTTGTGTATTTCACACGACTCAATTTTAACAAACTTTGTGTATGTGACAAAAGTGAATGTAACAGCATTCCATGAAAGATGTTGACTTGAAAAAATAGTAAATATTACTATTGAAGTCTTGTCCAGATACTCCCTCGATAAAAAAAAGTTGTAAGGGAGTATTTGGACAATTGTTATAAAATAATCAATAAAAGATCTCCTTCTCATTTTAACATATAAAGTTTTATTGTACATATCTATATTGAAATTAATATATGAGGGGTGGTCAATAAGTTTTGCAACTTCAATATAAGACCAAGTCGCAGAATATTTTTTGCACTTTTATTTTACAATATAATGTCCATTCACCTCAATACACTTATTCCATTTGTCCTTCAAGCTTTTAATACCACTTTTATAGAAATCCGCAGATTGGCCCTCTAACCACGCCTCTGTGGCAGCCTTTATGTCCTCGTCATCCTGGAAGCGTCTTCCACGTAGGGCAGATTTCTTTTGCCGGAACAGGAAATAGTAACTGGGGGCTCAGTCTGGGCTGTACAGTTAAATCACCCACCCTACAGCCCAGTGACTAATACATATTAGGATCCAGGAAAAATGCAGATACAAAATATTGGTAGTTTCAGTTATAGCTTTTAGGTAGATAGTAGCCTAACGTAACAAGAATGCATCTCTGAGACATACTTTTCAATAAAACAAAAGTTATGCGTAGATAGTTTTATAGATTGCCTTGAACTATTTTATTAAAGTAAATCTGTCATCACCTATATTAGAATAACATTCAGCAAATACTTCAATTTAGACTCATTAAGGTTTAGCCCCACACAAGCTTGTCTATTGTGATATCATTATCTCTTTCCAAGCACCCAGTAAATATGTCAACAAGATTAGTGACAGTCTAACAGGAATATGTATTCCCCTCTGCCTAGCCATTCATTAACCCAAGGGCACACCCATTGTGTATCAACAACTAATGATATTCCTTTTTTTTCTTCTAAATTTTAGTTATATACATAGAGAAGCAAGATGTTAGGCCAGAGGGTTTTGACGCTCAAACCAAGCAGACCTCTCACCCATAGCCAGAGGGTTGTACCGACTCTCTGTGTCACCCTCAGCTATACTTAAGATATTGTTCAGTGTTCTTGTATTAGTAGTAAATAAAATTGTTATTGGTCTCTTGTGACTCCGGCTCTTTGCTGACTAATTCTCCACGAAAACCCGCTCGCCATTTGGAAGGTTTTGAACATCAGACACAGAACCATAATAGAGCTAAGGTGAGCATTAACCTTTGTATGACCTTGAGATACTAAAAAGGGCAGTTGAAGCAGTCACTGCTCGTACAATGTCCATAACAAAAGCTACAGTATGTTATGTTTTTCAGCATGCGTACAACAGAGCTAATTTCCGAAACACAATTACGAGCTAATTTTCTTTCCGAGTCAAGCCTATATTTAGAACCCTTATATGCATCTAAAACATTATTAAAAAAAATGTTAATCTCAAAATGTTTACTCATTTGGGAAAAAACCAATAGAGTGATATTGGTTACCCAATGTAAAATACAATAAACCAATTAAAACAGAAACCGTCAAATAAAAACTCAATTGCTCGAAAAATTTATCTGGATCTCTGCAATATTAAGTAAAAGTGTCCAGCTCGTGGATCGGGAAGAAACACTCGCACAGACTGTTGTGACCCTGATACATGAACAGACGACAACACCTGAAACTCAATTGCTCAAAAAGTTCTCTGGAGCTCCGTGATAAAATAAAACAATGCCGATGGTATATAAAAAAGATGAAGAGGATCAACTAGCCCAGTGGGTTATTTACATTTCAGAGATTGGGTATGTTCGTGCCAAAATAAAAGCATTATGGTGTGTCTATAATTTATAGATAACTGATATAAAATTGCATCTTAGGCTTAAAAAAATTAAAAGAATTGGTTCTCAGGTAATGGTTTTTGAAAATATAGTGCGGGCTGGCGGGCAGTGTCTTTTTTTGGGTGGGGTGGGGTGGGGGGTATTGTTGAATCCCACGACCATTGGTATGGTGCTGACTCCTGGTGGGACGATAAACCTATACATCAGTGGATTGCGATTATTTACTTCTAGATGCAAGAATCAATCACAGTCACACACTAAGTAAAAAGTATCGATTCTTACCTTAAATGAGTGTTCACCAAACACTAATTACTAGTGAAAATGAGTTGTGAAAACGTAAATATTTTCATCCATAGTGTGCCAGGTATTTGGCAATCCTGTCTATGAAAAGGATGGCTTACGCACCACCGATAAGTGCACATGCAAGTATCGCGATACGTATCGGATCTTGAGCAAGGTATCATGGTACATATCGGATCGTACAGTTGGTGTATCGTCACAACCCTAGTGCTGACAAACACAGAAACATAACTGGGGCGAACCGGAATTGGAAACCCACAGTCAAAAGTTTATGGCTTGTTCAAGGGACACAACTCGTCACAGCAAATTGCAACACCTTTGATGACGAGGCCATCCATGCCCTCAATGTTATCAAACATCATACTGTGGTAACATGCAAGGTCTATATGGAACTTTCTCATCACATCAAAATCTATTTGAAGACTTAGAGAATATTACCATGCTTTCAGCAGGGTTTTATCTGTTATTCCAAACAAGTTCTTTTGGCAGGCACATTGGAAAAACAATGATATTTTTTTCAAAATTGGCATTACTTTGAAGTTTCTATTTTCTCAAAATCAGAAATATATTAACATTGTATTCAATACAATTATGTAAAACTAAGTATTAAAGACACTTTCTCCTTGTTGGTCCTGTTATCAATAAACTAGAAGTCACCTCTTCAAAGCTGTAAATATAACATAAGTACTGGAAAATTTCTTATTCACATTATGGAATTTTTACTGATCTCTGCTGACAATCAGCCTCTGAACTGGTCTATATAAATCTCAACTTTAGATAGCAATGACCATGTTCAGCTCATCCTCATTGATGCATGTGTACTTGCTTCTAATATTCTTCTTTTCCTCTTCCTCAATTAGGGTTATGAGACTTGTATCTATAGGGGGGCACAGGTGGCCCAGTCGTCTAAGGCGCCGCGTTTTGCTGTGCAGAGTTGCATCCCTTGGGCAGACCAGAAACCTATAATTGTTAGTTCGAATCCTGGTTAGGTCGGATTATGTTTCTAGGTTTGTCCGTTCCATACCCGTGCTTGTGTGTCTCACCGAAGTGGTTAACGTCTGAGACTCGCATCACTTCGGGCTTTCCTCCCACATTAAGCTGACATGCCGCGATATAACCTGTATACACTCACTCACTCGTATCTTTAGCATTTCTCTATGAAACTTCTTGCCAGGTTTTTCAACGTCATATTTTATTATCTTTTTAAAGTGTAAAGCAACAATTGTGACAATGTTCAGTAACCCTGAGGTCCTTCAGAGGGACATACGCATTCAGGGTTCCCCTTGACTGAGAAAGGCTGGGGTCCAGGGCTCAGTCTGCACTTGGTATTTGTAGTTATCGGAAAACTAAATATGCTGCAAAATAACAGACATTTCCAGCTGTGCATTACAGACTGAATTTATAAATGTAATTCAAGTCTGTTGTAAATTAGTGAAGATTGTTCCAAAGAAACAACAACAAAGACTCTTAACAATGTCAAAGATTCGTTCATCTTCCCTTTACAAGGGCGTTAAATAAGAGTCCACTTTCCACACTTGCTGGAATTTCCAGCCTTGATCGTAGTGGTTATTATGAGTTATGTCCCTTGTATGTCCATCCTTTTGGTCAATCAGATTCCATCTCTCATATCACTTGCATTTGCTTCAAACAAAATTGGTGGCGCCCAGTCAAGAAGATCTATATTGTAATAAAATGGGCCTTACCTTTGCAAAATTCATCAGTTCACTTGAGCACCTTAATTAAAAACATGAAAAGATTTTGAAAATATCTGTCAACGCCCAGTTGACGGTACACATGCTTTGCAAATCCTGCAGTCGACTGAAATCTGCATGTTGAAATCAATGTTTATGAACCGGATGTCTAGTTTGTAACGTGATTTTGATTGGACTATGCATAGTCTCCGATAGACTATGCATGGAATGCCAGAGTAGTTTGGCAAGGGTGGAAAGTGGACTTTTATAGTACGTTAACGTCCTTGCCTCGAGAAGATGTGATTCATTGTTGGTACAATGAATATCATTGTGGTTCCACCAGGATGCATTTATTTTTTCTGCATGCGTGCTGGACGCTCATTTGTGCATCGTGTGAAACAGTTTTCTGTCAGATTCAATTCCGAGGTTTGCATCTTCATAAATCTGATATGTAATCATCTTTTTGCAGAGTTTAGCTCCCCAACTACAGCTACAATCAAGATCAGGCAAATGACAACAAGAATATGCTCAGCAATACATCCAGGCGACTGTAGAGGGATGGGCTCTGGGGAGTACTTGCTCGCAAGGGTCTTATGACGCATGCAGAAATAGTCTGTCACAATGAGTAACAACAGGTGCCTGCCGTCTGGTGACCAATCAACTGGCAGCGTTTTCAACATTTGTCGGGGAGGTGATCGGTACAGCCAGTTCGAGGATGATGATATACTTGCACATTCTCCTCCGCCACACGAATTCCCAGTACCAATCAAGTTTGAGCCAAGAAAAAGCAAATTTCATAGTCTGCAGGAGAAAGAAAAAATAAAAGGTATGTGATAAACGAAAAAGGGATTATATGTTTTCTTGTCAAATAACAGCCTTGTCTCATCGAGTGACCTGACTGAAACTGAACTGTGTCAAGTCACAAAAGGAAATAAATGTGTCATTACCGAGCTACAGATAAGCAGCATATTTGCGTAAAATACCCCTAACAAATATTCAAAACCCAATAACTTTTATTTAACTTGCATACAGAAACGCATGCATTAAATGAAAAACAAATGTATAAAAACAGTACGAGTAAATACCCAATTTAGCTTTTTCAGCATGTATACAAAGGAGCTAATTTCCGAAACACAATTATGAGCTAATTTACTTTCTGAGTCATGTCTATATATATTAGAACAGTTATCATGGTTATGTTCTTCTAAAACATTATTTCATTTTTTTTAAATCTGGGAAATGCCTAATAGAATGATGAATAGATGAGTGAAAAAATATTGGTTACCCAATGAAAAATGTAATAACCCAATCAAAATAGAAGCCCTAGAGTAAAAACTCAATTGCTCAAAAAGTTATCTGGAGCTCTGCATTAAGGCAGCATGACAGTAGTGCTGACTCAGACTTTATGATAAAGTGTTATTTCACTAGAGTGATATATCAATATATTTTGGAAACAAGGATAAATACATATCTGATTACTAAACACATATATAAACCTGTGACTAATAAATAAATACAATTTTTAACTTATCCTATCTCACACTATGCACTGTGCATTTCTCTTTCTTCTTTCTATCCAAAGTGAAAACGTGCTTAAACAAAGGTTTCCAGCTTCTTAAAAAACAATTCACCCAAACACACCTAGCATCACCATGGTCATCTCCCTACAATCTGGGTCATGCATGCTTTTCTCGATGACCTACACGCACTGAATACGTGGTCTCCCCAGCCTACTCATTCTCTTTCTAATGACCATGTTGTGGTGATGTGTTTATACACAAAGGGGATCTGTATGGTTTTTTCCCTTTTTTTCCAATTTTCCCACTTCAATTTGCCAGTTTTCGATTTCTTCTTAGTCGTTTTTCATCATGGATGGACGGTCCTGCGTATCTCTCTTTTAGACAGATATTTTCTCCATTCGACCCACACAATGTTTGTTCAGACTGTTGTGTTCTGACTGTCATAGGTGTTGTGGTACATCGGTGCATTGTGCTCAATGTGATGATTTGCCTAATGAATCCTTCAGTATTTACCTGTGTAAATGTCGGAGCCGAGAGCAGAATATGCTGCTGACTAAACGACAAAAACTAAGAGAACTCTGGTGAAAAAGTAAAAAAGATCTGCAAAATTATCAACATTCTCGACAATTGAGGGTTCGTAGAACCACGCTCTTTCCATATTATCTGTCGATGATGATGTTGTTTCCGATGGTTTTTGACAGAGGACGTTGCCATCTTGACCACTCAACCTAGTTCAAAGAATCTACCTTCGTCAGCTTCGGAGAATCAGCCTATGGGCTTAGATGTACGGAAGGTGCTTTCAGCGAATTTGGATCCGACCGAACCTGTTTTTTCTTCACAGTCAACCACGACCTCTCTTACTGTTACATAGCCTACCGGGGCGGTCGGGTAGCCTAGTGGTTGAAGCGTTCGCTCGTCACGCCGAAGACCCGGGTTCTATTCCCGACATGGATACAATGAGTGAAGCCCATTTCTGGTGTCCCCCGCCGTGATATTGCTGGAATATTGCTAAACCATACTCAGTCAGTTACATAGCCTACCAGATATTGTATTGTTTGTTCGTGACCTTCGTCTTTGGCCACTGAGAATGTCAAGCTTCAACCTGAAGACATCCCCAAGAATGCGACCTTCCAGAACCCTGATTTGTCGCATTCCTGGGGAGTGGTCGTCAAAGGATCCCCGAACAGATTTGTTGGACTGTTCTCTCGACAAAGATTCGCGAAGATCTCACTCTCAAGAGTATTCTCATGTGGATCATTGATCCCCTGATAGGGATCGACTTGTGAAGTCTTGGCATTCGGGGGATTAAGTGGCTTCCACAGGTAGATCGCTCAACTCTAATCCAAGATTGTCTGAGGATCGGCGCTCCTGAGATTGGGACCGACACTCTAGCGTTCGCTGATCAGACTTGACATACATCTAAGGATCAGGACTCCTCCCCAGATGACCATACTTCAAAGGTTCGATCAAACAACCTTCAAGATTCAAGATATGGTCCTAATCTGGATCCCCGATTCATTCACCTCTGCTTTGGGCATGTGTTGTTGGGTTGTGGGTATCATCGATTGTTCCTCTTCTCATCTTAACCTATCAATTCAATCACCGAGACAGTGATTGAGGGTTCCGACGAAGCATTAACAGAGATGCTAAGTTGATTGGTTCTATCGTCCATGAGAGATAGTGATACACCTGTCTTGTAGAATTGATAGGCTGGATACATTCTGAATCGATAATAAGTCAAACATTGTTAAAAATCTTTTGTTTGGCTTTACAATAACACTCACGTACGAATATATTACAGATATTGTTTCGACTTAAGGTGTTGTGCTCTGTTCATGTATCAGGGTCACAACACTCTGTCCGAGTGTTTCTTCCCGATCCACGAGCTGGACAGTGTTACTTAATATTGCAGAGCTCCAGATAAATTTTTCGAGCAATTGAGTTTTTACTCAAGGTTTCTATTTTAATTGTGTTTTTACATTTTTCATTGGGTAACTATATTTTTTCAATCATCTATTCATCACTCTATTGGGTTTTTCCCAAAATGAGTACACATTTTGAGATTTAAAAAAAAATTAAATAATGTTATAGATATATATGATTGTTCTAAATATAGGCTTGACTTGGAAAGTAAATTAGCTCATAATTGTGTTTTGAAAATTAGCTCTGTTGAATGCATGCTGAAAAAGCTTCATTTGGTATTTACGTGTACTGTTTTTATACATTTGAGTTTTTCATTTAATGCATGTGTTTCTGTACGCAAGTTAATTGAATGTTATTGGTTTTTGAATATTCGTTAGGGGTATTTTACGAAAATACCCAGATTATCTGTAGCTCGGATATTATTAGCTCCAGCTTCCTTGTGCATATCCTACGGTTGTTCTCTTTATAGAAAAGGCAGTTGTGCCCCATCTTCCAACCGTGGCATAAATACATATTGTGAGATAGGATAAGTTTGTAAATTTTAAGATTTTACAATAAATTGTAAATTTATCACAGTTATCCGATCTCACACACTATATGCCTGCCTGTCAATCCCCTCATCACAATTCCTCTAGCCTATTGGCTCCAGAAAGAGAATGTGTTGACTGGGGAGACTATGTGTTCAGTGTGTGCGGGTCAACTGGCAAGAAAAGCATGTGTGACCCAGATTGCTGGGAGGTGACCATGGTGATGCACGGTGTCCAGGTGAATTTTTTTTTAAGAAGCTGGAATCCTTTGTGTAAGCATGTTTCCACTTAGGATAGAAAGAAGATTAGTTGATTGGTTGGCAATATTCCAGCTATATGTCGGCGGTCTGTAAATAATCGAGTCTGGACCAGACAATCAAGTGATTGACATCATGAGCATCGATCCACACAATTGGGATCAGGATAGAAAGAAGAAAGAGTGCTTAGTGTGAGATAGGATAAGGCTAAAAATTGTATTTATTTATTATTCACAAGTTTATATATGTGTTTAGTAATCAGATACAGTATTTGTCATTGTTTATCTGAAAATCATAATATTGATATGTCACTCTAGTGAAATAACTGTCTGAGCCTGCACTACTGCCTAAATGTATTATAGATATACAATTTATTAAGGAAGAGAATGTATGGATGTCAACTTCTTTATTATGAGGAACACAACGTTTTGGAGTATATGCTTACTCCTTCATCATGTGAATGTATGCTGTTGTTGTTGTTGTTGCATTAAGTGTTTAAGAAGTCGCCTTCTGCCTAAGCAATTTCGGCTGACCTGTCCCTCTTTGGGACTCGTGTGTGAGTAGGGTACACATATCTATTGTGAATTTGGTATAATTTCTGTTTTTGTATTGATATGATTTCTATTTTTGTATATTGATATAATTTCATTTTTATTCTTGGCTGCTCTGTTTATATACATTCGGGTAGCTGTCCATCTCTCAGAAATAGAGTTAGTTTGGCCTTCGCTATTGCATCTCTTGGCTTTAGGAGATCTATGACAGATAGCGAATCTAACTGCAGTTCTTGTTTTAACCGAGCCCGGGCTGTGGCATGGACTTGACATTCTAGTAACACATGAGCAATGGATTCAGCCTGATTGCAAAGTGCTTTTTGTGACCGAGTCTGAGGCGTGAGATGGCAATTTCAATTTTCCTTTCATTTGACTACAGAGCTCCAGATAACTTTTTGAGCAATTGAGTTTTTACTCTAGGGTTTCTATTCTAATTGGGTTATAACATTTTTCGTTGGGTAACCAATATTATTTCACTCATCCATTTATCACTCTATTGGGTTTTTCCCCAAATTAGTGAACATTTTAAGATTTAAAAAAAATAATATAGTTTTTTAGATGTATATAACTGTTCTAAACATATAGGCTTGACTCAGAAAGTAAATTAGCTCATAATTGTGTTTCGGAAATTAGCTCTGTTGTATGCATGATGCAAAAGCTTCATTGGGTATTTACGCGTGCTGTTTTTATACATTGGAGTTTTTCATTTAATGCAAGTGTTTATGTACACAAGATGATTGAAAGAAATTGAGTTTAGAATATTTTTGGGGAGTATTTTACGCAAATATGCAGCTTATCTGTAGCTCTGGAGTATGAGTTTGGCTTTTGTTGGATCTTGGGTTGAATTTTGTATAGCCATCTGCAGATCTTATACTTGCGTCCCATTGGGCTTGCCATCTTTGGGCTATAGAGGCTTTGATTTTGATTTTATCTGAAGGGAATAGGCTGTATCTCCGCTTTGTCTAGAGCTAGCTTCATCAGTGAGTCTGCTTTTTCATTTCCATGAATGTCTATGTGAGAGGGGATCCAACACAGCCCGACCTGTTGCCCTCGGTCCGATAGTTTTGTATATTCGTATAGAATATTGTTGAGTGTGTTTGGCCTGGAGTTTGAGTTTCTGCCGCTGATGGCTTGAAGTGCACTTAGCGAGTCTGATAGGACTGCTGCCTTTGCTTCTGGAAGTTTTGGTATGAGTTTGAGTGCATGATGAATTGCCTCCAATTCAGCCGTGAATACTGACTGACCATCAGGCAGGCGAACTGAATGTGCTTGGGGTGAATGTATGCTATGAGGCAAGGAGCTTATATATGTACCTGTAAGAACAACAAAAGTATTAAGATAACAAAGGACGGAAACTTAACAAGGGAAGCCAACAGATAATTGGTGCTGATAGGTGATTAGCAATAGACAATGGAAGCCAACACTTTACAGTAATTAGCATGATTAGCACTGATAGTTATGGACAACTGAAAGCCAAGACTTACATTATCACTGATTGTGCTTGCTTCCATTTAAGTGGATTGATTGGTCAGCTCGGTGACTTGTTCAATGCATGTCATCATACCCTGAAAGCATGGATCATTGATCACAATAATGATCACTGGATTGTCTGGTCCACCCTCATATTTACAGGCCGTCTTCATATGGGATGTTGCGGAGTGCCGCGTCGAAATAACAATTTGTTACATGTTGTTGGAGTTAAACTGGGAATCCATGCTGACTGCTAATTAATCAGTGATGCAGATTTCCTAATTCCTATCATCTTGCCTTGGCCATGGTGTCATAAATCCATCTCCCAGACCCCAGAGAATACATTAAAAAATGAATCCAACTGAAGCCTAGACTGATTCAGCAAGTCTAGATAACATCGGCCCCATTGTCTCAGAAACATAGCTTTGTTCTGGGCTCAATTCAGATTTTATTGATACATATTTTTAGGTAGAGATAACTTTATTTCTGGGGCTAAATGTTAGCCAGGGTCGAGATCTACACAGCACATTCACCCAGGCACAAATATTACTTCATTCAGTGAGTTGGGGAGCCATGTAAATAGATTACGCTTGTGACTTGCCAATCAGATTCTCATTACCTCTGAAGCAAGCACAGCTTGACAAGATGTGACATCGCATGATGCAAGTAGGCCTACCTTATGCAACATGGTTGCCTAAAAATTGGCCATGCATGCCTGGGAAGAGGTCAAACCAGTTGCTCAAGGGTTGATCTGTACAAAGAACTAGTGGAAATCAAGAAGTCCACACAAGCTCATTTGGGATGGAGAGAAATTACATTGGACAGTCAGTGATGATCAAGATTCAGATTCATGAGAACAAGTGACTTCATTTGTCTAACTGAAGCGTGATTCCTTGGAGCACAGACAGGAGTGCAGTATTAATGCACATTTACTGAGGTTGGTGTTGAGGAATTGGATATTTACTATTATACCTCGACCTAATATGGCGGGGGATATATAGTTATACTAAGGAATTCCGTCCATCGTCCGTCCTTCCCTGGACATTTTTGTGTGTGACCTATAACTTGAAAACTACTATGTAGATTCTTTTCAAACTTGGTGAACATTTTTATTCTATAGGAGAGGTGCAGTCCAAAGTTTGATTTCAATATTTGTTTGTTTTTCTGAAAAAAATACAGCTATTTTTATCTTTTAACTTAATTTTGTTTTCCTGACACATTTGTGCGACCTATAACTAGACAACTACTTGATGGATTCTTTTCAAATTTAGGGAACTTTTTCCATGCTAACAGAAGAGGTGCAGTGCAAAGTTTAATTACGATGGAATTTTCTGAAAAACGAAAGATTTTTTTCATGTTTTGGACGTAGAATATTTTTTTACTTCAACATTTGTGTGACCTATAACTTCAAAACTACTTTGTGGATTTTTTCGAATGGAGGGTACAGTTTCTTTACCAATAGGAGAGGTGCAGTGCAAAGTTTGATTTTGATAAGTTGATTTTCTGAGAAAATATTGCTTTTTTCATGTTTTAAACTTAGAAATATGTTGGAGTCGAAGTCTGGGGTATTAGTGAGTCCTGCTCACTTTTTGTCTTGTTTCAACATGCGTTATCTCAGTGAGCAAACTACTTTGGGTGCCATGGTTCACATGCCTCAAAATGAGACTGACCAATTAGAGAGCAGAGCTACTGACCCCACATGAGCCCGTATACCGTCAGTTAAAATCCAAGATGGTTGTTACTGACCTAATATGAGACCGTATACCATCAGTAACAGCCATCTTGGATTTTCCAACACCCACCTCACATATTTCACATGAAAATTCTGGTTCCAAAATTTGTTATTTGATACTGTTTTGTGTTTTACTATCATTAATGTGCAAGGACATTAATCTGTTTTTTATTGATAAATATTATAGTTAAAATTGTCAACAAGGTTTGGCCTCTAAGGTTTGAAGAGTAGTCTCCCTTCCACCCTTAACATCAATATTTTTCTGCTAACCTATATTCTGGAAGGTAAGTTAAGGTACCGACGTTTACTACAATATCTGAAAAACTATCGGACCTACTCCAGTCAAAGTTGGTATGAGATTATTAAAAAGTCATACATAACTGGATATTACATTTAAAGACAATCTGTGCATGAAATAAAAAATCTGTCTATTTAGCTATCACTATATTTCATCAACAACCAGACCTGTTAGTCACGGGTGGAACAAGCATTCATTGTAACAGCCATCTGCATAATGCTACCCCTGCGTCACAGGGCCATATGACACAGTTGAACCAATCAACTCAACTCGAAAGGGTGCACGGGAATCACGCACGTAATGAGACGCCCAACGCTAACACCGTATTCGTGTGTACGTGATTCCCGTGCACCCTTTCGGGTTGAGTTGATTGGTTCAACAGATCGGGTTGTTGATGAATATAGTGATAGCTATAGGAAATCAGAAACTTTAAAAAAAAATTCTTTTAGAGGAGAGAAGCGTATTGTGTAATATAAGATTTCATTGACTATATTTTAGTCTAGTCAATCCTGGACAGTCCAGTGATTTTTTTTCCATTCCCACTTTTGGGTAATGTCACATTCTTGAGTTCTTTGGGAAAACAACTAGTCCTGCTAGGTTTTCACTTGTCTCGGACCAACAGTGTAGGGACAGTGTTTAACCATGAACTTTGCATAGGATTTCTCTTGCACATGGATGTTATGTGATTGGACAGCTGTTTTTAGCTTCATTTGAATTGGAATCAGACAAAGCTATTTGAGCAAGTGGGTACAGGGTATTTGCACCAATAGAAGTGAAATATAATACCAGAGAATTATGTAGACTTGCTAAGAGGCTGATGTTCATCCCCAAGCAAATGACAGTAAATATTCCCAATTTAATCTAAACATTTATTTCGCCAGAATTTTCGAAAATATGAACACTTGAAATATCCAATTTGGAACAGAATCACGATTCTTATATCTCAAAGTACTTGCCAAAGACACTTACTTTGAATGCTGGATAAATCCCTGGCTAATTAGGGACGAGCCTGGTAAATCTGCTACAGTTGAAGCCTGGGGTCACGATCTACACAGCTACTTGCAATGCCTCAGATCACTTGGTTGCTCAATATGTGTCTTCATGGTTTTGTGTGTATTTGAAGGTAAAACGTTTGTCTTGCAATACAATCATTTGGTCGTTCAAACCGTAGAACTTTATACGAAATATCTATCCATTCTTGGAAAGAGGATATCTTTGAACGTACACCAGCGGACATTCTTCTGTTTCCCCTTTACTGGACATGATAACCAAAGCATATTCCAGGAATGCAGAATTAGAAATTAGCACTAGTCCTGTAGTCCTTGGCACGGGTCGTCTAAGGCGCCGCGATCCGCTGTGCAGAGTTGCATCCTTTGGGCACGCCAGAAACCTATGATTGTGGGTTCGAATCACGGTTCGCCCCGATTATGTTTCTAGGTTTGTCAGCACCATACCAATGCTCGTGGGTTTCACCGAAGTGGTAAACATCTGAGACCTGCATCACTTCGGGCTTTCCTCCCACATTAAGCTGACACGCCGTGATATAACTGGAATACTGTTAAAAGCGGCATTAAACCCAACTCACTCACTCACTAGAATAACATCTGATGGTCATCTTAAGGCTTAATGGATGGTCAGATTGGGTAACTTGGTTGATAACGCGTCATCGTTCCCAGATCTTTGCTCATGTACAGACACATGTACAGACACATGCACACACATGTACGGACACACATGCACACACACAGACACACATGTACAGACACATGCACACACATGTACAGACACACATGCACACACACAGACAGACACACACACATGTACAGACACATGCACACACAGACAGACAGACACACACTATAGATACACACAGACACGCATGTACAGACACATGCACACACATGTACAGACACACATGCACACACACAGACACAGACAGACACACACACACGTACAGACACATGCACACACAGACAGACACACACACACACACACACACACACACACACACTTGACATTTTTAACCAAGTTATGTCAAATTGCGCTAACTATTGCTATGGTTATATGATAACTATCTTATTGTTTTTCTTTTGTTTCTGAAGATGTTGGCCAACCATCGTATCAGCTGCAGTCGACAGAATGTGGTGCACCAAAAATAATCCTGAGAAAGCCCTGCAAGATCAGGGGCGAGAAACTGAAGCAACAGCTTGCAACATCGACTGATTCCAAGAGAGTTGGTATTGATGGGAGTTCCCCTCATGGGAGCATTGAAGTACACCCCTCGTCTGTAGAAACTGTCCAGCTATTTCAAAAAGCTCATCAAGCTCAGGTGAACAGATACCTGTCTCTGCCAAACGCAAGAATGTTTCGCAGCAGCTCTGAATCATCGCTGTTCCAGTCAGTAGCAAGTGCACTGCAGCTGAAGGGAGATAACTCCGTTGTCGAGCCAAACAACAGTGGTACAATGACCAGGACATCTGCAGAGAAAATGTCTGATCAGATGGGGAAAAAATCTGTGACATTAACAACTGAACATGAGTATGATGAAGGGAATTTGTCCAGAGTTTCAATGACATCGGAATTCAATAAGTGGTTATTTGGTGGCAAAAAAAAAATGGATGTGCAAAATAAGGATGTCAATGTGTTCAGTCCAACATCATTCTGAAAGTTGTACTGTTAAATTGTCATAGAACAATGATACTCATTACCACTTGAAAGGATAAACAACTCTCCATTTGAGATTTGATTGAATTAGCAGCACAAAATACATATTAGTCTAGTGTCAGTGGTTTTGGTCCTGTCATAATTCTGGGTAACTAGAATTTGACCCCAGAGCTTTAAATTTCTGTATTTCAATCAATGCCAAATATTTTGAGATTATTTTTGCACCATAATGATTTTTATTCTTGGCAACATTATTCCCCCCTTCCAGTATTTAGATTATTTTGTTCTCCAGTTTTCAATTTCTAAGGTCTGTAAAATAAAAAAAACAACTATAATTCTTTTAAGGCTTATTGATTTACAGTAAACTACGGTTATAAGGAACTCAAAGGGACTACTAATTTGAGTTCGTTATAACCGTAATTCGTTATAAGCATATAAACAGCATAACTACAGCAAATGGTCGGGACTAAAAAGTCAGTTCGTTATATCCGTCAGTTCGTTATAAGCGTGTTCGTTATAACCATAGTTTACAGTATTTGTTCCTCAAGTATTCAGCAATCAGTTTGAGACCGGTGTACTTATACCTATTGTGTTTGTCAGCGTAGATTAAATTAGCTTTTAGTTCAACTGGGATGTGTTTGTACAATGTATCACTTATTCTTCACTGTGAACAAACATGAAGTACATGTACTTGTATTCCACTGTGAAGCATTGTGCGGTCCATGCCCTTTACCTGTTTACCACAGGCTTCCATGGCAGATATAGCACTTGGTCTCCTAGGAGATACTTCTTAGGGGGACTGCCTCCGTGGTCTAATGGTAGAGCGTCCGCCCGGAGAGCGGAAGGTCCAGGGTTCGATCCCGGGCCGCGTCATACAAAAAGACGTTAAAAGATTGTACTTGTTGTTACCCTGTCTGGCGCTCGGCATTAAGAGGCTAAAACAAGGACTGGTCGGCTCGGAGTCAGTATACTGTGTCTGAGTGGGGTATTCATGTTAAACTGCGGCATGGTATCTCAGTGAGCTAGCACTATAAATCGGCATCAGTCCGGACTAGTACAAGCAGCCACACACACACATACACGTGCATGCACGTCGCTATATAAGTGCAATAATCTTGGACGCGACGTTAAACCCAATTTCACCTCACCTTCTTCACTGTGAACAAACATGAAGTACATGTACTTGTATTCCACTGTGAAGCATTGTGCGGTCCATGCCCTTTACCTGTTTACCACAGGCTTCCATGGGAGATAAAGCACTTGGTCTCCTAGGAGATACTTCTTAGGGGGACTGCCTCCGTGGTCTAATGGTAGAGCGTCCGACAGGAGAGCGGAAGTTCGATCCCTGACCGCGTCATACCAACGTTAAACATCAGACGTTAAAAGATGGTACTTGTTGTTACCATGTCTGGCGCTCGGCATTAAGGGGCTAAAACAAGGACTGTTCAGCTCGGAGTCAGTATACTGTGTCTGAGTGGGGTATTCATGTTAAACTGCGGCATGGTATCTCAGTGAGCTAGCACTATAAATCGGCATCAGTCCGGCCTAGTACAAGCAGCCACACACATACATACACGTGCATGCACATCGCTATATAAGTGCAATAATCTTGGACGCGACGTTAAACCCCATTTCGCCTCACCTCACCTCACTTCTTTGGGATGGGTATTGGAGGTTTAAAGAGTATCACAATATTTTACAATGCACAAGGCTGCATTGCGGTACGTATCACAATATTTTGTATAATTCAAAATGTTTAATTCAGAAGCAATCTGATACATTAAGGTACTAACTGAAGTTTATAAATCGAACAAAATAAGATAATTGTACAACATAATATTTACTCATTCAATAAATGCTCGCTCCTGGACTTCGAAGGCATTTGGCAAGTTTATAACATTAAACACAGGTTGAAAAACCCAATTTGAAATCACCCAGTATATTGAGCATGAAAAAGTGATATTGTGATACGTATCCTCGAATGAATGAACTTCAATTTACTGATATATCGGTGATATCAAATTTGACATTTTACATGTTATGGGAACATATGCATCAGGGAAATGAATAGCAGCACAACTGGATTCAGTGAGTCCTTTAATAACGTTGACTTGGTACCTATTGTACATACAGGCTGAAAATAGTATTTTACAATTTGTGTTCTTTAGTGATGTCGTGTTTCACCAGTACACCAGTGCTTCTTCGGGAACCCATATAATTTGGCATGGATTCACATTTAACCCCAAATCGATTGTCCATGCTGATATCGCTTCGCTATCAATAACTAAAACAATTTATTTTTATACTCCTCATAACTTTCTTGGTCGTCTTTCAGACATGAAACCGGCCCAATAACTAGACTGACCAGCTTTTTCAATGATGCCTTTCATATACATAAATTTGATTGTATATTTCTCATCATTTTCTTTCAGTGTCATTAGTCAGTTGTCTGTTGACCTTTACCTTTATGAGTGAATCTCTAGACAAAATTCTCAGTCTAATGGCTGTGTTTTCGGCGCAAAATGTTGTATATGTGTGAAATATTTATCGTATCGTGTGACAGCTGCATCGTGACATCCCTAATATTCTTTTCATTTTTACATATCACCCAGTATATATATGTTTGTAATCACAAATTGTTCTCCTACATGTTTCAGTTTTATCTCCAGGGAGACGTGATTACCACTTTGTCTTTAGGGAGAAGTCATTACTAAGATAAAATGGTTCTCTCAAAGATAAAATGGTTATCACTTCTCCCTGAAGATAAAATTGAAACACGTAAGAGAGCAGTTTGTGTCGTGAGATTATTTTGTGAGTTTCTTTATGGGTGTGCAACTTTACACAAGTGAATTTCACCTCTCTATGTATATATATGTATAGAACTGTATTGTAGCAAAACACAACCTACGATACGATATTCATATTGCGGACATGGTGTTGCAATGCGCTGAATTTTTTGTGAACCCTTACACCTTTCCACCCCTAATCAGCTTGCTGAGGTACTGGGAGTTGGGAGAAAGGATTGTTTTCCTCCCATGTTAACATCTGTAGGGGGCATGGGTGGCCCAGTCGTCTAAGGTGCTGTGATTCTCTGTGCAGAGTTGCGTCCCTTGGGCACGCCAGAAACCTATGATTGTTTGTTCGAATACTGGTTCGCCCTGATTATGTTTCTAGGTTTGTCAGCATCATACCCGTGCTCATGGGTTTCACTGAAGTGGTAAACGTCTGAGACCTGCATCACTTCGGGCTTTCCTCACACATTAAGCTGACACGCCGCAATATAACTGGAATACTGTTAAAAGCGGTGTTTAACCCAACTCACTCACTCACTCAGTAACACATATGACACCTCCCCTCAAGATGGGCAGATTTTCTGTTGGGAAGAAAATATCACTGTGCAGCTGTTCTTAATTGATTGTTTCCTTTGCAAGACACGATTATTACCAGCATTTGTATTACCTACAGCATTAACGTACCGGTGGAAATAATTGGTTTAATATCATTACTTTGTTGTTTGTGTATTTTTTAGTGTGGAAATTATTTGTTCCAAACTTGAGAACTTCTACACAGAGAATATCATTCTTCATCATTCGCATTTTCCGTAACATACAAGGCTTGTCCCAAAATGGGACGAGTTGGTCATGAAGAGAGAATATCCCATCTATATATTGTAATCTCATTTTAGGTGAGCAGTGAATTTATCTAGTCTGTTCAGTATCAAGATGTTATGTAGAGAACTGATGCACAAAATTATTAATAAATCCTGTGAAAAACGTGTGTTGTAAACGAGTTGGATCACACTGGGATGAGGTTGGATCACACTGAGAAGAGGTTGGATCACACTGAGAAGAGGTGGGATCACACTGGGATGAGGTTGGATCACACTGGGATGAGGTTGGATCACACTGAGAAGAGGTGGGATCACACTGGGATGAGGTTGGATCACACTGGGATGAGGTTGGATCACACTGAGAAGAGGTTGGATCACACTGAGAAGAGGTGGGATCACACTGGGATGATGTGGGATCACACAGGGATGAGGTTGGATCACATTGAGAAGAGGTGGGATCACACTGGGATGAGGTTGGATCACACTGGGATGAGGTTGGATCACACTGAGAAGAGGTGGGATCACACTTGGATGAGGTTGGATCACACTGAGAAGAGGTTGGATCACACTGGGATGAGGTTGGATCACACTGAGAAGAGGTTGGATCACACTGAGAAGAGGTGGGATCACACTGGGATGAGGTTGGATCACACTGGGATGAGGTTGGATCACACTGAGAAGAGGTGGGATCACACTGGGATGAGGTTGGATCACACTGGGATGAGGTTGGATCACACTGAGAAGAGGTTGGATCACACTGAGAAGAGGTGGGATCACACTGGGATGAGGTTGGATCACACTGGGATGAGGTTGGATCACACTGAGAAGAGGTGGGATCACACTGGGATGAGGTTGGATCACACTGGGATGAGGTTGGATCACACTGGGATGAGGTTGGATCACACTGGGATGAGGTTGGATCACACTGAGAAGAGGTTGGATCACACAGGGATGAGGTTGGATCACACTGAGAAGAGGTTGGATCACGCTGAGATGAGGTTGGATCACTTGTTTGAGGTGGGTTCAAACTGATATGAGGTAGGATCACTTGTTTGAGGTGGGTTCACATCAGGATAATGCCTGATCACACCAGGATGAGGTGAGTTCACACCAGGATGAGGTGGGTTCACACCAGAATGAGGTGGGTTCACACCAGAATGAGGTGGCTTCACACCAGGATGAGGTGGCTTCACACCAGAATGAGGTGAGTTCACACCAGAATGAGGTGGGTTCATACCAGGATGAGGTGAGTTCACACCGGCATGATGTGGGTTCACACCAGTATGAGGTGGGTTGTCACTGGGATGAGGTGGGTTCGCATTGGGATGAGCTGGGTTCACACTGGGATAAGGTGGGTTCACACTGGGATGAGTTGGGTTCACATTGTGATGGGGTTTAATCACACTGGCATAAGAAGGGATGATGGTGGGTTCAAACCAGGATGAGGTGGGTTCACACCAGGTGGGTTCACATCCGGATGAGCTGAGTTCACACCAGGATGAGGTGGGTTCACACCAGGATGAGGTGGGTTCACACCAGGATGAGGTGGGTTCACACCAGGATGAGGTGGGTTCACAACAGGATGAGGTGGGTCCACACCAGGATGAGGTGGGATCATGGTGGGTTCACACCAGGATGAGGTGGGACCATGGTGGGTTCACACCAGGATGAGGTTTGCACTATAACAAAACCAATCTTCAATAGGCCTGCATCAATAAAGGCGGCAATTCCATTTCCGTAAACATATGAATTTGTTAGTTGAACGATTCTGACAACATCATAAGCATGTATTTCTGTAACACTATCAAACAGTTAGGGGGCCCAGGCCAACTTGCACAAAGCCATCTTAGCGCTGAGATTACCGTAAGCCTATGTTAAAGTATGGGAGTTACGATGATCTCAGCGCTAAGATCGCTTTGTGCAGGTGGGCCCAGGAGTTCACGAAGAGGTGATCGCATCCTGCCCAATCGGGGCACCCGTCACAAACACATGCAAAGTCAGTTATTCACCTAAACATATGGTACGAGGCAAAATAAGGAATTGCATTGGACATCATTTTTGTCACATCTACGTCACATGTGGAAGAAATTCGCCAGCAATTGAAGAATATTAAAAAAAATAATTCAAGTTTGAAGCAAGGATTGTCGATCTACCCACAGTCAGGCGTTGAATAAACAAATTCAAGAGTGCAGGATGGTGTTTTAATACCCTAAGGTACGGTGGCCCGTAAGGGACATGGAGTCTGTTTTTCAATATTTTGATATTTCACTTACTGTTATCGTAACCTTTTGCAAATTAACACGATTTGTCATACAACTATGTGATAAATCAGGTTACGATAAAAGTAAGTGAAATATCAAAATATTGAAAAACAGACTCCATGTCCCTTATGGGCCACCGTACTAAGGTTACCGCGTACAATGTAAGATTCATTTGGGGATTAAAGAAGTTCGTGGAATGAGCGTTCAGTGATAACCTTTAAGCCAATCATTTTCACAGTCATCTTTGGGGACGAAATCAGTTTTCACTGTAACTGCACTTCTAAAAGTAATTTTAAAAATATTTACTTGGGTGTTACTTGGTTGTGGGATTAGTTATACGTATAGGAAGACATTCAGATATTGTGAAATATTTGAGAATCTGCACCTTGTGTAAACTGGAGCCCTTAACAACGAATACTGTTCTTTTTTTATCATTAAATGCCCGGTATATATTGGTGCTAGATATTTCATAAATATTTTCATGTTTTGATGTCGTGTGATAAAAGTAGTACTGTATATTTGAAGAAATTGCAGTTAGATAACAAAGCACTCTAGTTAAGAGCACCTCTTCAGCCGCCAGCACAGACACGGCAACCTGCTTCATCATTGTGTGTAGGTGTTCATGTGTATAATCAATCTCGCAGTATTGTTAGTAATAAATTAAACTGCATGCCATGTATATCGAGCCCTTGTCTTCATACACTACAGGATAACTGAATGTAGCCGCTACTTGTAAGTTCAAGAATAATGCCCTTGTTTTTGCCCCGGCTGTTTGTCGATCTATATGGGGCGAACATGCCGAGGTACGGGACACTGGAACGTTAAGCATCAAGAGGACTAGACACGATGGCGGCAAACTTCCACTCAAAGTCGCCGTTAATTCAAGATCTGTATTCCATGGAACTTCGGTAAGAGCACTTTATAATAATTATCAGTTTTCAGAATGATAAATAATAGAACGCACTGACACTGTCAGTCAAAGCAGTTCAATATGACACCGCACATTGGCAATTGCAATAAGTTCAAATTAGCATACTGCACGTCAAGAATAATATAACATCGTACCCATATATTATAGTCAGTTGGCCACCAGCGGAAAAGAGGCTCAGTTTAGATTTTCGTTCCCACATTTTCCTGTATACTTTAAACCTTTTCTTTTGCATAAAGGAGGTATTTGTACACAATTTTCATTGGGTAGTAAGTTTGCAAGTGTGTGTTACATCAACAAAATCTACCACCATATCTCAATAAGCAATTTTCGTCAAAATTGTTTTTTTGGGGGCGGGGTAACATTGTATACAATATCTCAGCCCCTATGTAATATATTTTCATTTTGTTTTCTGTATAGGATAGTACAATGGTTCAGGCAGATTTTAATACCCAGTTATAGTGGTTTTATTTTCACAGTTCAATGGAATTAGTGTTTTACCTACTCACAAGATTTGAAAATGAGGTAAAAAACATAATTTTTATCAATGTTTCCACTGAGAATTAGAATAAGAGTTAAATTAAACAAAATGTTTGCCAAATTCAGATAACCGAACATATTACCTGTAATCAAAGACATAATTTGGATAGTTTAATGACTTAATAAAAATGTTACAGCCAATATTGTCAAATTATGCATTTTTCCTTCAATTTATGCAATTTTGACTCCCTGAAAATTCACGCACACCTTGCAAGCTTACTACCCAATGAAAACTGTGTACAGATACCTCCTTTATGCAATAGAAAAGGTTTAAGGTATACAGGAATATGTGGGAACGATAATCTTGTTTTTCACCCCTGGCCAAATGACTATTACCTAACAAACCTGATACTTTGAACATTAGATAAATTACACATTACTCTTTAGGTTATATATCGTTAATTAAATTAATGAAACGGACAAAATCATCAGTACAGGCCAATGGAAAAAATCGTTAGTACAGGACAACGGACAAAATCGCCAGTGTAGGAGAACGAACAATATTGATGGACTGCTTTGTTATTAACAATCTTTGGGAACAATCTTTGATTATGTAGCGTAGACCCTTCAGATCCACGCACGCACAGATGTTTGTGCAAACTGCCTGTTGATTTTACAACACACTATTGCCTAGAGCAACGCGCACCTACGACTCAGCCTACCCGCTGTTGCCACTGGGAATCAATGACAACTGCAGAGTTCTCTTCTCAGTTGCCTCAGATCAATGTTTCTGACTGAGGTGAACGATACTATGTGCACCGACAACTGCAACGCGGCACTGCGCCAACAGGTAAACTTGCCATGAAATTGAACGATGAGGTAATGGAAGGAGATGAAGTTTCAAAGGCTGTTTTGTACAGCCACCGTGTCTAGATGTTGCTGCAGGCTCTGGGTCTATCATGATATTGTTCAGGTAAGAACACGTTCTGTTAGAGGGTTTAAAGGAATATACAGCTATGTAGGTGTGGGGTTTGTCTCGTGGTGTTATGATTCTTGGCGCCTGGCGCTATATAATAGGCACCTACTATGGTGTTAAAACAGGTACACCTTGCTTGTGTCTTCATGCGTAATATAACGATATTATGGAACGTGTTCTGGTAGGAAATACGACTGTTTAGAGTGTTCTGGTGTAATACACAACCTGTTACAGATGTTTAAACGAAGTGTTGTATCAGTACACGTGTGAGGGTCTCTCATTTAGGGCTAGTTTTTTATTGGTATACGTCTGCTGGTCTGCCATTAAGTATCAGTGTTTTATTGGTATACATACGTGTGTTGGTATGTCAATTAGGACTTGTGTTTTATTGGTATACGTGTGTGGGTATGTCATTTGGAATCAGTGTTTTTTTGGTATACGTGTGTGGGACTGTCATTTAGGATCGGGACCCGTGAAGATTTCAGGGTAGAACCCATACTTGCCGTAAAAGGCGACTATGCTTGTCGTAAAAGGCGACTAACGGGATAGGGTGGTCAGGCTCGCTGACTTGGTTGATGCTTGTCATCGATCCTAATTGCGTGGATCGATGCTCATGATGTCAATCACGGGATTGTCTGGTCCAGACTCGATTATTTTACAGACCGACTTCATATAGCTGTGCGGCGTTAAACAACAAACATTTAGGATCGATGTTTTATTGGTATATCTTTGTGAGTCTCTCATTTGGGGTCAGTGTTTTAATAGTATGCGTTTGTGGGTCTGCCATTTAGAATCAATGTTTTATTGGTATACGTGTGTGGGTATGCCATTTAGAATCAGTGTTGTATTTGTATGCGTGTATGGGTCTGCTATTAAGGATCAGTGTTTTATTGGTATACGTGTGTGGGTCTGCCATTGAGAATTAGTGTTTTATTGATTTACGTGTATGGGTCTGTCATTAAGGATCAATGTTTTATTGATTTACGTGTGTGGGTCTGTCATTAAGGATCAGTGTTTTATTGATTTACGTGTATGGGTCTGTCATTAAGGATCAATGTTTTATTGGTATCATATATGGGCCTATCATTCAGAGTATATATGTGAATGGGATATACTAGGATATTTCTATGTTCGACATCATCTGACAACTTAGGTACAGAACATATGAGACACACAAGGATGGTGGTATAGTCGACATCTTATACTAACTCGGGTAAATATCATATGAGATATACTAGGATGACGGAATAGTCGACATCATATACTAACGCGGGTATAGAACATAGGAGACACACAGCTAGGGATGATGGTATAATCGACATAATATACTAACGCGGGTATAGAACATATGAGACACACAGGGACGGTGGTATAATCGACATCATATACTAACTCAGGTGTGGAACATATGAGACGCACAGGGATGGTGGTATAATCGACATCATATACTAACTCAGGTGTGGAACATATGATACACACAGGGATGGTGGTATAATCGACATCATATACTAACTCAGGTGTGGAACATATGATACACACAGGGATGGTGGTATAATCGACATCATATACTAACTCAGGTGTGGAACATATGATACACACAGGGATGGTGGTATAATCGACATCATATACTAACTCAGGTGTGGAACATATGATACACACAGGGATGGTGGTATAATCGACATCATATACTAACTCAGGTGTGGAACATATGATACACACAGGGATGGTGGTATAATCGACATCATATACTAACTCAGGTGTGGAACATATGATACACACAGGGATGGTGGTATAATCGACATCATATACTAACTTAGGTGTGGAACATATGATACACACAGGGATGGTGGTATAATCGACATCATATACTAACTCAGGTGTGGAACATATGATACACACAGGGATGGTGGTATAATCGACATCATATACTAACTCAGGTGTGGAACATATGATACACACAGGGATGGTGGTATAATCGACATCATATACTAACGCGGGTATAGAACATATGAGACACACAGGGATGGTGGTATAATCGACATCATATACTAACGCGGGTATATAGAACATAGGAGACACACAAGGATGGTGGTATAATCGACATCATATACTAACGCGGGTATATAGAACATAGGAGACACACAGCTAGGCATGATGGTATAGTCGACATCATATACCAGCTCAGGTAGATAATATATAATTTGCATGTTATTACCAGAAAATATGTTACAATGGTCCTCATCGTGTGTCAGCTCAGATTAGGAACACAAGGACGTTGCTTTTATATGTGACCAGCTGATACACCCACACGCATGGCATTTGTATTCCGGTCATACTATCAATTTCAACGATTGATCGATCGATGGACTTAGTAGACTTTTGTTTTCATCCCTTTTCAGATTACGGAGGCGACGACTACGGACGTTGTTGCTGTACGTCGTCAGTATCAGCCTCATCATCGCCGTGCTCATGCGCATGAAGAGGAGTGAAAAGGGTGCCCAATCAAAAACTCATATTGAACCACCAATCGCTAACGAAGTCATGAATGACGTCACGGTACCGGAAGTCCATCACGTGGTGTTCTTGAAAGTTCACAAAGCAGCAAGCTCTACCCTTATGAACATATTCATGAGATTTGGAATCTCACGTAACTTGAACGTCATGGTTCCGAAAACATTAAATGTATTTAGCCAATCTACGTACCTTCATCAAAATCAGTTTCTTCACTACTCCCCCAGCGGACTGTATGACATCCTCTGCTGCCATGTTGTATACCGGAAGGCGTCCATTGCGCCATATTTCCCGGCCGACACGCGTTATATCGGGATAGTGAGGGAACCATTCCAACAATTCCTATCAGCGTTTCTTTATTACAGACATTTATCATATCTGAAAAAGATTTCAGGGGATAATCCCGTGTCAACATACCTGCAAGATCCATTAAGATATGAGCCTGGCCACGCCCTTTCTTCGTACACAAACAATCGGATGACCTTCGATTTCGGTTACCCGTTCAAAGAATATGACAACACTTCCTACATGTATGACTACGTTGATCAATTAGTGTCAGAACTGGACTTTGTAATAGTCGTAGAATACTTTGACGAATCTATGTTGATGCTGAAACAGCTACTTGGGTGGACTTTAAAAGATATGTTGTATATCCCGCGCAAGTACGGGGAAAGACGGAACACACTGACATTTACAAGAGAAGACAGGGAGCGGCACAAACAGTGGGCAAGGCTGGACCATATTCTGTATAAACGGTTTTTAAACATTCTTCTAAAAAAGCTAGATCAAAAGAACAAATTATTTTACGAGGAACTGGACACCTTTAAAGATTTGAGAGCGAAAATGGAACATTTCTGTACAGCGACAAAGAAAGAAGAACTGTTTCTACCTAAGTCAACGTGGAACGAAAATTTTACTGTCAGCAGAAAAGATTGCGACCTCATGCAAATGAATGCAATTCCCCTCATTAACTTAGTGAGAGGGAGGTATATTGTAAAGTGAGTTGCATTTAACGCTCATTTGACCGATATATCAGCTATATCACCTTCTCGGCGTGGTGTGGTGAGAAGCCCGGTCGCAAGGGTTCAGCACGAAAATGGTATTTTACAGATCAAGATTCATAACCGGATCTAATCTGAGATTCGGGCACCTAATCCCTGCGAACTGGTCAACTCCTGCCCTCGGTATGTTAAAGAAAAAGAGGACAATTAATTTGAGATCTACGTGCATGTAATTTCGTTTATCTGCCATTTCGTTGTCCTTTCAACGATTCGAAGCAACCGATTCTTACTTTTTTATGTAACCACGTGCTGTCCGTGTGTTGACATTGTGCCATGCCTTGCATTTGCCTTTGACGACGAAATAACAAACTGCCAGTAAATGGTTTTGAATGACTACCGGAGACTTCTTCGTCCTCTTTTTATTATGGCACCTATATCACGTGTATGTATATATACGACGAGTCCTAGGAGGACTGAACATGCTCATCTGGTTCGAAACACATGTTGTCCTGAATGTTACGTAACAGCGTCGCACAGAATATGATGACACCCCAGACGCTGTTTATCAATGTTCGCACACCGTGTGTGCTTTACTTGTGTATTTTGCCGAAAAATAAGCGCTCGGCTGTAGCGATTGCCTTTTAATCTATTGTGACGCGAGAATCTCCCCTTCTAATATTACGTAATGAGGTATGTACCTTTCCAGCAAGACTCGCATGGTTTGAGGTGAGGTGAAATGGGGTTTAACGTCGCGTCCAAGATTATTGCACTTATATAGCGACGTGCATGTACGTGTGTGTGTTTGTGTGGCTGCTTGTACTAGTCCGGACTGATGCCGATTTATAGTGCTAGCTCACTGAGATACCATGCCGCAGTTTAACATGAATACCCCACTCAGACACAGTATACTGACTCCGAGCCGACCAGTCCTTGTTTTATCCCCTTAATGCCGAGCGTCAGACAGGGTAACAACAATTACCATCTTTTAACGTATTTTGGTATGACGCGGTCGGGGATCGAACCCCGGACCTTCCGCTCTCCGGGCGGACGCTCTACCACTAGACCACGGAGACGGTCCGCATGGTTTTATCACGAGGGCCTGTACAATAAATGCTATTATAACAGTATCTCTCTTTGTCATATATTTCTTGTTTGACGTCTTGAAGCTCCATATGACCCTTTGGGAGGAGTTAATACTTCCACTTGAGCGTCGTCAATGACACGATTTAGGTGGTAACACTGAGGTAGCAGCAAAATACATTTCATGGGCATTTGTGTTACAATTTATTTTACAAATGTCACATTTTCAATGGTAAGGGCAGGATACTATTACACCAAACATTCTACAGTTCTAAAGCTGGGTGAGAATGAACGCTTATTTCAAGAGCAGAAACCTTTGATGACACACATAATGACGTCACTAATACCCCGAATACGTGGATCGTTCCTACATGCAACCTTTGCTATGTCTGGAAGAGACTAGATTATTTAAGAAATAGACGGAGTCGTTTATCGTACCATTAACACGGGGAAAATGGAAAAAGTTTTACAAATATTTCATCACGTAAATGCGACTTATTAAGAATTAGAAATGATCAAATAAGGGAATATTACAACTAATAGACGAGGTTGCAGTATCTTTGACCAGCCAAGAGTCACACCGATAACGCACATCGGACAGGACCAGTATCTCTCATTGTGCGGGTCAGATAGAGTTAGGCAAAAAACGTAAGATGTCAAAACATCTGTCTGCATCTACAGCTGTTTTATCATTCACTCTTATCAAGTCGCATGTAGCACCTATACATTCGTGGCATACTAGCAACTGGTAAGCTATTATTCTTACATGACAGTGTCCTGATTTCAAAGGCACTATCAATTTCCTTGAAGGTGGTTCCCTATCACAAGATGTCAACCAGTGGAAAGGGATCCAAAATACTGCTCATGAGTATGAAAATGTAATGGTAAATACTTTACCATTTCTATCAGCCTCTTGCTCGCAAGATGGAGGCAACTGATGAACCGTGAGCGATTTCCAAGAGCTCCCGAAGTGATGCTCTTCTCTTATACCATGATTCTCAAGCAGGCGGTAGTCACCAGGGCGCTGACAGAGTATATGGTGCTCTCAGACTAAAGTGGTATTGGCCTGGGGTGGACAGCAAGATGGCCTGAAAGATGACAGGACCACGTCACAATCAGAGGAACAGCTCTGAAACAACGGTCAACAATCCCACACTTCCTCGGACCACGGAGCAACAGATACCCAAAGTAGTTGACCAGTACTACCCAGTTGAAAAGCTGCTGCGTCAACGAATGCAACAGGGTAAACGTTACTATTTAGTGAAGTGGGTTGGTTACTGAGTTTCTAGGTTTGTCAGCACCATACCCGTGCTCGTGGGTTTCACCGAAGTGGTAAACGTCTGAGACCTGCATCACTTCGGGCTTTCCTCCCACATAAAGCTGACACGCCGTGATTTAACTGGAATAATGTTAAAAGCGGCGTTAACCCAACTCACTCACTCCCTGTACCATTTAATTGTAAACAACAAATAGTCCAAGATGTTTTGTTGTTTTCTTTCATTTCAATCGCCCAACTTACTTATTGTATCCCTCAGTACAAGATACAAGCACCAGTGAACCTCGCAAATCACAAATCACCAAATAGTTGGTTGTATTCTTGCTCAGTAATATGTCGGTATGCCAGGATTAAACATCACCTATGTAACTCAAGGTAAGGCACTTTACGGTTGTCGTATTCCTTACCACGATGTACAGCTTGGTGGGGACACGGGTGGCCCAGTCGTTTAAGGCGCCGCGATTCGCTGTGCAGAGTTGCGTCCCTTTGGGACGCCAGAAACCTATGATTGTGGGTTCGAATACCGGTTCGCCCCGATTATGTTTCTAGGTTTGTCAGCACCATACCCGTGCTCGTGGGTTTCACCGAAGTGGTAAACGTCGAAGACCTGCATCACTTCGAGCTTTCCTCCCACATTAAGCTGACGCGCCGCGATATAACTGGAATACTCTTAAAAGCGTCGTTAAACCCAACTCACTCACTCACTCACTCACTGTACAGCTTGGTGTGTGAACCCTCTTTTAAAGAGAGTCACGCTGAAGACCCGGGTTCGATTCCCGACATGGGTACAATGTGTGAAGCCCATTTCTGGTGTCCCCCGCCGTGATATTGCTGGAATATTGCTAAAAGCGGCGTAAAACCATACTCACTCACTTTTAAAGAGACCATTTCGTGCATATGTTCTCATCAACCGTCATGGTATATGTTGCCAGATGTCTCTGTGAAACCTGTAGAGACACTGCCAGCAATTTCACTTTACTTATGGATTTTTGGGACGAAATTTTAAATGAACATTGGGATACTATTAACATGGGGAAAATGGACAAAGTTTCACAAATATTTCACATACCACATATTAAGAATCGGAATTTGTCAAATAAGGAAGTATTACAACTAGTAGACCATGACCCACTTGCGCAACGCGATCTTAGCTCTAAGATGATCATAACTCCCATACTTTAACATAGGCTTACGATAGTCTTAGCGCTAAGATCGCTTTGTGCAAGTAGGCCCAGGTTGCAGTATCTCTAACCTGAATAGGCTCAAACCGATCACGCACATCATGCAGGACCAGTATCACTTATTGTGCAGGTCAGACAGAGTTAGGCAAGCAAACGTAAGGTGTCTATAGTAATACCTTTATCTGTATCTACAGATGTTTATCGTCAACCCTTATCAAATCACATGTACCGTCTATACATTCGCGGCATACTTGCAACTGGTAAGCTATTATTCTTACTAAACCTAACTCATAAACAACTTGATCCGCAAGGCCTCGGTCAAACTAACTTATATAATTGTGTCGTGACAGCGCCACTTAAGTCCACAATAACAACTTTATCGTCAGCTTAATCAGTAAAAGCTAGAGTATGTATAAATAATGACGACAGACAGTCACAAATCGTTCTGTGGCTGTCTAATACACTGATTGTTTTATTCACACAGCTCGTGTGTTGTTGTGTGCGTTTGTCGTGTACCTGGTATCTCTTCTAGGCGAGTGATATGCCTCACTCGTTGTAATGGTAAAATATAGTACTGCAGGGAGAACAAACATGGGCGCAATGTTTTATTGTACGATAAACAACGACCACGGGTCGTTTATTTCTTATATGTAATATCAACATAATGTACAGCCTCTTTGAGAATGTTAGTAAAAAGTAATACAAAGTTATACAAGTCCGTGATTTGACAAAAAATAATAGCAGAACAACTAAAACATTTTTAATTAGTATTAGATTAGGTCCGTGTTGAGTCACTCAACCAAAAGTATAAATAAATAAATAAATAAATAAATAAATAAATAAATAAATAAATAAATAAATAAATAAATAAATAAATAAATAAATAAATAAATAAATAAATAAATAAATAAATAAATAAATAAATAAATAAATCGAATGAATAACATATTGTCTTTAAATCAACTAAATATCTTAATTATTCATTTGACTGATTTGAAGGTAAGAAAAAACAGCCAGGAATTAAGATTTAATACGTTTTAATTGCTTCAACGGACATAATTACCTGGTAAATATAGAACACGGTTGTAAAATAATACTAAACTCGGTTCTTAAATATAAGCTTTGTGGTAGCCTAGCTAACTGTTTGTGTAGTTAAACACTAAAATTGAATAAAATATTTTTTCAGGCTGAGCTAACTTGCAGAATGCAGACACATGCAGCTCATTTACTAAGCATGGGTGTTTCAAATTTCTGACACAGTTTTTACCCACCGTGGGCGTCTGGAAGAAAGGTGTGATCAGTCACCACCACACAAAACCGCTCTCACACACAGGCGCTCGTATCGTATCTCAATGGTAATGGCAGTTATACACGCACGCGCGCACGCACCACATACATACACCTTAGAGATCTAATGACAGCACATATACAAACATATAACCATAGAAGTCTGGGGTTACACATGGCAAGTGCTTTCATTTACCGTTGAGCAACGATGCCAGCGCCTGTGAAGTGACCAACATTCCTTGGGAAACACCTATGTTGCTATTTTTAGATTACTATTTTTAGTAACATATTCGCGTCGGTTATATATATAAATCGCAGTTCAGCGCATGCCTCAAGCAGACAAGCACAGCACCTGTCAACTTCCGGCTAACAGTAAGTTCGGTAAGTGTACCTTAACATTCAATAAAAAGGGACAAAGCTGTCGTTCGATTGACTTTGGAACAATATATGAACAGGAAAACGTTTGGAAAATCGTTTCACCGTTGTCTCTATGTTTAAGCTGTTCCATTCCTGAGCATCTTGTATCGGTACGTAGGCAGGTTAGCCATGTTTACAGCTGTAACTTGACGAGTTGAAACTGAATAGGTCCTGCTGAAGGCGATATGTGTAGTCGGTGTCACAGTGACATACGACAATTTAGACATGCTAGACCCTACGTCATTGTCAAGGAATGAAATCGTGTAAATGGGATAACAGTTTGTGCCTCACCTCATTTACATATGGAATCGTTCCAAAATGTGTATCCCTTGGTCAGCAATTTTCAGGTTATTCTCCAGCTAGGCCAAGTACAGCCTTTTTTCATGAATGACCAACATGCCTTTCTCATCACTTTCTCAGCCCTCGACTGAAATTAAGACACTTGAGTGTTCCTTTATAGAATTACTTCTATTTCAGCGATTTATATGTTTGTCTATTTCAAGGTAAAGGGCCTAATGAACATATTGTGCAATATGTATGTATATTAGGGCTGGGACAGGTAACTCCGCAACTTGGGTCGGGTGGGTCCTGAGTAGGACCCGGGTACCCACAGGACTACTCAGACCCGAGGTTAGTTATGTGATATATTGTTTAATGACAAAAATTATATCAAACTCTATGGTCACACTACAAGACACTAATGTTCCATTTCTTTCTGACAATGCACCCATTCCTTCTGACTTTTATATGTTTGAAAAAAGATAAAACTTTGTGAAGTAAACTTCAGTGTATGCATGACCAGATCGTTTTACACGTGCATCTAAATACATTTTGCTCGGGATACGGACAAATGCTTCCAAATTGGACAGTTTGTACCTATTTCTAAATATCTACAACGGGTACCCGGGTAGGTTCGGGTGTTAAGGGTGGTTGGTACCCAGGTAGTAAATTTGGACTCGTCCCAGCCCTAGTATATATATTTCAGGAAAGTGACAGGTAAATTTATATTAAAATTGGGATACCGTATTCGACAGAATAAGCGCCCTGCTCTCATAAGCGCCCACGTCAATATTTGCTAATATATTGGCTAGTGAACAATACCAATTAGCACCCCTTCCGATTGGTCAATGTACAAAAGACTTATTTATTCGTGTTTCATATGCACTCGTGTGTTATATGCACCCTTAATTATTGGCATTTAAATTCTGGAAAAATATATCTGTCGTATATAAACATTTCAGGCTGTCAGCATGGTCAGCATAAACCACGAAATCTTTCTACTCTGTTTTTTTCACCAAAATAATATTCTAATAAGAGCCCCTATTTCTAATTTTGAGAGCGCCCTGGGCGCTTATTACGTCGATTACGGTATTGAAAGTGAAACTGAATCTACTACATCAGATGACAGGCCATGTGAATCTCTTTCATGAAGAAATGGGTTAGAAATGGTCCTCAGACAGCCATGCTTGTTGTAAGAGTCGACTAACAGACGTCATATAGCTGCATGGAATATTGCTGTGTATGGTGTTAAACAACAGACAAACAATTACAAGGAAGTCCAGCCAGATTGTTTTGTGTTGTTATTTGCTCTCAATATATGCAGAGACATTCTAGCAGGGGAGAACTACGTAGGAATATGCTGCACTCCATGTTTACCCCATGGGGTTTCTGAGATTCGAATCCGTCCCCTATTAGACTGACATTTAGTCCAAGAAATAAAGTTTACTTATTTAAAAATATATATTAAAAATAAAAAATCCAAATGAAGCCCAGAACAATCCTTAATTTCCTAGAACTTAGGTAATCTAGACTTGCCAAATCATTCTAGACTTGAGTGGGATCCTTTTTCAGTTTATTCTCTAAGGTCCGGGAGACAGTAGTCCCCTATGTCAGAGTGATGGTGGTTGTGTAAATCAAATCACAAAGTAACCAACTTCCATGTTTCACCACTTGTAGATCAGTTAAACCTGAAACAGATATCTTCTAAATAAGGAACATATACACCAGTTAAATAAATTAAACAAGGAAAATGTTTCCTCAGACCATAACACTACTGGTTTGTGTTTATGTGATGCCAGGGCTAGGATGAAAAGAGAAATATGAAAAATAATTTGGAACATTAATGAAGGAAATTAAACTTAGCTTTGTCTTGCTATTAATATTAAAGGTATGCTTTTTTGCATGTTTGTATTGGTTTTGATAAGCAATTCACAACAGTGTGAGGTATCTGCAATTTGACCAAGGTAGAACTGATCCACAGTAACATAGCACTGCAACAGTTTGCTGCGATATGCTATGTGACAACTGATACCGGTACATGCCATGCTGGGAGTCCCCGCGTAGCTACGCAAAAGTTTTACAAACATTCTGTGGAAATTTTACTTTGTTAACCAAAATATAATAAAATCCTAAAATCGAAAAGTTAGTGCCGGCTACATTTTTAAAAATCGTTATTTGAAGCCTATTTCATATGGAACTATAAGGTAAGCTGTGCCTAGTCCATATATGCACAGTCAAATATCTTGCATGGGACTACTTTAAGTTGTTATGACACTGACAGTATGTTATATTTGCAAACCTAGATTTATCCAGTTTCAGGAAAGAGATTTGATTATCTGGGTTTTATTATCTTTTCTGTTGTTCGTTAACACAAAAAATAATTTTCAACCATGTATCTGGTCTCATACATAATATGGAAAGCATCAGCTGGAAAGGCATGTAATATCCTGCCAACTTGCTCCTGCGACCCGTGAAGATCCGGGGTGGAAAAGGTCTTCAGCAACCCATGCTTGCCGTAAAGGGCGACTATGCTTATCATAAAAGGCGACTAACGGGATCGGGTGGTCAGGCTCGCTGACTTGGATGATGCATGTCATCGATCCCAATTGCGTGGATCGATGCTCATGATATCAATCACTGGATTGTCTGGTCCAGACTCGATTATTTACAGACCGCCGTCATGTAGCTGGAATATCGCTGAGTGCGGCGTTAAACAACAAACAAACAAACCAACATGCTGCTGCTGTTTTAGAAGACTTGTTAATTTTCATTCGTTTTCCCGTTTTTAGAAACGTCCAAACATTCCACTCAGTGCAGTCATGCTGGACACGATGAGGATACATCCATGCATTGCAATGGAAGGCGGCAGCAGCCTGTAGCACATGGACTGTGAAAATGGTGAAGGCGCTAAAGGACATGTGCCTCCACTGTGTCCAGCACAGCCTGGAACACATCCCAAACTTGCAGCACAACTTACCCACTTTGTACAAAGAGATCCTCATTGAACGACTGGCCAACCATGACATGTTTTATCAGCATTACCGACCATTCATTGCCAGTAATTTGTTTTGTGAGAACTTACGTTACATCAAGCTATACAAGTGTAGTCAGATAGACAACGAGTGCCTTATATCACTGTCTCGCGCCCGGTGTCAACTGGAGGTCATCACCATCCACAGATGTGAGAATGTCTCAGGTAAGTCCTGCCAGGTTACCATGGTAACAGGCAGAGAAATGTTTATTGTTGAGCTCATGACACAATGGACGGAAATCTCGACTAGTTAGTTACCTGAGCTGCGGCAATAGTAGCATGTTTGTCACTTTTTTTGAAAGTATAAGGCTGTCACATTGATCAACAAAATGAAACACAGTATTGTCTTGGAAATAATAAGGAAATGTAGGAATCTTTTGGGGTAGCATTGGTAATGGTGACGAAGTCATTTGCTTGGTATTGGGCGAGTTTTGTTTACACTATTTTGACTTGTAACGGAACTAAACATTTCCCCAGCTCATTTTATCATGTGTATATGTTATCATGGTTATTGTCAAAGTGTAAAACGACTGAAATGTTACCTGAGGCAATTTATTAAACCCCTGAATATTCAGTTATTTTTCAAATTGACTTTCGTCATATTTTATTATGATTACTAATACCAAACTTTTTTATGTTTCATTTCATCACCCAGTGACTGAAATGATAGGATAAAAGAAAATGAAAGTCAAAACATATTTCTATAATTTTTGGCTTCTAATCCATGCTTCTTAGTCTAATGTGATGATTTATGCCCTTTTGAATGTCTTAATATTTTTTTGGTCAGTCTGTTAAGTAAATGGTCAGATTTTCAGTCTCTTTTTAAAATGATTGAAATATGTAGACATTTTACATATTTTAAACATTTAATGTAACAATGTAATCAAAATGCAGATATCATAAATTACAACCAAATAATATGTATAATATCAATATGTATAAAAATTAGCAATCAATCAACGTATTATCGGCTTATCCTTTGAACAAAGTATGTTGTTTTTACACTTCACACCCAGATTTGCGAGTATTATATCTGCCAATGTGCAAGATAACAGTGATTAATCATCTACACCTGCCAGTGTGCAAGACAATAGTGATTAATCAATCAAGGTATTAACGGTTTATCCTTTGATCCATGTTTTTTTGTTACTCAACTGACAATTCCTCTCTTGCTGTGCTGCCATGTGCATACCGTATTCGACATAATAAGCGGCCCTGGCGATATTTGCTAACATATTGGCTAGTGAACAATCCCAATTAGCACCCCTTCCGATTGATCAATGTACACAAATCTTATTTATTCGAGTATAATACGCATTCGTGTGTTATATACACCCTTAATAATGGGCAATTAAATTCTGCAAAAATGTATCCGTCGTATATAAACATTTCAGGCTGTCAGCATAAACCACGAAATTTATCCTTTAACTCTGTTTTATTTCACCAAAATAATATTCTAATAAGAGCTCCCTATTTCTAATTTTGAGAGCGCCCTGGGTGCTTATTACGTCGAATACGGTCCTGCAAATTGTGAAATTAATGCATCTCCAAAAGAATGCGACCATTGGTCCCTAGCCAGAAATGCGACTTAATGTGAATGCGACACCCCCTCCTCTCAAGCATCAGTGGATTTATGTCTAAAGAAAACGTCCTCTGTCAGGATTACAGGAGAATTCTCACCTTAATCCAAGCTTACATTAATCCAATCACACACAATAGCACCGCTTTTAGCGCTGAGTAGAGCACTTCTGATGAAACAGTGATGGCATAAGTGAGTAGAACTCTTGTCTTGACCCAAGCAGTGACAATTCACAGGATGTAATTAGTGTTTGAATGACATTGTTTATATTCTTGTTACAAGTGCTGCTCAATAATCAGTGATGTGGAATACATAGTTGTTTGTTTTCAGCTTATGTCTAAGTTGGTATTTTTGCTGTCCAAAATGTCTTATTGCTGATATAAGTGCGATGTTTAATAATGCGAGCTAAGACCACTTGCACTTTTAGCATTTAATTCACGCTGGCGTTAATTTCAAGATATACAGCATCACATGACATGTTATACATTCAAAACATCAGACCTGGATATATAAACCAATCTCAGATTGAATAACTACCGATTTCTGTATATCCTTGACATCTTCAGAGGGAGCGGTGAACTTTATGGAGATATTTTGCATAGTCTTTGTCACGTCATCTGAGTGGTTCTACCACTAATTATACCTGTAATAAAGTGATTAACTGAGCACCTCGGGAATGATGACAAATACACAGGTGTAGGGTTATACCATTAAACATGGATGACCACACGGGACTAGTAATTGTTGTATTATATGCAATTTGCCTGAAAAGTAAGGGTTGTTACTGTTTTGAGAACTGTAAATCTTGAAATTAATGCGTCTCCAAATTAATATGACTGCTGACCCCTAGCCAAAAATGTTTAACTAACAATTCAGTTAGTTAGACCACGGTCAAATACAAAGAGGCCATGGTTTCAGGTAGATTAAACTATTGTGACTGATTCGCATGATGGACACCAGAGTTACCATGGCAACGGGTCATGATTTCTTAAATATTTTTCTTTCTTGTTTCAGATGCTGGAATACTTGCATTGACGTCAGCCCAAACATCGTTACGGAAGCTGGAACTTCAGGCGTTGCCACATCTGACAGGCCAGGGACTGTCTCAGATTACCTCCCCTTGTTTGTGGAAGGCTGACTTCCGTGGCTGCCATGCTTTATTGAACAATGGTAGGGCAATATTACAATTTGTTTTTGGTTTGCAAAGTACATACCACACAACTGAGGTATAAATACAATGATGTTTTCTTATAGCTGAATGTTATATCCATATTTGCTTAAAATATATCAAACAGTTAGATACCAGTCATTATCCTATTTTTTACAAAACTGTCAACTCAGATTTGTCCGTAGGTCCTATGCATTTGTGTTAATTAGTTATGTTAACAAGCTTGACTAGTGCAAATAATTGTTGTATTATATGCAATTTGCCTAATAAAAAAGGGGTTTTGCTGTTTTTGAGTATATGAACTGAACTTCATTGTTGCAAAAACAATACGTACACATATTTGCTTTATTCTTAAGTACATAACTGTACATACAGACTTATACAGGCAGGCAGAGTTTGTAAGGTGAAAGGTTATAGTAAGCAATAAATCCAAGCAATAAAATGTAAGGATTCAAGGGGATTCCCCCTCACTGTCAATGAGGTCCCCCAGTTTCCCCCTCGCTGGTCCGAAGCCTAGTTTGTTGGGTAGTAACAGTTTGTTGGGTCCTATGCTTTTATGATAAGTGTGAATTAGGTGTGTTAACAAGTAGGACCAGTGCTAATAAGATGCATGCTTACTCCCTTCTTTTTTCGTATAGACAGTTGGTGATGTTAGAAATAGTCAACATGTTAAATGTAAAATACTCCCAATACAGGCCAGGTTCATCCTTACTGTTTGGTTGTTCAATCTCATTAAAATCAGATCTTAGTTCTCACTACAGCTAAACAAACATCCGAGGACATTGCGGGTCATGTCAAAACGACCTTTCATCTGACCAATCAGAGCGTCGCTTATCAGATCATGAAAGTGACAGTTGGAATGTGATTTCTGATCGTGTAACCTCGAAAACAAAAGACATCGGGTAATCTGAACGACAGTTATTGGCTTTTTGACTGTATTCATACAATCTAGACCATCTATTAGCCATTCCAATATGTTCTTTTGTTCAGTTTTTAATTTTTAATCAAGTATATGTCAAAAAATGTTTCGAAGCGTAATCGCCAGTTTGAAACTCGTGCCGTAAAGCTTGATTATGCTGCCTTCTGATTGGATAATGTCGACATCTTGTCAGTCCTTCCTTCATCAAGGTTTGGGAAAGGTTGGTCTGACGTGACACTAATGGAATGTCCTCAGATCTTTTGTTTAGCGGTAGCGAGAAATAAGATCTGATTTTAATGAGATTCTTGGTTGTCATGCCAGGTATTGCAACACTTGTGCAGAAGAATCCGTCCCTTCAACATCTGGTGCTGGTGGACTGTCCGAAGATAGATGAGAAGATATTCTCTATAGTAGCTGTCTCTCTTCAAGCTTCTCTGGTGAGATCTACTTGTTTTGTGGACGGTTATAGGAAAATATTATCAGAGATAGAATTATGCATGGTTCTTTTGGCAGAAAAATAACCAATTTTGTCCATTCTCATCAACAGAGAATACCTGTTCAGTTTGATGCCTGCAGAAATATGGTGCCTGGTTGTGCATTTGGTTTAAATGCAGCATGTACGCATGGACAGTATTCACTGGACAAAATATCATCCATTCCAAACAATCCAAAACTTGGAAATACCACCATTCCAAATGGAAATACGACCATTCCAAAATTTGTCAAGGTCATATTTCCAAGCTTGGATTTGTTTGGATTTGTTTGGATATGTTTGGATATGTTTGGATATGTTTGGATACAACATGTCATTATCATATCTGTTAAACGTTGTACAACTTTTGACCTTATGTGAGATTAGTAATGACATGAAAGTAAATAATTAAGAGTATTTTGGCACTATTTACCACGAAAAGACCAAATCATGAGCAAATTTAACTTAAAGAATTTCTGTCATTTAAAGTGGCTACTCTTTATATTTAATTTCTTATCTTCCTTGTCTATAATCATATGACATTGACTATGAACTTTTGAACAATTAAACAAATATTTTGTTTTCCCATACCGACTTACGGTTGTCGTAGAACAAAGACCGTTTAGAGAATAGAGGGCCTCATTATTATAATTTGAACTAATTTACATATGTACATAAGAGTACTAGGTATAAATGAATTTTGATAAGTGTTCGTACAAGAATATCGGATTTATGTGCAACACATAGGACTGGAAATTTTATAATTGTTCTGGAACTATCTGACGGTTATTCAAAACAGGGAACAAGATTTCGTCAAATGAATCATTGAGCCAGGAATGCAACGATTGAAATGCTGACAAAATGAATAAACATATCTGACAGAGTAGACTGTTCATGTGGACAATTATATGCTACGTCTATTGCCAATGAATTGTATCACCCCATATTATAGCATTTGTTTCACATAAAAGATAGAAGCCAAATAAATGGGACATTTAGTTGTTATGAATTAGCTTTACCTCTGTGACATATTACGCAACTAAAGGTGAATACATTTATCAAATAATCAATTACAGTAATTAACCTAGTGTCCTTATTTATACACAATTTAATTAAGTATTGGGGTACAATATATAATACACATATACACAGAATGATTTCTTTTTTGTCAATTTAATCATAACCCAAATCATACAAATCGAACATGTGAAAATAAAAGTAGTGACTAACTTTATGATGAAGGGTATAAATACTCAATTGTATCTATTTATCCTAATAGTATAACAATAAATCCTGTGTATTTACTGAGCATATTTAGATACATCCGGATCTACGACCGCAGTCATATAATCAATCAAGGAAAGTATATTAGATTGAATTAAAAATGTGCTATCGCTAAAACAAAATTTTCCGTTATCCACGTAAGCCTAAACCTGGGAGAAATAAAGTTCTGTTCTGTTCTGAAGACGCCGTCATGATTAGTTGGCGTCAGTCTAGACTGTCCAATCAACGTGAATATACAAACCGTGATGTTACTTGACCAGTTGATGACACCTGTCAAACTCAAAGTGCCCCTGGTCCTCCACCCACCATGTGTAATACTTTAGCGTACTTGATTGTTTTATTTGCAGTTATATCACTGTTAGGCTGAGTGATGAGAGAATACATTTTGTTGTTTTTGTTAACGATCGTTTCCACTTTCAACGTGGTAACCTTATAAGTGACTAACTTTTTTATCATGATGAAATGAAACATATTGAAATAAACAGAGGGACTGACGATCGCATTTTTCGCATAAATGTCATGCTCGCATTAATTTCATGATTTACTGAAGATAGATTTGAACATTTCTGAGCAACGATCATGTTTGGGTAAGGGAAGTAAATCTTGATTCCGCTTGCAATTGGATTCAATCGGGCGAGCAGTTCCGAGATTGCAGCTTGACTTTTCGGTACGGCCGAGAGGCGGCATCCATGTTGTTCACGCTCAGCTGATCACGGGGCCTCATTTTTCTGTATTCTGCTTATGAGCCGGGATGCGCATGAAACTTGGGTGTCAAAACGAATATGTTTACCAATTATATGTACGGTCAATTAGGGGATTGCCTAAAAGTCGGGCCGGGCCAGCGGGTAATACTAACCTTTTCACTCAACATAGTCTCTATCAGAAGTGTTTGGTTTGTGTTTGGTCAGACTTGGCCGGGGCTGTCAAAATCAACTTTAAACACACAGATGTATCATCAAATGTGTTTACATCTGTAGCTTAATATTTTATCTACCTGTATACCACTTTATAATGTCACAGTACATCGTATTTAAAGAAAACAAGGTGCTCAAAGTGAAGCACTTTTCCCTCTACATTCTCAACATAGTCTCTCTATCAAAAATGTTTGGTTTGTGTTGGTTCCGACTTGGCCCGGGCTGTCAAAATCAACTTAAACAGCACAGATATAACATCAAATGTGTTTACATCTATAGACAAGTATTATGTCTACCTAAATACCACTTTATAGTGTCTCAGATCGCGGTATTTAAAGAAAACAAGGAGCTCAAAGTGAAGCTCCTGTGTGTAATAGGTTTAATTGTATGGTATACATTGTAGACAGACAATAATTTATTAATGTCTCACTTCTGTACATACATAAAACGGCAACAATGCAGTTTACCGGGCGAAACCCGATTTCTACCATCCGCTCAATTACCGCGCTATAGTGCCACCGCTGTCTCGTTATACCGTTACAGTGCCTCACACTCTGGTGACTCTTGCTTCACGATCCAACACCCGTTCTCGGTCTTAGAGAAATTTCATATTTGTATCCATGATATTAAATATATCGACTATATTAGGTTCAATAAATTTACTAACAAATCTACCTATTGCGCATTGAGAGATTATCTCCTTTAGCTGTATGCGTAGTATAGAGCTTTATCACGCGCGACCTTGCAAAGCTGTACATCGTATCTTATTCAAGCTGTATCACTGAGAATGAGTGATAATCTCCCTTACCCGAATAGCTCTTTTGCGCACTACCTTTGCAATGTATCGTATGTTATTCAGGCAGAGAGCGAGAATGGTTCCAGGAATGAATTAAGGTCAAGGATGTAACACGCACTCAGTCGTTCTCCCTTCACACTGCTATTGCAACTTATTGTTCAACACGATTAAATCCCAGGTTTTTATGAAGCATGACCTTGTTCAATAAACAACACATGTAAAACAACGGGTTTGATATCAAATATTTGTAATAAGTTGTCTTCACAATCACATGTATCGTGCTTGCTGTGCAGATTTGAGCACAGTTTCAAGTCGTTCACTGTTTGTAAAATATGATTCATACCGTTTCATACGGCGGTTTATGGTTCTGCATGGTTTATTGTATTGACAGTTGTTTTAACTTCCTGCAGAGATTTATACACCCGTATAAGTTCTTTGCTTCTGGATACATGAGAAATCAATATGTTGGCCCTTAGTTTGCAATTATTCTCCTGATAAATAATTCGGTTGCATGATATATTCACGATGTTTGGCTTGAACATAGTAACATTCTTCTGAACATACTTCAAATTTAAGCTGGAAGTAATCACAACACAAACCCAGTTAACCAAACATAACCGTACACAAGAGTAGTGAGTGAGTGAGTTGGGTTTAACGCCGCTTTGAATAGTATAATTCCAGCTATATCACGGCATGTCAGCTTGATGTGGAAGGAAAGCCCGAAGTGATGCAGGTATTAGACGTTCACCACTTTGGTGAGACCCATGAGCACGGGTATAGTGCTGACAACATAATCGGGGCGAACCGGGATTCGAACACACTGTCATAGGTTTCTGGCGTGCCCAAGGGACACCACTCTGCATAGCAAATTGCAGCGCATTAGGCGACTTTGGCCAACCGTGCCTCCGTACACAACTGTAACAAACTATCATACAACAAAGATGTCGAAGATGAGGTATGTATTGCGTAACATTCCATGAAGAAACAGTGGCAATATTACACTATAACAAACTACAAAATATATGCACAATAAGTGCAAAACACATAAGTACATTCAACATACAGAGAAGGCACATTATAACAAGTTTATTTTAAAACAAGTGTATTATAATGATGTGGAAACAATATGAGAACTGAGCCAAACACTTCTGATAGATGTAGAGGGAAAAGGACTTCACTTTGAGCTCCTTACTCTCTTTAAATACCGCGATCTGTGACATAAAGTAGTATAAAGGCAGATATAATACAAATTTATAGATGTAAACACATTTGATGATACATCTGTGTGTTTAAAGTTGATTTTGACAGCCCGGACCAAGTCGGACCCAACACAAGCCAAACACTTTTGATGGAGACTATGTTGAGAATGGAGAGGGAAAAGGGCTTCACTTTGAGCACCTTGTTTCCTTTAAATACCGCGACCTGAGACATTAGAAAGTGGTATATAGGTAGAGTTAATACTAATCTACAGATGAAAACACATTTGATGTTACATCTGTGTGTTTAAAGTTGATTTTGACAGCCCAGGTCAAGTCGGAACGAACACCTCTGACAAAGATTTTCTTAAGAAAATACAGTAAAGTGTTTGACTTTAACGGATCAGTTTTCTTTCAATGTGATGTACTGTGCCATTATAAAGTGGTATATAGGTAGATATAATACCAGTCTATAGATGTAAACACATTTGATGATACATCTGTGTGTTTAAAGTTGATTTTGACAGCCCGGGCCAAGTCGGACCGAACACTTGTGAGACTGTTGAGAGTATGGGGAGAAGAGGTCTACTTTAACCAATGTGTCTGCTTTAAATACGATGAACAGTGACATTATTAAGTGGTAGTTACTTAGATATAGTACTGTCCTATAAATGTTAACGCTATGCCGACAGATGGAAATTTGTATCACGATAGCTAGAAGTATTTGATACGTTTCAAATCCTATTTCGTTTAACGATTGCCCTTTTACATGTTACCTAGATCAGCGAAGCTTACACACAGCTCCACTTTCTGGTTTTCAAGCGATTTACTCCGAATCACTTAATTATGGTGCACGTTCATGGTTGATGATTGTTCATTTATGTCATGTGTGTGTGTTGCATCAATGATATATAGGTATGGTCGCCGATAATGGAGTAATTAGCAGATTAATTACAAAACTCCAAACAGGACACACGAACCTAAATAACCACTTAAAAAAACTTAAAAGACACACCACAGGCAACTGCCCCCACTGCAAACAACCCGAAACCACAGAACACGCACTCATCCACTGCACCCACTACCAAACACACAGAACCACACTACAAACCACCCTCAATCTAAATAAGGTTCCTACTCTAGATGAAATACTAAACCCTCAAAATAAACTAGAAAACTTCAAGGCCCTAGGCGTATTCCTAATCAAAACAGACCTAATTAAGCGCATCTAAAAACTAATTAATCTACCAATCCAAAATCCAATAAACATACAAACACCCACCTCACCCGGCTCCCTTAGTTCCCTCCTCCACCCACCTCGGCATTTATTCCAAATTTAAAAATTCCAAAAATTCAATATAAGCAACCCCTAATAGCCCCCTCTTGGGTTGCACACACCACTTTCACCCTTCTCGGAATACACTAAATGGTCCGGCCAGGCCCGTGTGCAAAATACGCTACAGTCGGAAAGTGCACGTTAAATCTCCTATATCAGTCAGTCAGTTTGACGGAATCAGTCAATAATTATTGACACAGTGGTGTAATTAAAATTTGTCACTATTCACAACTCCTATTTTGTTTTTTCTATTGTTCAGCTCTATTTTCGATCAGTTTTATATGTATAAAAAATCTTCTCTAGTATTTATAAACCAAACCTAAAAACATTATATGAGAACAATTGTGTTTTTAAAACGTAAGTTTTCTATTAAAACAACCATGCAAGTAAGATTTCAGCCGTAATATTACTTTAGTTACTCCACAGATTACACATCTTATATGCTGCAAACGCAGCGAATATAATGCTAATACGTCACAGCTGCCTCGGTAATTAAGGGCTGGAATGTTTTTGTGAAGGCAGTTAGAGCAGACGAATTTCCCCCCTCGCTGTATAAAGGCGGTCGCTAACCATATATGTGTATTTTTACTGTTTTTTGCTTGATTTGATTGTCCTTTGGTGAAAACAAATGTTCAATTGTGAAAGCAAACCCTTTTCCCCTGAACGTTAAAAGACAGGAGACTTGTTTTTGTCTGAAATATCAACGTTGAAGTCGTTTATATATTCGGAAATCCATATTATGGTAAATATTTAATAAATGCATATCCTGTTTTGTATATATGTATATATTATTAATCAATATGGACAATGATAAAAGTTTAAGTGCTATTCGAAAATGTATGTAAATCTGCTTCGTGATGAATGAAGCATGGCAATAAATGTATGCATCTGATTCTTCATTTGTTCTGTATTCTTTGATGAGAATGAGTATCGTTAATGATGATCACTCTCACAGATTATTATTTGATAAGAGGATAGGACTTTAACTGGAGAATAGTTATGAAAAATATATATATAAGTATAGGCGGTCTGTGCACATGTGGTGAAACTGATACCTCATTGATTTGATAATCGGGACTTGGAAATCATAGTCTGTCATTAGATTGATTTTAAAATATATGGTTTTGACTGTAGTACATCCTGACATGATAATATTATGTTGTAAACAACTTATCTTATCTTATCTTAAGTAAAACAATTATTGATAACTTCCTGAATTCCAATTGTTCAATGAACAGAATTATTCAAAGCTCTGGCGTGAGACAACAATAAATTAGATGTTACCAAAGATTGTCCATTTTATGATCTTAGGCACATGTCGGCGCACTTACATGTGAGCCGTCTAGACGACTGTCTGTTTTATAATTAAATGGCAGCTGCCATCCAGCCGAATACTTAATCTTGAGACCTATTATTGTCTTGTCGAGTCAAGTGCGGGTCTCTCTCTCACCTTAGGGAGAATGCGACTGTAAAAGCCCCTCTCTAGACAGACAAGTTGTGAATGTTTGAGATAAGTTTATTATTTATTATATATAGTTTAAACTCAATAGATAATTCATAGTCTTTTTATTGTTCAAATTACTAATAAAACACATATTTTTACTTGTTCCTTCTAAACATACTTCCAAACAATTCCAAACCATTCCAAACCATTCCAAACATTTCCTGTGTTGGAAATATGTTTGGAAATGTTGCCAATCCAATTTTGGATTTTCCATAAAGATCGATCCTTCCAAGCTTTGGAAAGGTTGGAATGAGCGATCTTTCCAAAGCAATCCAACGTTCATTCCAAATTGGAATGGACGCTCCTTGGTCTTGTGTATTGTATATACTGCTTAATACATGCAAATTGTTAAATGCATGTGTACTTTGACCTTGATCTGACCATGAATACTTGCACAAACTGGACGTCATCTTGAACTACTAGTTGTAGCATTTAACAGATCAGCAAACCGACAGAAAGACAATTCAACTGGTTCACACAGACATTTTTCAATAAGGCCTCTTGGCTATCGTTAGTGTTTTGTGGGTTAGTCAGTTTGAAAAGTAGCCATGTGTACTAGCTAGATAATTGTTTTATCTTATGTCTGCCTTAAAATATTATCGTGATGAGAGAGTTAGGCACATCATTTGCTGATTTAGTGGCAGGATATATCTCAAGATCCCATGCTTGTCAGAAAGAGCAGCTGAATTGAAAACCCGGTGGTTGTTATGTGCAACATGGCCGACGGTGTCTCCGTCTTCTGACGACCTGAATTAGTGCTCATCCTGTGAGCTACTGGGTCCGACCTGAGGTACAGAACCGACTCAAAACATTGTTTTCTTGTTTTATTTTGGAACTGGGCGCTGTAGCAGGAGGTTTTAATTGTATGAATATGAGGTAAGAGGTACAGTGGTCCTATTTTGAAACACAGTAGATTTATCTCCTAATTCCCTCAGTTAGCATGCCTCCTACTGAGACTGAGGTGTTGTGATTTCCCCCCCCCCCCCCCCCCACTGAGATTGACGTGGTTTGTTGTTGCAGGAGGAGGTGGAGACCAGTCTGCACACCGTCACCGACGACAGCCTCCTGCAGCTGGCAACCCACTGTCCAAACCTCCAACGGTAAGTGACTGAAGTGCAGTAAAATCACTTGCCTTTCTTGAGCTGGGTTGTAATCAGTTGGACATTCTTCAGTTATTAAAATTAGTTTGTTTTAACAATTCAGTGAATAAATAATTTGGGTTACTAATGTTTTTGTCGATTTTTCAGATGTTACATATCAAACACAGTTTTGTGAATATTCCTGGTCTGTAGGTGGGAAAAAATTAAATAAGAAAGACTTTGTATTTGTTTCGGCCATGTTGTGAATGTAGATTTATTGCTGTTTCAGGTTGGACTTGAATGGGTGTACCAGGGTGGGCAAAGATGCACTGATAAAGGTGGGTGCCCCACACACATGATTTGTCAAGTACCTCAGAGCAGGTTCACACACTTATATAACTTGCCTGCTGCACTTTGTTTGTTTGTTTGTTTAACGCCACACTCAGCAATATTCCAGCTATATCATGGCAGTTTGTAAATAATAGAGTCTGGACCAGACAATCCAGTGATAGACATCATGAGGATCGATCTATGCAATTTTGGATACGGTTGACATTCATCAAGCAAGTCAGCAAGCCTGACCACCTGATCCCGTTAGTCGCCTCTTATGGCAAACATGGATTGCTGAAGGCATATTCTAACCTGGATCTTCACGGGTATGCTGCACTTCTAATCATAGCTGAGGCTAATGTGTTTGGGGCTCAGTTTGACTTCCTGAAAGTGAGTTGATATCATTGGTCTTTGTCCATCTGTCTGTCTCAGTTGTTTCTCCTTCTCAGTTGTTTCTCCTTCTCAGTTGTTTCCCATTCTCAGTTGTTTCCCCTTGTCAGTTGTTTCTCCTTCTCAGTTGTTTCTCCTTCTCAGTTGTTTCCCATTCTCAGTTGTTTCCCCTTCTCAGTTGTTTCCCATCTCAGTTGTTTCCCCTTGTCAGTTGTTTCTCCTTCTCAGTTGTTTCTCCTTCTCAGTTGTTTCCCATTCTCAGTTGTTTCCCCTTCTCAGTTGTTTCCCATCTCAGTTGTTTCCCCTTCTCAGTTGTTTCCCCTTGTCAGTTGTTCCCCTTGTCAGTTGTTTCTCCCTCTCAGTTGATTCCCCTTCTCAGTTGTTTCAGGGATGTCCTCATCTGGAGAAGCTGGACCTGTCATACTGCAACCGTCTCCGCCAACACCCAGAGAGTGAGGTGCTGTGGACGTTGCCGCAGTCGCTGCGAGAGCTCTCTCTGTGCGGCATTCTCTTGGAAGACGAAGGCATATTTGTGGAGTGTCTGCAACGTCTCCGTAACATCAACTCCATCAGACTTTGTGGGGTCTCTGCCTTAAATGATGACACTCTCACAAAGGTAATTGGGTTCAAGTTGGTACTGTACTGACTGACTGAGTTTGGAACAGTATTCTACATGTGTACGCATGCTGTAGGCCCTTCTCAATGTTGGGTTACCTGGATGGTAAGGTGAACACAAAATTCTACCAGGCACCTTATTTCTCCAAACCATAAACATAGCTGCCCAACGTTTAACAGTGAAATAGCTAGGGCACTTATCCCAATACACTTGTTACATGTGTCATGAATCTCTATGGGAATAGTTTTCTTTAAAGTCAAAAAGTACTTTCCTTTTCCATTTCGGTGTGCGTTTTGACCCCTATCACATTCAACTGGCTGTCACTAATATACAAACAGCCTCAACAGACCAAATACACTTGCAATGAACTACTCAAACAATGTACTACATTGACTGGGCCACTTTGTTATAGCCCATAGTTGAAATTTAGTCAGGCTTAGAACTCTTTGACCAGCTGTTGTATTAGCCAACCAAAATGAAGAGTGATTAAATCTATGTGTTGTTGCTGATCATATTAACCACTGGTTAGCCTGTCTGAAACTGGAATATTGACAGAACTCTGTAAGTATATTATTGCTGGCTGCAGTGTAAAACAACTCCCTGACAATGCTTGCAGGTGTTGCTGTCTGCAATGTAAAACTCCCTGACAATGCTTGCAGGTGTTGATGGCTGCAATGTAAACCTCCCTGACAATGCTTGCAGGTGTTGATGTCTGCAGTGTAAAACTCCCTGACAGTCCTTGCATGTGTTGATGTCTGCAATGTAAAACTCCCTGACAATGCTTGCAGGTGTTGATGGCTGCAATGTAAAACTCCCTGACAATGCTTGCAGGTGTTGCTGTCTGCAATGTAAAACTCCCTGACAATCCTTGCAGGTGTTGATGTCTGCAATGTAAAACTCCCTGACAATGCTTGCAGGTGTTGATGGCTGCAATGTAAAACTCCCTGACAATGCTTGCAGGTGTTGATGTCTGCAATGTAAAACTCCCTGACAATGCTTGCAGGTGTTGCTGGCTGCAATGTAAAACACCCTGACAATGCTTGCAGGTGTTGATGTCTGCAATGTAAAACACCCTGACAATGCTTGCAGGTGTTGATGGCTGCAATGTAAAACACCCTGACAATGCTTGCAGGTGTTGCTGGCTGCAATGTAAAACACCCTGACAGTGCTTGCAGGTGTTGCTGGCTGCAATGTAAAACACCCTGACAATGCTTGCAGGTGTTGATGTCTGCAATGTAAAACACCCTGACAATGCTTGCAGGTGTTGCTGGCTGCAATGTAAAACTCCCTGATAATCCTTGCAGGTGTTGTTGTCTGCAATGTAAAACACCCTGACAATGCTTGCAGGTGTTGCTGGCTGCAATGTAAAACTCCCTGATAATCCTTGCAGGTGTTGTTGTCTGCAATGTAAAACACCCTGACAATCCTTGCAGGTGTTGTTGTCTGCAATGTAAAACACCCTGACAATGCTTGCAGGTGTTGCTGGCTGCAATGTAAAACAACTCCCTGATAATCCTTGCAGGTGTTGTTGTCTGCAATGTAAAACACCCTGACAATGCTTGCAGGTGTTACTGGTTGCAATGTAAAACTCCCTGACAATGCTTGCAGGTGTTACTGGCTGCAATGTAAAACACCCTGACAATGCTTGCAGGTGTTGATGGCTGCAATGTAAAACTCCCTGACAATGCTTGCAGGTGTTGATGGCTGCAATGTAAAACTCCCTGACAATGCTTTCAGGTGTTGGAGCACATCGGGGGCAAGTTGTCCCTGCTGGACCTGAGTGGAGGCATCACAAGGAAGCTGACGGACCGGGGGTTGGCGGCGGTGGCCCGGTACTGCACCAGCCTGGAGTCCCTCTCCATCAGCCTCCTCCACATGCCCACGGGGATCACCCTCATGCCCCTCTTCAAGGACCGGGACAGGGCACTCCAGCTCAAGAAGCTCTACCTCAGCTGCAACATGGTAAGTACGGTGCTTCAGACTGATACCAAGCTAAGGGATCAGGTGGCCCATTGAATGTTTAAACAATGAGCGACATATCCTAAATGTATGCCGCTGAGGGTCCTATGTTTTGTTCTGGTGTAAATGGCCTATTTACCATGAAACTTGAAGGAGTACCGTATATGGTTTGAAGGGTATCACAAATGTGATATGTAATACAACTGAGGCTAAATGTAATGCAACTGTTGTGAAATGTAATACAACTGCAGTGAAATGTCATACAACTGCAGTAAAATGTCATACAACTGTTGTGAAATCTAATACAACTGCAGTGAAATGTCATACAATGGCAGTGAAATGTCTAAGTGTACAACTTGTAAATAAATGCTGATATACAACTATTCATTTGAAAGTGTACGAGGAAACATACATGATCTTCAAAATGTGCTTGTAAAATATTTTGACATGCAACACTGATCCCTTATCCTATTTAGTTGTTAACCATAAAATTGACATGTTTGTGGTATTCTAGATCTTACATGGCCCCCACCACTGTGGCCATGCTAATGTCTCCATGCTTCCCTCAGATAGACCTGGAACTGTTACACAAGATAGCTCCACCACTGTGGCCATGCTAATGTGTCCATGCTTCCCTCAGATAGACCTGGAACTGTTACACAAGATAGCTCCACCACTGTGGCCATGCTAATGTGTCCATGCTTCCCTCAGAAAGACCTGGAACTGTTACACAAGATAGCTCCACCACTGTGGCCATGCTAATGTCTCCATGCTTCCCTCAGATAGACCTGGAACTGTTACACAAGATAGCTCCACCACTGTGGCCATGCTAATGTGTCCATGCTTCCCTCAGATAGACCTGGAACTGTTACACAAGATAGCTCCACCACTGTGGCCATGCTAATGTCTCCATGCTTCCCTCAGATAGACCTGGAACTGTTACACAAGATAGCTCCACCACTGTGGCCATTGTCATATCTCCATGCTTCCCTCAGATAGACCTGGAACTGTTACACAAGATAGTTCCACCACTGTGGCCATGCTAATGTCTCCATGCTTCCCTCAGATAGACCTGGAACTGTTACACAAGATAGCTGCCTCCTGCCACCACCTTGACCAACTGGACCTGTCTGGACTGGTGTGCGTCACGGACGACCTGCTGTCACAGCTGGCCCACAACTGCCGGCACATCTCCCACCTCAGCATCAAAGGCTGCAGACAGGTACATATACTACTCAAGAGAAGTTAAGAAACATGGCATAACATGTAAACTATCGTGATATGAAAGAATAGGGTGTCCTTTAAATTCTTTTTTGTAGTATACATAGACTTTTCTGATTCTATTTTTAAGAAAGAAAATTCATGTAGGATTAGATCTGTCCAAAGATTCGGTGCATTGTGATAATTTATTGATAAGTTTGTGACAGTTAGGTCACATTACGAAACTCATTGTGACGTTACTGTCAAAATATAAATATATATATATTGTTTCAAGGTGTATGTTGCTATGGTTACAACTGGGATAGATCTTGCAAGAAACATTTACAAAATCATTGAGCTTAAAAAAATTAAACAATTGATTCTCGGGCAATGGCTTTTGAAAATATAGTGAGGACGGGCATTTGTTTTTGTTGTTGTTCCAACTAGTATTTAAGCAAATAAACAGATGTGTAACTAAATGGACAGATGTGTACAATCAACCTGGGAAAGTGCCTCCCTACATAAATGTATTCCTTGATGAGTAAAAGTCAAGAATACAGTATTTGAATACCATTGGACTTGGGATAGTAAAGGGTTTTTTAATATTTTTTAAAAATGGAAATAAAAATGAAACGTGAGGCAGACTTTATAATGATACGTTCGGTGCCTGAGAACCAAGACTATTATTTTTTAACCTGACATAATGAAAAATAAGAAACCAATTGCAAGGCCGTAGTTAACTTTTTTTGACAAGGGGGGCAAATATGTGTACAAGTATCACTTGTCCCCAACTTGATTCAAATAAAACGGTTTTCTATAAAAAATCTAGGGGGGCAACTGCCCCCCCCCCTGCTCCCCGGCTGACTACGGAACTGAATCGGGTGGTTGTTTGGATTTGAGTTGTGATTGGACATATCTTTAGTTAAGTGTATTCATGGTTCTGTGAAGTTAATCTAATATGACTTACTGATGTTTGTGTGGATGATTTTCAGGTGACGGACTATGGCGTGTGTGAGGTGGTGCGGTGTTGTCCTCTTCGCCGTCTGGTTGTGTCCGGCATCAACAACCTGACTGACAAGTCCCTCTTTGCCCTGGCCAACAGCAACCCCTACCTTGAAGAGATCTATCTCAATGGCTGCTCGAAGACAACTCCCATGGCCATTAAATATCTCATGGTAAGAACTAAATCTGTGAATGTGTCACAGTTGGCTGGTCTGAGGCATTTCACCTACATTGCAGAGTTGTCTCCCTTGGCTCCCAGGATCTGCTGGGCAGAGATTCAGATCCAAGATTTACCTTGATTGTGGTTCTTGGATTATCAGAACCACAGTATGATTGTTGGTTTACGAAGAGGTGTAAATTTCCAAAGCCTCTATCATGTCCTTCCCACATTAGCTGACAAGCTGTGGCAAAACTCAGATACTGGTCTGTGTGGGCACTATGGGGGCACAGATGGCCCAGTCATCTTAGGTGGCACAATTCACTGTGCAGAGATGCATCCCTTGGGCAAGCTAGAACTCTTTCACCGTGGGTTTAAATTTCCATTCAATCTGATTATGTTTCTTGGTGTGTCAGCACGAAACTCGTGCTCGTGTGTTTCACCAAAGTGGTAAACGTCTGAGACCTGCTTCACTTCAGGCTTTCTCCCTAACCATGATATAACTGGTTACTTATCAAAGCGGCGTTAAAACCAAACTCCCAAACTGGTGTGCTCTGTAGACATATATCATCTGCGTTGTGTCAAACGAAACACTCACAACAGAAATAGTGTAGCAAGCTCATCCCCCCCATATACTGATATATCCAAAGTTGTCACCTGAGAAGGAATTGATATTTATTTGAAAATATATTGTGCATTTTGACACTTACTGGCCTGATTTGGAATAAAATGTAATAAAAATTGTGACAAGCTCTTTATTTTGATCTGGAAGAAGTTTGACTGGTGCAAATGTAACATAAATAGTCAGTGAAACCTAGTTGATTCAAACTCAAATATCGATCATCATTTTCTCGGCAGAATCACTATTTATGAAATGGTCTTGTATCGACAGTCCTCTTGATTTGGAGTACAGATAACTTGATATATTCAATGGTCTACAGCTTCAAGGCTTAACAGTATAATTTATTCATGTTAGTTGAAAGAACTATTATCTATCAATTCATATATCACTACACAGGGAGCTGCTGTTGTTAGTCGACTGTGTCTGTTTGGCAGGACTGTAAGTTAACTGTGACTGTTTGACAGGACTGTAAGTTGACTGTGTCTTTTTGGCAGGACTGTATGTTGACTGTGTCTGTTTGGCAGGACTGTAAGTTGACTGCTTCTATTTGGCAGGACTGTAAGTCGACTGTGACTGTTTGGCAGGACTGTAAGTCGCCTGTGACTGTTTGGCAGGACTGTAAGTCTACTGTGACCGTTTGGCAGGACTGTAAGTCAACTGCATCTGTTTGGCAGGACTGTAAGTTGACTGTGACCGTTTGGCAGGACTGTAAGTTGACTGACTGTTTGGCAGGACTGTAAGTCCACTGTGTCTGTTTGGCAGGACTGTAAGTTGACTGTGACCGTTTGGCAGGACTGTAAGTTGACTGTGTCTGTTTGGCAGGACTGTAAGTCGACTGTGACTATGGCAGGACTGTAAGTTGACTGTGACTGTTTGGCAGGACTGTTAGTTGACTGACTGTTTGGCAGGACTGTAAGTCCACTGTGTCTGTTTGGCAGGACTGTAAGTCGACTGCATCTGTTTGGCAGGACTCTAAGTTGACTGCTGTTGTTAGTTGACTGCTGTTGTTAGTTGACTGCTGCTGTTAGTTGACTGACTGTTTGGCAGGACTGCTGTTGTTAGTTGACTGCTGCTGTTAGTTGACTGACTGTTTGGCAGGACTGCTGTTGTTAGTTGACTGCTGTTGTTAGTTGACTGTGTCTGTTTTGCAGGACTGCTGTGTGCCCCGGCTGTACGTCCAACACTGTGTTCCCAACGCTGTCCCCGACCAGCTGATGGCCAAGAACCTGGACACCGGCGAGTTCTGTCGAGCTGACCTCCTCCATACATCCTAACAGAGTCCTGTACAACGCTGTGCAAGATGAACTGCTTGCAGGAACATGTACTGGACAACTTTGTTGCAGGATGATCACATTGCGAGCTGACCTCCATACATCCTAGCAGCGCCTGTCCAATGCTGTGGTAGATGAAATGCTTGCAGGAACATGTACTGGACAACATTGTTGCAGGATGATCACCTTGCGAGCTGACCTCCTCCATACATCCTAGCAGTGTCCTGTACAACGCTGTGCAAGATAAAATGCTTGCAGGAACATGTACTGGACAACTTTGTTGCAGGATGATCACATTGCGAGCTGACCTCCATACATCCTAGCAGCGCCTGTCCAATGCTGTGGAAGATGAAATGCTTGCAGGAACATGTACTGGACAACATTGTTGCAGGATGATCACCTTGCGAGCGGACCTCCATACATCCTAGCAGTGTCCTGTCCAATTCTGTGGAAGATGAAATGCTTGCAGGAACATGTACTGGACAACATTGTTGCAGGATGATCACCTTGCGAGCGGACCTCCATACATCCTAGCAGCGCCTGTCCAATGCTGTGGAAGATGAGATGCTTGCAGGAACATGTACTGGACAACTTTGTTGCAGGATGATCACCTTGCGAGCTGACCTCTATACATCCTAGCAGTGTCCTGTCCAATTCTGTGGAAGATGAGATGCTTGCAGGAACATGTACTGGACAACATTGTTGAAGGATGATCACCTTGCGAGCTGACCTCTATACATCCTAGCAGTGTCCTGTCCAATTCTGTGGAAGATGAGATGCTTGCAGGAACATGTACTGGACAACATTGTTGCAGGATGATCACCTTGCGAGCGGACCTCCATACATCCTAGCAGTGTCCTGTCCAATTCTGTGGAAGATGAAGATGTCCAATGCTGTTGCAGGATCAGCATGTACCATGATTAACACCTTTCAGGAAATTTGTTGTACAATATGGTTGCTGGATCAGCACTTAACAGGAACTAGCATCTCTTAGAATATGATGAAATACCTCAGATGGTACACTAGATCATTTTAATCAAAATTTTATCAGCAAATGACCGTTGATATGGTTGATGCGACTTTGAGTGGATGAGTGAGAGAATGGATGAAATGTTATCTTGTATACTGGGTGCCTGTATTCTTTTCTGGCAGGGTGAATCCTGCATTTGTTGTGATATATATATGTAATTTGTAATATATTATATTTCATCAGAAAGTTATGACATCATTACTCACCAACGATAATGTGACCTTCATGTCCGATCTACCATGCATTAGCTGTGCGGGGGCACAGGTGGCCCAGTCGTCTAAGGCGCCACAATTCGCTGTGCAGAGTTGCGTCCCTTAGGCACGCCAGAAACCTATGATTGTGGATTCGAATCCTGGTTCGCCCCGATTATGTTTCTAGGTTAGTCAGCACCATAGCCGTGCTCGTGGGTTTCACTGGAGTGGTAAACGTCTGAGACCTGGATCACTTCGGGCTTTCCTCCCACATTAAGCTGACACGCCATGATATAACTGGAACACTGTTAAAAGCAGCGCTAAACCCAACTCACTAACTCACAGTATTAGCTGTGCAACCATAAAGAGGTGGTCAGGGCGTTCGTTGTATGACACCCAAGGCCATGTTTCCATTCTCCATATATGTAAACTTGTGAAGCATCTTCTATGTTTTAGATTGTTTGATAGGCATTACTTAGAAGTTGACAGGTGACAAGGTAGACACAATTTTATTAATAACAACTTCTTTAATACTGGTCCTGCTTGACAACGGTGTAAGGATCTATACCGAAACATTGTTTTTTACAGTATTAAAGTTGTTATCCATAAAGTTGTGTCTACCTTATCTTCTATGTTGCTCCTTCTAGAATTTGCTACAAAGCTATAAAGCAACAATAAACTAGACATCCTCACCAATGACAAGATTGGCTCTGAAAGAAACGTGACAAAGAATCCGTGCATGGTAAGATGTTTTATGATTTGTTTTGAAGCATGACTGTTTGATTCCCGAGTGCCTAATGCCATTCTTCCAGTGAAGAATGTATCACAGGAACCACTTATTGTGAAACCACTGCTGTAAAGCATGTTATGTATGTCATTCGATCAAAGTCCTCAAAAGAAGCATTCCAGGTTGTCTGTTGTCTTCTTTATTCAAAACTGGCTCCCACAGGGTGCTTATCAGACCATTGTGATGTCATGAAGTCACAATGAAATAATATCACTGATCTCACACCCACTTAAGCTCATTAGCTGTACTTTTTACACAAAACACAGCTCATCACTGATTACAAACTTAAAAAGTAGAATCTCACCCAAGTTTCTTTGATATGGGGGAGATTCTCTATGTCAGGAACCATCAGTGAACAAACCACCTAGTCCTACGGTAGTATCCAGAGTTAAATGTCGCCAGCAGGGGCACAGGTGGCCCAGTCGTCTAAGGTGCCGCTAATTGCTATGAAGAGTTTGTCAGCGCCATACCCTTACTTGTGGATTTCACTGTGGTGGTAAACGTCTGGGACCTGCGTCACTTTGGGCTTTCCTCCCACATCAAACTGACACACTGTGATATAACTAGAATACTGTTGATAGTGGCATTAAACTCAACTCACTCACTCACTCACTCTGTTGCCAGCTGTGATGAAGTGTCACATCAGTACATGTGGGTACTATGGTCAATGTCACTGAGGAAATAAACATCATGTGTTTGTGAATGATGCCTTGGAATTTCATTTAAAACAAACAATATTGGCCAGGGGTGTTAAATGTTCAGATTCTTTGATATGAATAACTCAATAGCACCCTTGGACTTGAAAAATAAAAATGCCTAGGTTTATTGATGATATTGTTGTGGAATGCTGTGATTAAACAAGATTCCCCCAGCTCTTGAATGCCATCTCTTCACACAATGCAGATTGCAGCACAAATTCCATGTGTTTTACGGGGGGCACGGGTGGCCCAGTCATCTAAGGCGCCGCGATTCGCTGTGCAGAGTTGCGTCCCTTGGGCACGCCAGAAACCTATGATTGTGGGTTCGAATCCAGGTTCGCCCCGATTATGTTTCTAGGTTTGTCAGCACCATACCTGTGCTCATGGGTTTCACCGAAGTGGTAAACGTCTGAGACCTGCATCACTTCGGGCTTTCCTCCCACATTAAGCTGACACGCCATGATATAACTGGAATACTATTAAAAGCAGCGTAAAACCCAACTCACTCACTCACTCACCATGTGTTTTACAATTCATCCTACATCCGATGTGGTTTTACACCATCATTCCATTATATCTTTAGTAATGTAAACACATAAAAGAAATCTAAAATATGCTACTTTGGGGTGGGCGCTGGCATCAATATTTGCTGTGTAGAGTTGTGTCCCTTAGGCCCCCCAGAAATGTATGATCGTGGGTTTGAATCCCGGTTTGCCCAATTATGGTTCTAGGTTAGTCAGTACTGTACCCATGCTCGTGAGTTTCATCAAAGTTGTAAATATCCAAGACCTGCATCACTTCAGGTTTCCTCCCAAATGTGATAATACTGGAATACCAAAAGCAGTTTTAAACCATACTCACTCCTTCACTCCCCCAAGGAACTACGAGCGTATTATGTGTTGTCTATTCTTAGCAAAGTTTCATTATATGGACACATAGAAGATTATATGAGTGTTCATGTCATACTATGTTTACAACACGAGTGTTTAAACTTAGGCACGAGTGTCATAAACATAGTATGACATGAACACAAACATGATGTTCTATTTATTACCGAAGAAAATGTCTACATGCAGACAGATTTTGATTTTTTTTCCGATAAGGACAGCAAGTCACAACAGCAGCGTAACAACAAATTGTTGAATGACATCAACAATCTTCAGCCATGACGTCGTTTCTTGTGTGGCGTCATTCCGACCTCATGTCGCAATAACGCCAATAATGCTGTCTGAATGACAGAAACAATACACTGTTGTCTAGTGATGTGATATGACCCTAGGGCACATATGATTTTAATGAACCCCGATATGTTTGCCCTCGTAGGTCATAAAATGTGCTTATTAAACCCAGCCAGAAACATGTAAATCATACTTTTTGAAAAAAATCTACCTTCTCAAGAGACTTAATGTCTCTAACTTTTATTAGCATTTGTTCAATAAGCAGTGGGGAGCACGGGTGGCCCAGTCAACTAAGGTGCCGCGATTTGCTGTGCAGAATGGCGTCCCTAGGGCACGCCAGAAACCTATGATTGTTGGTTTGAATCCCTGACCGCCCTGATTATGTTTCTAGGTTTGTCAGCACCATACCTGTGCTCGTGGGTTTCATCGAAGTGGTAAATGTCTGAGACCTGCATCACTTCGGGCTTTCCTCCTACATTAAGCTGACAAGCCATGATATAACTGGAATAATGTTTAAAGCGGTGATTAACCCAACTCACTCACTCAGTAAGCAGTGCTGTATATTTCACACAAGGGTGGTGGGGTAGTGTAGTGGTTAAAGCGTTCACTTCTCATGCTTAAGACCTGACTTGGATCACCCACATTGGTACAATGTATAAAGCTTTAGGGGGTGCCCCACTGTGATATTGTTGGAGTATTCCAAAATGGGGGGCAAAACCCAACTCAATTACATTTCATTGTTCATTGATGATTATTAATAAAAGTGATTACTGTTACCAAGACTGGAATGCTTTTCATTGCTTCTAACACCAGCCATTGGAGCAGTGTAACAGTTGGATAAAACATCTCCTTAAGTTTTAAGACATACCCTACACTCCCTTCACCATGTTCCAAACTTAATTTTAGAATGTTGACATGCTCAGAGAGATTTACAGAAATTTTCGTCCCAACATCCAAGTTTTTAACTTCTAGGACTCGGGGGCATGGGTCATCTAAGGTGCCATTAAGCTGACACAACGTGATATAACTGGAATACTGCTAAAAGTGGTGTTAAACCCAACTCACTCACTCACTCTCCTAGTTCTGTGTATACTCAGTGATGAATTATATTTAGAGCAGCTGGCTGTGTGTGTGTGTGTGATATTGTTTGTTGATGACTGATAACCAAAGCATTTCATTATCGGTTTTAATACTATCATGCTTCAAGCAGTCTGAAATATTTGCTAGTCCTGTCTGCTAAATTTTGCAACATATGTTTATTTGACGAATTCCATTTTATTTGTCATGTAGATGGAACATGATATATATATGTTTTATTTTGCTCATTGCTGTGGACGAATTCATTTATGAGTCTGATCAGTGTTATTCATTCATTAATATGTATGAAATAAGAGGGGGTATGGGTGTCTCAGTCTGCAAGACACTACAATATGCTGGGCAGAGTTGCCTCCTTGGACGCGCCAGGAACCTATGATCGTGGGTTCGAATCCAGATTTGCCCCAATTATGTTTCTAAGTTTGACAGCACCACACCCGTGCTTGTGGGTTTCACCAAAGTGGTTAAGTTTCTGACACCTGCATCACTTCAGGTTTTTCTCCCACATTAAGCTGAGACACTGTGATATAACTGGAATACTGTTAAAAGAGGATTAAGCCCAACTCACTCACTATGAAATAAGAATGAAATAACACCAGTGATGCTGAGGAAACTGGTTTCAGATACCACCTGCGTACCCATGTGATCTTAATATTCAAATAATTATGGTAAACAAAACCAATTTCTCTTGTTGGTGTTGATGGTCACAACACAATGTCCCTGGGTTAGAATTGGTCCCCCGCAAACTATGCTGGTCGCTAGAGGTGACTTAATGGGTGGTCAGACTTGGTGACTTGGTTGATCACTGGATTGTCTGGTCTGGGCTTGATTTTGTACAGGCTGCTGTTACCTACACTCAAGACTTGGAAGTTTTGACCAAGACTCTGATCACCCTAATCCTAATAGGCAGACTTGGAGATTTTGATCAAGATTCTGATCACCCTAATCCTGATAGGTAGGCTTGGTGGTTTTGATCAAGATTCTGATCACCCTAATCCTAATAGGTAGGCTTGGTGGTTCTGATCAAGATTCGGATCACCCTAATCCTAATAGGTAGGCTTGGTGGTTTTGATCAAGATTCTGATCACCCTAATCCTAATAGGTAGGCTTGGTGGTTTTGATCAAGATTCGGATCACCCTAATCCTAATAGGTAGGCTTGGTGGTTTTGATCAAGATTCTGATCACCCTAATCCTAATAGGTAGGCTTGGTGGTTTTGATCAAGATTCTGATCACCCTAATCCTAATAGGTAGGCTTGGTGGTTTTGATCAAGATTCTGATCACCCTAATCCTAATAGGTAGGCTTGGTGGTTTTGATCAAGATTCTGATCACCCTAATCCTAATAGGTAGACTTGGAGGTTTTGACCAAGATTCTGATCACCCTAATCCTAATAGGTAGGCTTGGTGGTTTTGACCAAGATTCTGATCACCCTAATCCTAATAGGTAGACTTGGAGGTTTTGATCAAGATTCTGATCACCCTAATCCTAATAGGTAGGCTTGGTGGTTTTTACCAAGATTCTGATCACCCTAATCCTAATAGGTAGACTTGGAGATTTTGATCAAGATTCTGATCACCCTAATCCTAATAGGTAGACTTAGGGGTTATTATCCAAATCCCAACAGGTACGCTTTGAGGTTTTTGAGGCAATTTGTTTTGCTGAGTTGTTTCCCCTAGGTATGCAAAGATCCAATGATCATGGAATCACACAGCCTGGATAACGATCCTTGGTTTGAAAACCATACCTGTGATTGGGGGTTTCATAAAGTCAGACATGCATCACGCTTTCCCCCCCTCTTTAAGCTGACATGCAGGGATATGTAATGCAGCATGAAGCATCTCACCAACTTCTGATTGTAAGATATGATGTTCATGATTTGAGTATATTTTGCGCATGTAAATGTATGATGATAAGCCTTAGATGGAGACTGCTAGACAGGAGGTGCTACCAACTTTCACATACAAATCTGCCCATCCTCTTACATTACCTGTATGAATGGGGTCAGGAGTACTGGTTCTCTAGAACTGACACGAAGTCCTTTGCCTGATTCTGTGCTGGTCACAGCAGCACTCATTCTTAACCACACAGAAGCCAGACTTCTCTTTGTTATGTGTATAGTGACAGAGGCATATTGAACAAATCAATCTTCAGATTAAATCATGAATATTGCAGTGAATGCTTGACCATTGAAATATGCATTGTTTGTTATATATCACATTTTTACACTGTCTCTGTTATTTAATAACACTTATGAACAAATCTATGATGACACCTGTTGTCAGGGTTACCAGATTTCATGGACTTTTTCTCGCTATTGCTTCATTGTTAACCAGTCACAAATACGAACCAACACTGTTGCATAATGATTACCATTTGTTGATCATGTCAACTTGCTCTGAAACTAATAAACAGATCAAATAAATATATTGTTGTTTTGTTCTCCTATACACAGCTGTGTTTAAGATGTGACATATTTGCCTTAGGGACCGGTCATTTATTATGGGGGAGGGGAGGGTGGGCAGAGGTATTTGATGCACTCATGTACTGTAAATAATTACCCCTCCCCTCCTCTCAATGTCATATTTTTTGGTTGACCCACCCCATGCCCATGTACATTTTTTTCATGACCCCTGCCAAATTTGTGTATTATTTTTAAAAATATAATTTACATAATTTATAGTGACCCTCCCCTGATTCCCTCTGACCCATCCCACCTGTAATAATGACCTGTCCCTAATTCAATTTATTGAAGGTTAATAGCACAACAGACTGGTAATTATGTATTCTGACATAAATGATGAAAATGTGGGTTGAGTTTCATGTGTAACCCACAATTTGAGTACTTACTGTTGCACCTATAGAGATAGTCCTGCACCATGACCATGGAATATATTTATTTTATTAAAAAAAAATAATCTAGAAATGCATACAAAAGCAAGTCTAGCTAGCTCAGGGAATTTTTGTAATTATTTTTAGAGTCAAGAAGGATATTGTGTAATATAAGATTTCAGAGACTAAATGTTAGTCTACTATAGAGACTGTGTGGCCGAACGTTATCCTAACTAGGGCAGATGTAAATGTTATGCGCTCTCATGGGACACCAGCTTGATAAATACAGAGACACGGCCTAGTTTACAGGATAACGTGATGTATATATAGCGAGGGACGAGTGGTGTTGGAAATATCGATGCTCTGCTAGTTGTCACGCCCCTTTCTCAGCGTGGTCAGACAGACATGGCGGGGGTAGCGCCGACACTCACCCTCAACACCGGGCACCACATGCCGGTGCTGGGGCTAGGGACATTCAATATGTTCAAAGTAAGTACTAAATACTAACTAAGTTTTAGTGGAGGTTCATCAAGATGAGCTAGGGCTATTAATAGTATACAGGATAATAATACCCATGCAACTAATGCATATACGTTAAGACCTTAGTGCGTATTTTGGTCAGGTGGAGTATATTTATATGCTGATAGTAACTGTTAAGTTTACAGTTTGCAGAGGTGTGAAACTCCCGTATCGTGAAACATGGGGGCGGTGGGGTAGTCTAGTGGTTAAAGCGTTCGCTCGTCTCGCCGAAGGCCCGGGTTCGATTCCGTACATGGGTACAATGTGTGAAGCCCATTTTTGGTGTCCCCCCTCCGTGATATTGCTGGTTTATTGCTAAAATCGGCGTAAAAACCAAACCTACTTACACGTGAAACTGGCCTCACACAACAAACACGTGACTACGAACCGTACAGTATATGAGGTGGGTTGTTGAAGACCTATTCTACCCCGGATCTTCACGGGTCGTACAGTATATGAAATCGTGCAATCTGCTCCGGATACAAACGTACTGTGGGCTCATCCTTTGTTCACAGTACTAGACAACCTCCGTATGTTATGTTACATATATACACTTGTACTGTGGCACAGATGCTACCTTGACCTGGTGCCCTGTTTATACTCTCACATCTCCAAGGACGTTTGTCAGACCTGCTCACATGATAGACATACGCTGCATGGTGTTAAAAGGCACAGTTATCACGTATTGTAGACAAGGCCGCAGCTAACTTTTTTTTGACAGGGGGGGGGGCAAATATTTGTCCAAATGTTACTTGTCCCAAACTTTTCATTTTCATGACTCCCTGCAGCCCCGGCTGGCTACGGCACTGGTAGACCGCATACCATTAAATGAAAAATGATTTCGTGTCTTTGTATCACGTTATCATCCTAATCCTGTGTCCTACCATTGTGTGCCATCCGCCGTGGCTGGTATTCCACAGGGATCGGTCCTTGGCCCATTATCATTTTTGATTTTTATAAATGACCTGGCTGATGATATGAACAGCATATAAGTCTCTTTTAAGACGATACGTTAATTAATATTATTGTCGATGATCCAAACACAGCAGCGAGTAATTTAAATGCTGACCTGGAAAGAATCTCCGTATGGATGCATGAATGGCAAGTAACGTTTAAGCCAGACGAAACTGAAACCATAATATTTTCTAGAAAAATTAACCCAAATCAAAAACCTGTTCTTAAAATGAAAGGTACTCCAACCACAGAGGTCTCATCGCACAAACCCCTAGGTGTAATTTTACAGCAAGGTGGCTACTGGTCAAATCATATAGATAATGTAGTAAATAAAGTTAGCGAAGTGATTAACTGCTTTGGAACTTCCAAATACCGCCTGTGCAGTAAACAAACGTTAGAGAATATATATTTATTATTTATTTTACCAATATTCGACTTTTGTGACCAAATATGGGAAATTCTTCTCAAGAACAAGTGTTGGTATTAGAAAGGCTAAATTTATACCGTTCACAATTTATATGCGTTCACATGAAAAGCATCTTAGATGTGTAAATATAGAATGTAAATTGTGTAAGGCACACATATTCGTCAGTCTGTATACGACTTTCAACACGAAACAGGTTGTTTTCCAGTCAAAGCTGAATGAGAAGAGTTACTTCACCGAAAATCTTCGCGTGAACCAACGTGTGTTTGATTTAATTTGTACACAAAGTTTTGACTCCTTGAAACCAAAAAGAAAAAGCCGTCCGCTCAACTACGTATATACGTATAAAAGTTGGCAACTGTTGACGCATTGTTTTTGGTGTTGGCAACAGAACAGATATTAATTAGATCATCCTCTTACGTCAACATAAACGTTCACATTGCAACATATACACAGTGCAAATTTACATTTACATTTGCACCTGCTCCAGACATGCAAATTTGCTCCTGGTGTAAATATACACACATGAGTAAACGCGTTCACATGACAAGTATACTCACGTAGGTATTTCTACACACGTATGCACATGTACACACATATGCATAGAGGCGCATGCGAACGGGGTATTAGACGCACTGATAACAATATGTGGAACCTTACACCCTTATCCAAAAGACGGCAATCTCATAAATTAAGAACATTTTACAAAATACTATATATTTTTTCACTAAAGTATCACCACAACAGAAAATCCTGAAATATTTGGCTTTAACTAAGACTATGGGGCCCGTTTTTGTAAAATTATCCATTCCCGCCTAAGGTTAGGATACAGTGATTTAAATCCACGCAAATATCCTAGACATGTTCTTGAGTCTACTACCTGCTCCCGTGAATACCATTATGAGGATCCCTGCATTCAGTATTATATGGAAATGCTACATCTACTGATACTAACCTTGCTATTATATAACCTGTTTATTTGTTCATTGTAAAATCAGATTTAAAATTTAGACATGTGTCTTCTTTACAATTACATCAATCAAATAGTTCAATCTCATTAAAATCAGATCTTAGTTTTCGCTACCGCTCAACAAATATCTGAGGACATCCCATTAGGGGTCACATCAGAACGACCTTTCGTTAATATTTACCGACTAATGAAATGACTGACAAGAAATCGTCATTAGCCAATCAGAAGGCAGCTTTCTCGAGCTTTACGACACGAGTTTCAAACTGGCGACTACGTTTCGAAACGTATTTTGACGTATTCTCGATTAAAATCTTAAAACTGATAAGAAGAACATTCTGGAATGGCTTTTTGATGGCCTAGATTGTATGGATATAACCATAAAACCGTAACTGTCGTTCGGAATACCCTCTGTTATATATTTCGTGGTTGCATGATCAGAAAACACATTCCGACTGTCACTTTCATGATCTGGTAAGCGACGCTCTGATTGGTTGGATGAAAGGTCGTTCTGACGTGACCCGTAATGGGATGTCCTCAGCTCTTTGTTTAGCGATAGCGAGAACTAAGATCTGATTTTAATGAGATTGTCAAATAGTTGTTTGTATGAGTGATATGCTGGTATGTAGGGGTATATGTGTACAAGCATATATGTGTATACGTATTGATTCACCGATTTGGTTATATAAAGAAATATACAAGTCACACACAAATACACACATATGTATGTATGTGTGTATTTGTGTGTGACTTGGATATTCGCACCATGATATTTGCAACATTAGGTATACAGTTGATTTAAATTTATTATTTTATGACCAGTTTACTCTTATTAATTGTTAAATGTCCCTTGTAGAGAGGGTGTTTAAATATGCTTTGCCTGTTCACCAGTCCCATTCCTTTTTGGACATATACTCAACAACAAAAGTTCCTGTGACACCAACATTTTATTGTATTTTTCAAACAAGTAATGTTTGGTTTTCAATTTTGTAGTACATGTATGGAATCAATTCACAAACACGCAACTGCTACAGAAAAGCATGCATTCCATGCAAACGTTGACTTTAATGCAAGCCCCATGCATTTCACTTCTCAAGAATGGGTATAAAAACATGTGCGTATATGCATTGTTTAGCATCGTGCTGACAACAACCACTCAGAAAAACAACAAAATTACGCAATTATTCAACATTACGAAATGCCACGCCTGTCCGAAAATGAGCGTCTGCGAGCCATTGGTATGCTTGAAGCAGGATCGAGTCAACGTGATGTTGCAAGACAATTTAACGTCCACAGAAACACCATTTGGTGTTTATGGCAACGTTGGCAACAGACGAATGCAGTCAGAGACCATCCTCGGAGTGGCAGGCCACGAGTAACCAATAATCGACAACACACCTACGAAATCGATTCCAGCCAGCAACAGTGACTGCAAGAAGCATCCCTGGCCTTCGACGAATATCTTCACAAACCGTACGTCGTCGCCTCAGATCTGCGGGGATGGTCACCAGAAGACCCGCCAGGCGTCCCATTTTGACAGGAAACCACCGTCAAGCACGTCTACAGTGGTGCAGACAGCGTCTATTCTATTCACTGACGAGTCTCGTTTTCACCTCAGCCACAGCAATGGACGGATTCAAGTGTACCGACGTCGAGGTGAACGTTACGTCAATCATTGTATCATGGAAGAAGATCGGTTCGGGGGCGGCAGCGTTATGGTATGGGGTAGGATTACAGCAAGACAGAGGACTCATTTGATAGTGGTAGAGGGAAATCTCAATGGACAGCGCTACTGCGACGAGATCATCGGCCCTGTTGTTCTACCGTTTTTGCGTCGTCATGGCCCATGCATTACCTTTCAACATGACAACGCCCGGCCAATATTGCCCGACTTGTTCAGGAATCTCTTCAACAAAACAACGTGAATGTCATCCCCTGGCCGGCTCGCTCCCCTGATCTCTCACCAATCGAGCACATGTGGGATGAGATGGATCAGCGACTTCGACGTCAACCACGTGTTCCACAGACACTCCAGGAACTTCGAAACATGCTCCAGCAGATATGGACAGATATCCCACAGGACTTTGTGCGACGCCTGGTCCATTCCATGAGACGAAGATGTTTTGCTTGCATCGCAACCAGAGGTGGACACACAAGCTATTGATTTGTAAATTGGCATTTTGGCGTGTTCATATTTTTTATGAAATCACCCATTTTCTGAAGTCAGTATGGCAAATTAAACCATTTGAACTCTTACAGGAGTCTTTTATCTGTTGCAAACCGAAATTTTTTACGATTTGGTAAAAAAACTTAACTGCATTAAATCTTATTTAATGTCACAGGAACTTTTGTTGTTCAGTATAAATATTGTTTAAATCCTGGCGAGAGGAAGGCACGGTAGGGACAGCACTGCCACCTATCTTTGAGTCCCACCCGCCATGGTGAGAGGACAGCACGGTAGGGGGTAGATCTGCCACCTATCTTTGTCTCCACCCGCCATGGTGAGAGGACAGCACGGTAGGGGGTAGGTCTGCCACCTATCTTTGTCTCCACCCCCCATAGTGAGAGGACAGCACTGTAGGGGGGTAGATCTGCCTCTTACCTTTGGGTCCACCCCGCCATGGTGAGAGGACAGCACGCTAGGGGGATAGATCTGCCACCTATCTTTGTCTCCACCCGCCATGGTGAGAGGACAGCACGGTAGGGGGTAGATCTGCCACCTATCTTTGTCTCCACCCCGCCATGATCAGAGGACAGCACGCTAGAGGGTAGATCTCCCTCCTACCTTTGTCTCCACCCCGCCATGGTGAGAGGACAGCACGGTAGGGGGTAGATCTGCCACCTATCTTTGTCTCCACCCGCCATGGTGAGATGACAGCACGGTAGGGGGTAGATCTGCCACCTATCTTTGTCTCCACCCCGCGGTAGGGGGGGGGGGGGGGGGGGGGGGCGGTCAGGTAGGTTATCTACACGATACCCGAGTTCAGATGACGTGTACGTATTTAGAAGACTTGTGATTTTGTTATTTTATGACTATGATCAATGTAAGAGCTATATTTATATTGTATATCACAGTATTGCCACAGTATTGACGTCACATTCCGTTGTGAAATGTTGGCTTCGAATCAGGAATTCGACCTGTTCATGATATGTGGTTTGTCAGCACCGTGCTCGTGTCTCGTGACCTACGTCCATTGGCATTTCCTTCCACACTGAGCACAGAGGCGGTTATATAACGTACATGTTGTTCCCTTTGCCAGCAAGGAGAGGTGTACGAGGCGGTAAAATCTGCCATCAGCTGTGGGTACCGCCTGATTGACACCGCCTGGGTTTACCGGTCGGAGGAGGAGATAGGGAATGCCATCACGGAGGTCGTCAACAGCGGTATAGTGAAGAGGGAAGACCTCTTTATAACATCGAAGGTAATACTCGTGTGTGATATATACTACTCAAAACATGTTAAAGAACACCCGCAAATGGAAGGTTTTGTTACAATACCCACCCCAACAGCCATAACAGATTAACTATAGTCACAGGCAAAAATCGGGTGTTCTTTACTTCTTTTGAGTAGTATATCTCATTTTTTATTTGTTTTATTTAACGCCGGACACATCAATATTCAAGCTATATTCCGGTCTGTATATAATCGAGTCTGGACCAGTCAGTCAAGTGATTGATATCATGAGCATCGATCATCGCTGTTGGGATACGATGGCATGAATCAACCAAGTCAGCGAGCCCGACCACCCGATCCCGTTAGTCTCCTCTTACGACAAGTATGGGTTGCTAAAGACCTATTCTCATCCGGAATCTTCACGGGAATGTTGTCCGGGGTAATAAAGTCAGGTGCGCCGCTGTGTTGGGGAGTCTGTGTATTTATCATACTTCAGTCGAAGCATTTTTTGTTGCTCTAATTCAGTTTCTAATGTTTTGCAAGCGTGACACATTGGCTCATGGCAACTAGGTATATGGCCGAATGTAAGACCCTTTTATGAACAATTATTTTGGTATGCAATGCAATCTCCCCCTCTCACAATTTATTATTATTATTATTATTGTTGCTGTTGTTGTCACCACCACCACCACCATCACCATCATCATCATCATCATCATCATCACCACCACCACCACCACCACCACAACCACCATCATCATCATCATCACCATCATCATCATCATCATCATCATCATCATCATCATCATCATCATCATCATTATTATTATTATTATTATTATTATTATTATGAATTAGTATTGTTCTCCTGTCAGTTATGGAGCATCTTCCACGCCCCGGACCGTGTTGAGGTCGGCCTCAGAGACTCTCTCAAGGACCTGAAAGTGGACTATGTGGACTTGTATCTCATGCACTGGCCAATGGCGTGGCAGGTATATGTATTTGGATTCAGACGTTGTTTGTGATTGGTCGGCACATGCGGACGTCAGAGGAAACATTATAGGTTTTTCTTCATTGTTTATATTTCTGTAGTCATGTTTGACTCATTAGATAACATCTTGAAGCAGGTGAGGTGAGGTGAGGTGAGGTGAGGTGAGGTGAGGTGAGGTGAGGTGAGGTGAAATGGGGTTTAACGTCGCGTTCAAAATTATTGCACTTATATAGCGACGTGCATGCCCGTGTGTGTGTGTGTGTGTGTGTGTGTGTGTGTGTGTGTGTGTGTGTGTGTGCTAGTACGGACTAATGCCGAATTTATAATGCCAGCCCACTGAGATACCATGCCGCAGTTTAACATGGATAACCTCCTCAGACACAGTATACGACTCCGAGCCGACCACTCCTTGTTTAAGCCCTTAATGCCGTGCGCAGGGTAGCAACAAGTACCATCTTTAAAGGGGGATCGAACCCCGGACCTTCCGCCCTCCGAGCAGAGGCTCTACCCACTAGACCACGGAGGCGGTCCCATCTTGAAGCAGTTATGTTATATTCTATAGAAAGGGTATGCTGAATCACAATTAAACTTACATGTCCTACTTTTGTTGCTTAGTTCCACGATTTAAACGTGGTAGTGTATACCAGTTGGACCTCTTATGATTCCTACTATTCTGTTTCGTCAACACTATGGTAGGAGCCAGCAGACCGCACAGCGTGGATCATGAATACAGACTTCAAACCTGCTGACGTAGACTACATTGACACTTGGCGAGTGAGTCCTGTCTTCCATCGCGGTAGCATACAAACACTGGAGATTCAAATATTTAACAACGGAACAATAATTAAATGTGTTTATTTTACACTCCACCATATATCCTATCACTTTAGGTAGGATAGCCTATTGCCTCATCACGAGGTATTCTATTCATGAGTACCATTGACTTTTATTACATTAGAAAGTATTGGTTGTTCATTGGTGCGCTCAGCCGTGTGCTGGAATCACGCACTCACGCACGCACACACACATACATACACACACCCACACACGCTATGAGCAATCTTTTAGTGGAATTAGCCTTATACAAATGTACATATTACTATTTGAATCAGGCCATGGAACGTCTTGTCGACAAGGGTCTCGTGAAGGCGATAGGCATCTCCAACTTCAACATGGCACAGCTCAAGCGTCTACTGTCTGCAGACAATCTCAAGTATAAGCCGGCCAACCTGCAGGTGCGTGGTGTAGAGTCAGAGTTGTATGGAGGACGGGGGTCAGTGTTGTATGGAGGCCGGGGGGTCAGTGTTAATGAAGACTTGGGGTCAGTGTTGTATTGACGCTTGGGGTCAGTGTTGTTGTATTGATGCTTGGGGTCAGTGTTGTTGTATTGATGCTTGGGGTCAGTGTTGTTGTATTGATGCTTGGGTCAGTGTTGTTGTATTGATGCTTGGGGTCAGTGTTGTATTGATGCTTGGGGTCAGTGTTGTATTGATGCTTGGGGTCAGTGTTGTTGTATTGATGCTTTGGGTCAATGTTGTATTGATGCTTGGGGTCAGTGTTGTTGTATTGATGCTTGGGGTCAGTTTTGTTGTATTGATGCTTGGGGTCAGTGTTGTATTGATGCTTGGGTCAGTGTTGTTGCATTGATGCTTGGGGTCAGTGTTGTTGTATTGATGCTTGGGGTCAGTGTTGTATTGACGCTTGGGGTCAGTGTTGTTGTATTGATGCTTGGGGTCAGTGTTGTTGTATTGATCCTTGGGGTCAGTGTTGTATTGATGCTTGGGTCAGTGTTGTTGCATTGATGCTTGGGGTCAGTGTTGTTGTATTGATGCTTGGGGTCAGTGTTGTTGTATTGATGCTTGGGTCAGTGTTGTTGTATTGATGCTTGGGGTCAGTGTTGTTGTATTGATGCTTGGGTCAGTGTTGTTGCATTGATGCTTGGGGTCAGTGTTGTTGTATTGATGCTTGGGGTCAGTGTTGTTGTATTGATGCTTGGGTCAGTGTTGTTGTATTGATGCTTGGGGTCAGTGTTGTTGTATTGATGCTTGGGTCAGTGTTGTTGTATTGATGCTTGGGGTCAGTGTTGTTGTATTGATGCTTGGGTCAGTGTTGTTGTATTGATGCTTGGGGTCAGTGTTGTATTGATGCTTGGGGTCAGTGTTGTATTGATGCTTGGGGTCAGTGTTGTTGTATTGATGCTTTGGGTCAGTGTTGTATTGATGCTTGGGGTCAGTGTTGTTGTATTGATGCTTGGGGTCAGTTTTGTTGTATTGATGCTTGGGGTCAGTGTTGTATTGATGCTTGGGTCAGTGTTGTTGCATTGATGCTTGGGGTCAGTGTTGTTGTATTGATGCTTGGGGTCAGTGTTGTATTGATGCTTGGGGTCAGTTTTGTTGTATTGATGCTTGGGGTCAGTGTTGTATTGATGCTTGGGTCAGTGTTGTTGTATGGAGGCTTGGGGTCAGTGTTGTTGTATTGATGCTTGGGGTCAGTGTTGTTGTATTGATGCTTGGGGTCAGTGTTGTTGTATTGATGCTTGGGGTCAGTGTTGTTGTATTGATGCTTGGGGTCAGTGTTGTATTGATGCTTTGGGTCAGTGTTGTTGTATGGAGGCTTGGGGTCAGTGTTGTTGTATTGAGTCTTGGGGTCAGTGTTGTTGTATTGATGCTTTGGGTCAGTGTTGTTGTACGGAGGCTTGGGGTCAGTGTTGTTGTATTGAGTCTTGGGGTCAGTGTTGTTGTATTGATGCTTTGGGTCAGTGTTGTTGTACGGAGGCTTGGGGTCAGTGTTGTTGTACGGAGGCTTGGGGTCAGTGTTGTTGTATTGAGTCCTGGGGTCAGTGTTGTTGTATGGAGGCTTGGGGTCAGTGTTGTTGTATGGAGGCTTGGGGTCAGTGTTGTTGTATTGAGTCTTGGGGTCAGTGTTGTTGTATTGATGCTTTGGGTCAGTGTTGTTGTACGGAGGCTTGGGGTCAGTGTTGTTGTATTGAGTCTTGGGGTCAGTGTTGTTGTATTGATGCTTTGGGTCAGTGTTGTTGTACGGAGGCTTGGGGTCAGTGTTGTTGTACGGAGGCTTGGGGTCAGTGTTGTTGTATTGAGTCCTGGGGTCAGTGTTGTTGTATGGAGGCTTGGGGTCAGTGTTGTTGTATGGAGGCTTGGGGTCAGTGTTGTTGTATGGAGGCTTGGGGTCAGTGTTGTTGTATGGAGGCTTGGGGTCAGTGTTGTTGTATGGAGGCTTGGGGTCAGTGTTGTTGTATGAAAGTTTGGGGTCAGTGTTGTTGTATTGATGCTTTGGGTCAGTGTTGTTGTATTGATGCTTGGGGTCAGTGTTGTTGTATGGAGGCCTGGGGTCAGTGTTGTATGAAGGCCTTGGGGTCAGTGTTGTTGTATGGAGGCTTGGGGTCAGTGTTGTTGTATTGATCCTTGGGGTCAGTGTTGTATTGATGCTTGGGGTCAGTGTTGTTGTATTGATGCTTGGGGTCAGTGTTGTTGTATTGATGCTTGGGGTCAGTGTTGTTGTATTGATCCTTGGGGTCAGTGTTGTTGTATTGATGCTTGTGGTCAGTGTTGTTGTATTGATGCTTGGGGTCAGTGTTGTTGTATTGATGCTTGGGGTCAGTGTTGTATGGAGGCTTGGGGTCAGTGTTGTATTGATGCTTGGGGTCAGTGTTGTTGTATGGAGGCCTGGGGTCAGTGTTGTATGGAGGCCTGGGGTCAGTGTTGTTGTATTGATGCTTGGGGTCAGTGTTGTTGTATTGATCCTTGGGGTCAGTGTTGTTGTATGGAGGCTTGGTGTCAGTGTTGTATGGAGGCCTGGGGTCAGTGTTGTTGTATGGGGGCTTGGGGTCAGTGTTGTTGTATGGAGGCTTGGGGTCAGTGTTGTTGTATGGAGGTTTGGGGTCAGGGTTGTATGAAGGTTTGGGGTCAGTGTTGTTGTATGAAGGTTTGGGGTCAGGGTTGTATGAAGGTTTGGGGTCAGTGTTGTTGTATGAAGGCTTGGGTCAGAGTTGTTGTATGGAGGCTTGGGGTCAGTGTTGTTGTATGGAGGCTTGTGGTCAGTGTTGTTGTATGGAGGCTTGGTGTCAGTGTTGTATGGAGGCTTGGTGTCAGTGTTGTATGAAGGTTTGGGGTCAGTGTTGTTGTATGGAGGCTTGGGGTCAGTGTTGTATGGAGGCTTGGTGTCAGTGTTGTATGGAGGCTTGGGGTCAGTGTTGTATGAAAGTTTGGGGTCAATGTTGTTGTATTGATGCTTGGGGTCAGTGTTGTTGTATGGAGGCCTGTGGTCAGTGTTGTATGGAGGCTTGGGGTCAGTGTTGTATGGAGGCTTGGTGTCAGTGTTGTATGGAGGCTTGGGGTCAGTGTTGTTGTATGGAGGTTTGGGGTCAGTGTTGTTGTATGGAGGCTTGGGGTCAGTGTTGTTGTATGGAGGCTTGGGGTCAGTGTTGTTGTATGAAGGCTTGGGGTCAGTGTTGTTGTACGGAGGTTTGGGGTCAGTGTTGTTGTATGGGGGCTTGTGGTCAGTGTTGTTGTATGGAGGCTTTGGGTCAGTGTTGTATGGAGGCTTGGGGTCAGTGTTGTATGGAGGCTTGTGGTCAGTGTTGTTGTATGGAGGCTTGTGGTCAGTGTTGTTGTATGGAGGCTTGGGGTCAGTGTTGTTGTATGGAGGCTTGGGGTCAGTGTTGTTGTATGGAGGCTTGGGGTCAGTGTTGTTGTATGGAGGCTTGGGGTCAGTGTTGTATGGAGGCTTGGGGTCAGTGTTGTATGGAGGCCTGGGTCAGTGTTGTATGGAGGCTTGGGGTCAGTGTTGTTGTATGGAGGCTTGGGGTCAGTGTTGTATGGAGGCTTGGGGTCAGTGTTGTTGTATGGAGGTTTGGGGTCAGTGTTGTTGTATGGAGGCTTGGGGTCAGTGTTGTTGTATGGAGGCTTGGGGTCAGTGTTGTTGTATGGAGGCTTGGGGTCAGTGTTGTTGTATGGAGGCTTGTGGTCAGTGTTGTTGTATGGAGGCTTGTGGTCAGTGTTGTATGAAGGCTTGGGGTCAGTGTTGTATGGAGGCCTGGGGTCAGTGTTGTTGTATGGAGGCTTGGGGTCAGTGTTGTTGTATGGAGGCTTGTGGTCAGTGTTGTATGGAGGCTTGGGGTCAGTGTTGTATGGAGGCTTGGGGTCAGTGTTGTATGGAGGCCTGGGGTCAGTGTTGTATGGAGGCTTGGGGTCAGTGTTGTATGGAGGCCTGGGGTCAGTGTTGTATGGAGGCTTGTGGTCAGTGTTGTATGAAGGCTTTGGTCAGTGTTGTATGGAGGCCTGGGGTCAGTGTTGTTGTATGGAGGCTTGGGGTCAGTGTTGTTGTATGGAGGCTTGGGGTCAGTGTTGTTGTATGGAGGCTTGGGGTCAGTGTTGTTGTATGGAGGCTTGTGGTCAGTGTTGTATGAAGGCTTGGGGTCAGTGTTGTATGAAGGCTTGTGTATGGGGGCTTGGGGTCAGTGTTGTTGTATGAACGTTTGTGGTCAGTGTTGTTGTATGGAGGCTTGGGGTCAGTGTTGTTGTATGGAGGCTTGTGGTCAGTGTTGTTGTATGGAGGCCGGGGGTCAGTGTTGTATGGAGGCTTGGGGTCAGTGTTGTATGGAGGTTTGGGGTCAGTGTTGTTGTATGGAGGCTTGGTGTCAGTGTTGTTGTATGGAGGCTTGGTGTCAGTGTTGTTGTATGGAGGCTTGGGGTCAGTGTTGTATGGAGGCTTGGGGTCAGTGTTGTTGTATTGATGCTTGGGGTCAGTGTTGTTGTATGGAGGCTTGGTGTCAGTGTTGTTGTATGGAGGCTTGGGGTCAGTGTTGTTGTATGGAGGCTTGGGGTCAGTGTTGTTGTATGGAGGCTTGGGGTCAGTGTTGTATGGAGGCTTGGGGTCAGTGTTGTTGTACGGAGGTTTGGGGTCAGTGTTGTTGTATGGAGGCTTGTGGTCAGTGTTGTTGTATGGAGGCTTGGGGTCAGTGTTGTTGTATGGAGGCCTGGGGTCAGTGTTGTTGTATGGAGGCTTGGGGTCAGTGTTGTTGTATGGAGGCTTGTGGTCAGTGTTGTATGGAGGCTTGGGATCAGTGTTGTATGAAGGTTTGGGGTCAGTGTTGTATGGAGGCTTGGGGTCAGTGTTGTATGGAGGCTTGGGGTCAGTGTTGTTGTATGGATGCTTGGGGTCAGTGTTGTTGTATTGATGCTTGGGGTCAGTGTTGTTGTATGGAGGCTTGGGGTGAGTGTTGTATGGAGGCTTGTGGTCAGTGTTGTTGTATGGAGGCTTGGGGTGAGTGTTGTATGGAGGCTTGTGGTCAGTGTTGTATGGAGGCTTGGGATCAGTGTTGTATGAAGGTTTGGGGTCAGTGTTGTATGGAGGCTTGGGGTCAGTGTTGTATGGAGGCTTGGGGTCAGTGTTGTTGTATGGAGGCTTGGGGTCAGTGTTGTTGTATGGATGCTTGGGGTCAGTGTTGTTGTATGGAGGCTTGGGGTCAGTGTTGTTGTATGGAGGCTTGGGGTCAGTGTTGTTGTATGGAGGCTTGGGGTCAGTGTTGTATGAAGGCTTGGGGTCAGTGTTGTATGGAGGCTTGGGTCAGTGTTGTTGTATTGAGGCTTGGGGTCAGTGTTGTATGGAGGCTTGGGGTCAGTGTTGTTGTATGGAGGCTTGGGGTCAGTGTTGTTGTATGGAGGCTTGGGGTCAGTGTTGTTGTATGGAGGCCTGGGGTCAGTGGTGTTGTATTGAGCCTTCACATCTCTACTGAAGCCCCAAGGGCCTGCTGTTGCTTATTTCCTCCACAGTGTTTAATGTACCGTTAACTATTTGTTCCAGAGTTTGATTGTTTAAATAAAATTATATATAAACATAAACAATTTTAATGTTCATCAAATTCACGAACACGTCTTATTACTTTCCTTTCGTCATAAAGTTATTACATAAGTCATGTTCAATGTCACCAATACAACCCTGTCTTTTACAGATTGAAATCAGCCCCTACATGGACAACAGCGACCTCGTCAACTTCTGTCTGGAAAACGACATCACCGTTACGGCGTACACCCCCCTCGCTAAAGGAGGAAATGAATAGTCAGTAAATATTGTTATAGGTCTTCAGTTTTCCCGAAATAGACTTCACAGTTCAATAAAGTCTTATTACAACGAGTTCCTTACAGTTAGTGCGCGGGGGTCATTGCTTCATGGTCGCACTCTCCTGGGAGATGTATTTACCAGCAATGAAATACATTTTTGATACATTTAACAAATAAAACTATATGAACGTGGAATATGCGTCAATGCAGAAGAAAACTATATATGAAACTTTAATGATTAACAGCGACATATTGATAGATAGTGTGAGTGAGTTTGATTTTACGCCTCTTTTAACAATATGCCAGCACTACTGCGGTGGGGGACACCGGAAATGAGCTTCACACTTTGTACACATGTCGGGAATCGAACCCGCGTCTTCGGCGTGACGAGCGAACGCTTTAACCACTAGGCTACCTGACCGCCCCCTTGCCAAGATATATAAGTAGCTCCACCTATTGCATCCACAAGTGGCGGAACTCATCGAAACAACCGGGAAAACATATTCAGTGTCCTATCAAGCTCTTATAACATAGGACCCGTGAAGATTCCGGGGAAGAATAGGTCCTCAGCAACCCATGCTTGCCGTAAAAGGTGACTATGCTTGTCGTAAAAGGCGACTAACGGGATCGGGTGGTCAGGCTCACTGACTTGGTTGATGCATGTCATCGATCCCAAATGCGTGGATCGATGCTCATGATATTAATCACTGGATTGTCTGGTCCAGGCTCGATTATTTACAGAACGCCCTTATATAGCTGTAATATTGCTGAGTGCGGCGTTAAACAACAAACCAACCAACTTAAAACACTTGCAATAATTATAGAATTTGTTTTGGGGATATATTCGAGACAGATTATTCCCTGGCGTTGACGATTTTTAAAGCTTTTCTTTAGCTTACATTGATCGATAAGTCGAGTGTGACAAATAGAGGATTTTTTCTTGTCAAATCACATGTCTATCTCATCGACACACCCGCAACATGTCTATTTTCATGAATGGCGCAGCGACGAGTGATAATGTCAACTGTGCAGGTCACGAAATGAGACAAACATGTTATTTGGCAAGAAACAGAGAACGTCGACTGTAAAAATATTTTCAGAATCAAATCTCTTAACTTAAAAACATAAAAACCAAGAGTGGAGTGGCATTTACAATCTTGTTGTTTTAGCACATCCTCACGACTCAAGTTTCGTAATATGTTATTGTGTAATACCGTAATCGACTGAATAAGCGCCTAGGGTGCTCTCAAAATTAGAATTAGGGGGCTCTTATTAGAATATTATTATGGTGAAAAACAACAGGGTTAAAAGATCGTAAATTTCGTGGTTTATGCTGACAGCCTGAAATGTTTATTTTCGACAGATATATTTTTCCAGAATCTAATTTCCCACAATTAAGGATGCATATAACACACGTATTATACACAAATAAATAAGTCTTGTGTACATTGATCAATCGGTAGGGGTGCTAATTGGGATTGTTCACTAGCCAATATATTAGCAAATATCGCCGTGGTCTCTCGTTAGAGCGGAGCGCTTATTACGTCGAATATGGTACATTGAATAAATGTGAATTTTTTTACCTCTCGTACCCTGGATGTTAACACACTTTTTGTTTTGACATTTTGAAGCATGATGTTATACAAAGTCTGTTAACTCGCCAACAGTGCCGGGAAGCCGACCCCCAGTCTCATGGAGGAGAGCGTTCTCAAGGACATTGCCCTGAATTACGACAAGACACCAGCACAGGTAGGAGGTCAGTCAGCTGGAGGAAGTACATTGGTGGCAATGTTTGTTTGTTGTTTAACGCAACACTCAGCAATATTCCAGCTGTATGACTGCAATCATTGATTGTTCGTGAGCGTTATGAAATACATTCACAGGGTACAAATGTGATATATAACAAACAATGCATATTTCAATGGTCAAGCAGTCACTGCAATATTCATGATTTCATCTGAAGATTGATTTGTTCAATATGCCTCTATCACTATATACATAACAAAGAGAAGTCTGGTTTCTGTGTGGTTAAGAATGAGTGCGTGCTGTGACCAGCACAGAATCAGGCAAATGACTTAGTGTCAGTTCTAGAGAACCAGTAACCCTGACCGCATTCATACAGGTAATGTAAGAGTGAGTGAGTGAGTATGGTTTTACGCCGCTTTTAGCAATATTCCAGCAATATCACGGCGGGGGACACCAGAAATGGGCTTCACACATTGTCCCCATGTCGGGAATCGAACCCGGGTCTTCGGCGTGACGAGCGAACGCTTTAACCACTAGGCTACCCGACCGCCCAGGTAATGTAAGAGGGTGGGCAGATGTGTATGTGAAAGTTGGTAGCACCTCCTGTCTAGCAGTCTCCATCTAAGGCTTATCATCATACATTAACATGCGCACAATATACTCAAATTATGATTTGTTTGTTTGTTGTTTAATGCAATATTCCAGCTATATGACTGGTCTGTAAATAATCGAGTCTGGACCAGACAATCAAGTGATTGATTTCATGAGCATCGATCCACCAATTAGGATACAATGACATGTATCAACCAAGTCAGCGAGCCTGACCACCCGACCCCGTTAGTCGCCTCTTACGACAAGCATAGTCGCCTTTACGGCAAGCATGGGTTGTTGAAGACCTGTTCTACTCCGGATCTTCACGGCAAGCATTGGTTGCTGAAGACCTATTCTACCCCGGAAACTTGAATGCTTGAGATTACTGACAAACGTTAAGTAGGACCTTCCATTGTTTAGGAATGTGTATCTGGGCGTACATATTTTATTTATGAAACCTTTCATTCATAGCAAGGGAACCTGGCGTATTCACATCAATCAATTAAGGGAGATATTTACCTGGACCAGATCCACAAAGCAATCGTAGCGCTACGTCAGTCTCAGTTCTGTGTTAAAGTGGGGTAGTTGTGATCGCTTCAATGCTATGGTACCTTTGATCCCTGTAGTTCAATGCCCTTTGCTACACCTGGAACATGATGAGGGTTGTCTCCCTTTACAACCTTCCCTAAGATCAGCGATCTCTTATCCGTTTGGCCTTGAAGTTTATTAGCGCTTAAGATGAGATTTTTATTCTATGGTTTTGAAGTGTAGATGGTGTTTAATTTCAGGGTAAATGATACGTTTTAAGTAAATTACATCTTTGTATGACAACTTCACGTTATTTGTTATTTCCGTGGATTAAAATTTGTAAATGACTAACTCTCTTTACGACTATATAACGTAGTTTCAATTGACAACCCAAGCTATGTTAACACGCAGGTTGCTCTGAGATGGGCGTACCAGAGGGGATATGCCACCGTTCCTAAAAGCGTCACAGCTCACAGAATCCAGGAGAACATCAAGGTAAGACCATATAGATCTAGTACCAGGTCAGAGGTCAGTTCCAGCAGTGCGTTCAATCACCACTATGTTTGATTTCTCCAATTCTATGTTTGATACTACTAGTAATAGGCAAGTTATATTGCGCATATTTCCAAACCACACAGTGGCATGCTCAAAACGTCATTATAACCCACTGGATCAGTGTTCACTCTAGAATCATTCTCAGCTCTTTATGCTGCTCTCTCTCTCTCTCTCTCTCTCTCTCTCTCTCTCTCTCTCTCTCTCACACACACACACACATTCGCGCACACACACACGACACACGCACACACACACCGAACACACACACACTCGCGCGGGTACACACGCACACGCTCGCGCGCACGTACGCACGCGCGCGCGCGCACACACACACACACACACACACACACACACACACACACACACACACACACACACACACACACACACACACACACACAAAAAATTTACTCCGTGCTTTTCAACCTGGTGCACAGCGTGTGCAAGGTGTTTTTTTTCCAGAACCCAATGAAGTTGCATGAATGAAAGTGTGCATGCTTATCTCAGGGATACATGGCGAAAGCGAGTTCGAAAATTGGTCCCGTAATTTGTTTTTTTCAGAGTTATGGCCCTTGATCCATGTTATAATGTGTGCAGTGGGGGGTCACGTTTTCTATGAAACTACTGCAGTTAGCTTATCTAAGAGATACTTATCAAGCCTTTGTTATTTTTCCAGACAGGGGACCTTTTCTGAGTATTAATTTCACCTTTAATCATTTCTTCTAATAACATAAAGCGGCTCAAGTGCCTATCTCTGTTTAAGGCTTTATAGGACAACTATATGAACAAACAAAATTCTAATGTACCCCGTGGCGGGGGATAGTGATAACACTGTGTTCTTATTATAGATGATGCTAATGTCACCCGTTGAATATCACACCTCTCACACTACGACGTTATTGTCGTAATGAAGATGTTATATGTGATCACATTTCATGTTTGACGTGACACTCTCTCCTTCTTAGTTTGGGACGGTCGGGTAGCCTAGTGGTTAAAGCGTTCGTCCGTCACGCCAAACACCCGGGTTCGATTCCGGAAATAGGTACAATGTGTGAAGCCATTTCTGCTGTCCCCTGTCGTGATATTGCTGGAATATTGCTGAAAGCGGCGTAAAACCATTATCACTCACTCACTTTCTCCTTCCTAGTTGTTTGACTTCGAGCTGTCTGCAGATGAGATGAAGTCCATCGCCACCCTGAACAAAGACATGCGGCTGGTCTGGCTGGATAAGTGAGTGTTTATTTCATCTGTGAAGGATGTGTATTTAGAGGATCCAGACGCTTTTTTTGCAACCTGCCCAAAAAGTAATTATTGAAATTAATAACCGAAACATCCTTCCGTTGACGTTTTCCTAAAGAAGCTGCAATCATCAAATATGTCTTGTGATCTGCATCAGGTATAAACATATTGAGGCTTTATTTCAGGAAAGGACTTGTTAGAGTGCATGATTTCTCAATCACAATGTTCACGGATCCGTAGCACAGAAACACACCGAAAGCACGAAACGTTTTTGAATATTTATTTTATCCCAATTATAGCTTCCTCATTCTCCATCTCTCTGACGTTCGTCGACCCGTGAAGATTCGGGGTAAAATAGGCCTTCAGCAACCCATGCTTGTCGTAAAAGGCGATTGTGCTTGTCGTAAGAGGCAACTAACGGGATCGGGTGGTCAGACTCGCTGACTTGGTTGATGTAGGTAATTGTATCCCAACTGCGCGGATCGATGCTCATGATGTCAATCACTGGATTGGCTGGTCCAAACTCGATTATTTACAGACCGTCGTCAAACAAACATCTGTTCGTCGCTATATGGCTGAGATAATGTCGACGCGACGTTACATATTAACTCACTCACTCTCTCTGACGCTGTATCTACCTCTCCACCTAAAGGATATTTGATTAGTATTTGTTTTGATAACGCCGTGACGTCAGGTTTATGACTCCTTTCCTTGGTGCATTTTTGTGACAGCATTTATTCGCATAAACATATCAAGTATTTCCACTGTCCAAAACTCAACTCACATTCTCAATGTCTCAAGCACTGTCTAAACTCAGCTATGTTCATGATCGGCCATTTTACTTTACAGCTTCAAATCCTTCCCAGAGTACCCTTTCGAGTACCCGAGTGAGTAGCCGAGTGAATACCCGAGTGAATACCCGAGTGAATAGCCAGCAGTTAAGGTACTGGACAGGATGAAACAGGGGCGATGGCGGACCTGTTGGAGTCGATGCATCTACAACAGAACCTGTCGTCCTCTCTGTGCAGATGCGTGCATAATGCACCGTTCTGGCTCGTGTAACGCATATGCTGTACAATGTACTTGTTTTATTCAGTTTTTAGAAATAAATGAAACATGCAGTTCTTAGCATCTCGTGTGTTGTCAGATGACTCGTACGTTGGATTGTCACTGAATTAATGACCCATTTGTTGAAAGGTAAATTCCGACCTACGCGATAGGTGGCCTAACACAAATAACACTCCCATTCTCCCATATATCTTTGTACTATCTTATCACGTAACAGGTACTTATATACCACATTTGAATATCAGCAGAGGGCTAGATAGCCAGAACCTATTTAACCTAATCAGTACGATGTGGGACGATGGGGTGGTCCAGTAGTTAGAGCGTTCGCTCGTTGCGTGGAAGGCCAGGGTTTGATTCTAACATGGGAAAATTATGAAGCCTATGTCCGGCGTCCTTCGCGTTATATTGCTGAAAGTGACTCATCCACCCACTCAGTACGATGGGGACAAAAGGTTTGATAAGCATCTGAGGATATAGAACATTCGTAAACATACCACAAGATGTATTTGATTAGCCCTGACAGAAGTAAGCGTGCAATGTTTCGAATAGAACTGTGTCAGCGCCCGCTAACTGTCCAGCCATATATCCTTACATTATCTTTCAGTATGAACAAAGTTTGACTTCGTCAGATTTATACTCTTTGAGTATGACGGTTTGACTAGTAAAACAAGAAGTCGAAATCCATAGGTCATTTTTGCATTCATTGTGAATGGCACTCAAAGACATCATAGGAATGACGTCCTGAATGGTACTCAAAGACATCATAGGAATGACGTCCTGAATGGTACTCAAAGACATAATAGGAATGACGTCCTGAATGGCACTCAAAGACATCATAGGAATGACGTACTGAATGGTACTCAAAAACATCATAGGAATGACGTCCTGAATGGTACTCAAAGACATCATAGGAATGACGTACTGAATGGCACTCAAAGACATCATAGGAATGACGTACTGAATTGTACTCAAAGACATCATAGGAATGACGTACTGAATGGTACTCAAAGACATCATAGGAATGACGTACTGAATGACACTCAAAGACATCATAGGAATGACGTACTGAATGGTACTCAAAGACATAATAGGAATGACGTCCTGAATGGTACTCAAAGACATCATAGGAATGACGTACTGAATGGTACTCAAAGACATCATAGGAATGACGTACTGAATGGTACTCAAAGACATCATAGGAATGGCGTCCTGAATGGCACTCAAAGACATCATAGGAATGACGTACTGAATGGTACTCAAAGACATAATAGGAATGACGTCCTGAATGGTACTCAAAGACATCATAGGAATGACGTACTGAATGGTACTCAAAGACATCATAGGAATGACGTACTGAATGGCACTCAAAGACATCATAGGAATGACGTACTGAATGGTACTCAAAGACATCATAGGAATGACGTACTGAATGGTACTCAAAGACATCATAGGAATGACGTACTGAATGGTACTCAAAGACATCATAGGAATGACGTACTGAATGGTACTCAAAGACATCATAGGAATGACGTACTGAATGGTACTCAAAGACATAATAGGAATGGCGTCCTGAATGGTACTCAAAGACATAATAGGAATGACGTCCTGAATGGCACTCAAAGACATCATAGGAATGACGTACTGAATGGTACTCAAAGACATCATAGGAATGACGTACTGAATGGTACTCAAAGACATAATAGGAATGGCGTCCTGAATGGTACTCAAAGACATAATAGGAATGACGTCCTGAATGGCACTCAAAGACATCATAGGAATGACGTACTGAATGGTACTCAAAGACATAATAGGAATGACGTCCTGAATGGTACTCAAAGACATCATAGGAATGACGTACTGAATGGTACTCAAAGACATAATAGGAATGGCGTCCTGAATGGTACTCAAAGACATAATAGGAATGACGTCCTGAATGGCACTCAAAGACATCATAGGAATGACGTCCTGAATGGTACTCAAAGACATCATAGGAATGACGTACTGAATGGTACTCAAAGACATCATAGGAATGGCGTCCTGAATGGCTCTCAAAGACATCATAGGAATGACGTACTGAATGGCACTCAAAGACATAATAGGAATGACGTACTGAATGGTACTCAAAGACATCATAGAAATGACGTACTGAATGGTACTCAAAGACATAATAGGAATGACGTACTGAATGGTACTCAAAGACATCATAGGAATGACGTACTGAATGGTACTCAAAGACATCATAGGAATGACGTACTGAATGGCACTCAAAGACATCATAGGTATGACGTACTGAATGGTACTCAAAGACATCATAGGAATGACGTACTGAATAGTACTCAAAGACATAATAGGAATGGTGTCCTGAATGGTACTCAAAGACATCATGGGAATGACGTACTGAATGGTACGCAAAGACATCATAGGAATGACGTACTGAATGGTACTCAAAGACATCATAGGAATGACGTACTGAATGGCACTCAAAGACATCATAGGTATGACGTACTGAATGGTACTCAAAGACATCATAGGAATGACGTACTGAATGGTACTCAAAGACATCATAGGAATGACGTCCTGAATGGCTCTCAAAGACATAATAGGAATGACGTCCTGAATGGCTCTCAAAGACATAATAGGAATGACGTCCTGAATGGCACTCAAAGACATAATAGGAATGACGTCCTGAATGGCTCTCAAAGACATAATAGGAATGACGTCCTGAATGGTACTCAAAGACATAATAGGAATGACGTCCTGAATGGCTCTCAAAGACATAATAGGAATGACGTCCTGAATGGTACTCAAAGACATAATAGGAATGACGTCCTGAATGGTACTCAAAGACATAATAGGAATGGCGTCCTGAATGGTACTCAAAGACATAATAGAAATGACGTCCTGAATGGCACTCAAAGACATAATAGGAATGACGTCCCGATAAACCAGGCATCACCATTGAAAGAAGCGGCAGTAAAAGGATATACATATTGGTGTGTACTTGCGGTATATGCAGCGATTTGACGACATACATTCATTCAGATCACTGCAAATACAACAGCAAGGTCGTTCTGGCGTAACAAGCTGTTCTGTGAAATAAAAGCGATGCAACCAGTGCAAGAATCACAAGAAATCTCAACAAGACTCTAGCGAAATCCTCCGGATCAACAGACATTCCAGGATAACGATCCAAGGTTCTGAGTCATGTCCCTTTGAGCGTGTGCGCGCGCATACATACACACACACACATATACACATAAACACACACACACGTACACACGCATAACACACATACAGAGAGACACACACACACGCACATACACACACACACACACACGCATACACATACACACACACATATACACATAAACACACACACACACGTACACACTCATAACACATACAGAGACACACACACGCACACACACGCACACACACGCACGCACACACACGCACACGCACACACACACACACACACAATGAGCATTATTAAACGCCTGATTTAAAATCCAATTCCGAAAAATAATGACAAACTAGGATCGGGAAGAAATTGAGCACCTTTGGGATTATCATGGCCGCACACATACACACACACACACATGCTCACACACACACGCGTACATACTCATAACACACATACACAGAGACACACACATGCTAACACACACACACATACACATACACACGTACACATTCATAACACACATAACACAGACACACACATGCACACACACATACTCATAACAGATACACAGACACACACATGCACACATAAACACACGTACACACTCATAACACATACACAGACACACATGCACACACACAAACACACACACATGTACACACTCATAACACATACACAGACACACATGCACACACACAAACACACACACATGTACACACTCATAACACATACACGCGCACGCGCGCACACACACACACACACACACACACACACACACACACACACACACACACACACACACACACACACACACACACACACACTGAACAAAATTAAACACCTCCTGATTTAAAATGCAATTCCGAAAAATAATGACAAACCAGGATCAGGAAGAAATTGAGCACCTTTGGGATTATCATGGCCGCCAAGCGAGAGCTTGAGGCCCTCCAGTTAATAACCTGAATGGAACCAGGCACTGCAACACGAATAGCAGAGGATAGCGAGAAGCGAGTGATTTTCGCTTAAAGCTTAAAGCCACATTAGCAATTTTGCAACTATTCACAGCGAGAAACAATTACAAAGAAAATGACGTTGAAAACCAATAAAATCTCAGGCAAATATCACCTTCAGGACTAAAAAAACCCGATTGGTCACATTAAGATCTGTATTTTAGAACAAACCCATGTTGTAAAATACAGATCTTAATGTGACCAATCGGGTGATATTTGTTTTAAAATATGCTAAAATCAGGTTGTTTAAAAAACAGTTCTTAAAAAGTTCAGACAAGGCATTAACATCAAGCGTTGTCTAACGTGCAACATGTTCACATTCAAGCATTATATATATTACATAAACCTCAAGTTCGGAATGAGAGATGTACTTGTTAAAAGTGGCCAAGGGGTTCTACCCCTGTCAGGGATAGTATGTCCGGATTAGCACGGTCTTGATTACGGAGTCTGGATTAGCACGGTCTGGATTAGCGGGATCCGGATTATCAGGGTCTGGATTTCATTTTCATGACTGTGATGACTCCATCCCGTCTCCTGGACATGAGTTAAACACTGCTTACTGACCACAGAGTTATTTACGCGTCGGGAGACTCGGGCTTGTCATCTAAAGTGGGATTACTGTCTATAACGTAGGTAACATCGTTATTGATTGGGTGATCTTTTCGTCCGGCACGCACGCTATGCACACATATATTTGGAGAGCAAAACGAACATGGGGAAACTTTCCAAACTTTATCCATTCCGTGCGTCATCACCAGGACTATAGTTGTCAGTTATGTTCATGTTATAGCATATGACATTGTTACATTAGGACTTAATATACCGCTAACGTGGACAGTACGATGAAGTGATATTGCCTGTC